ACTCTGTTTTCTTGTTGGGTCCAGTCCCACGATCAAGACCGCCTAGCGATAAGGGCTTTTTTTGTGTCTCACCAAGGTGCTTCCAGGGTTCAGAGAGATATGAAGATCAGCCGCGGCCAGCGAATTGCAGCGACGCTTGGCGAGACCTTGTCGTGTTGGACTTTCTTGGCCGAATGATCAGGGCAAACTATCCTCCGTGCTACACAGGGTGGGAGAAGCTTGCTTGGTCTGGGTGCAACCGTGACGGACGGTCCTTTTCTATGTGTCCTTGGGACGTGAATACATACAGTAATCATGCGCCGTGATTATCCTGGACAATGCGAAGTACGGATACAGATTACGGATACATTCCATTTATGATTATCGCGTCCATCGGTGGCGCGCCATGTACCCCGGCCATCGATGCTTATTCGTACTCACTACGGCAATCCGGTAGGTGCGGTACGTCCCGATCACCAAAACAAGCCTTGTCCAACCAGGGAAGAAGCCCTGCGCTGCGGTGGCCTTCCGCAAGAGGCAGGTTGCCAAGCCAAATGGACGAATTGCGAAATTACTACGCTTCAGCTTAGCTTTCGGCAGATGTAGTAGCATGCATCATGTTGGTCTGTGAGAGACGATGATGTCTGTTGACAAGTAGCAGGTACTGGTCGTCGCGGCGTCCGAGTTGCACGCCATGTCGACAACATCATCGGCATGATGCCAACAGCATATGACTTCCATTTTCAGCCACCTGCGAAAAGCTGCTAATGAGAACAAGCTTGTAATAACGAGGTCAATGGTGATGCAACTTGCCCAAAGCAGAAGGGGCGCGCCATCAATCGTCAGATCTCATCTCGTCGCCTTGCCAAGCTTTCTTGTGCGCCTTCCTTGGCGATGAAAGGAAATTTCCTCGGTGGCACTTTTGACAAGAAGACGAAGAAGAAACACATGGCGGATGGGCGCCCTCACACAAATACAACCTTCTTTTTGTATCCCGGGGCCAAGACCGGTGTCCGTACACGCCCCCCTTACCTGGCCCATTCGTGGAAAACACTTGGCGAGACAGTAAGTACTCAATACTTTGTGCACTTGTCATCCTGTTGAGCAAGTATCTTTGACACTGCTGCGTTTGTCTCCTGGTACATAGATCATGCAAAATCGTTTCCCCTGGCTGGGAATAGGTCTGTGCTCCCTCTTCCAGGTGGCGAGTCAATGCCATCCCTGCCACCCACGCAGTGTCTTTTTTAGACACATTATTAGAGTTAATACGCTGTTTTATCCGGGGAATTCCTTTCCACTGGAAAAGCTACGCGAGAAGGGAAGATGACACGAAACAGATGACATCCAAAACAGCGGACGCCCCCTTTTTTTTGTCCCTCACAATTCCAGTCCCTGGTGACGATCGCCGGGTCACGATACGCCCAGGCCCCAGGGACAGGATGTCACTACCTAGTCAGGTCTCCTCAATGTCTCGCAATTCGTAATAGACGACTCTTTTCGACCACCAGTCAAACATGTTCGTCGTTTATCTTCCCCGCCCCCAGGCATTGAAGAAGCTCGCGTCAGACGGCAGCGGAGACGAGGGGGAGGGGGCGAATCTGGTTCGAACCAGGCAGTCTAATTATTTCGTACAGATCCTGCCATGATGACACTCTGCCGGACAGACTGTCACTCGTGAGGAACCAGTTTGCTAGTTATCTTTTTTCCCTTCGCCGTGCGACCCTCCTGCAGCACCAAAGCGGCACGGCAACTTAGTCCATGTCGCACTCGATAGTCAAATCCTGCACGCTGCTGCGGAAGAAGGTTCTCGGCTCGCCCTCTTGGTCACTTCTCCTGTCTCTCAATTGAGACACAACGCAAGCATGTCTATCTGTAAGCTTAAAAAAAAAGAACAAGTACCCGCCCGCACACGACGCAAACTGCCAAGAGGTCGGACGGTGGATGGTCAAAGGGTCTGGCAGCCCGCGAAGCGAAACCTGAACTGAGGCCGTTGGAGAATGAACGACATCTTTTCTTCTCTTTTGTCTTATCGCGCGGAAAATATGCACCTGTCCAAGAAAGTCAGTCCCCTTTTCCGGTGCAGGAGAAGTCCCGTTCTTGGCAGCGGCTGAATTTCTATCCGTACGTCAGTCTGAGGCGAATCGAGTCTTGGCTTGCCGACGATCGACAAGCGCCGCGATTTGGCTTATTCTTTTCTTTTTTTTTTTTCGCAACAAATCGCATTTTTTTGCTTCTATTCTTGTCTTCTTCGGGCATCCAAGAAGTAAGTCAAAGCACCTAATGTACCTGACCCGGCAAAAGGTCTCGATGGGCGTCAGACTTCCACTCGCCAAGCAAAAAACGACGACAATGCAGAGGCAGGATGATCCGTGCTTCCCAGTCCTGCATGCGTAACACGGGATTGGGACTAGGACGTTGTATATCCTATCTCATTGCCAAGTCTACAATCCCGCCAGGCTTGAGTTGTTTGGTCTGCATGCGCCACCCAATTCAAGAAACAGAAAGGGTTGGCTACTGCATAAAGTGACAGCTTTATATCGCTCTGGCACACAACATAGCCCCCGATGCTTCTCCCCCCCCCCCCGGCATCTACCGTTGGGCCAAGAAAAAGTAATCAGGAGCCGATCGTATCAGGTATGTAGGGGACCCGACACAAATGTACTTCTACCGTTATGCTTGGACCTGTTTTATGCTCTTTGATTAAGCAACATCATTGGTCGTCTCCGAATAGTTTGACAGACGTTGGCCGCGGAAAAACGCGTCAAATTCAGGAACATCATTCAAACTCCCATGACTTGTCATCTCCTGAGCAGGCACAAGATTCGAGAAGTAGGCCCCTCATTACCAGTCCTTTTGCTCGAGGTGGCATCCAACAAGGGCCTCAGCAAGGAGGCCCTTTTGCTTGTGCATAATACGGATGCCTAATGCGAGACCTCTACAGGGATTTTGACCACGAGTCATCGCAGAACCCCCTCGTCCTGTTCCCCAACAGAACAGAGAAGAGGTACATGCGAGCATGCCCAAAGCAGAAGGGGTCTCGACTGGATAATCCCTAGCTGGCGGAGGAGGCTTTTTCTGTTTTTTTTTTTTTTTGTTTTTTTGTTTTTTGTTTCTGCCAGCTATCGGGGACCAAGACGAACCCGCGACCAGGTTCTCGGGAAGGCGCACAAAAGACAGCTCAGCCCACCGATGGCGACCGTTTTTTCATGTTGCACAGCAATGCAAGGCTTGTGAAAATTATCAGCAGAAATTAATTAACATGTACGTGTATAGTGGCCGGCCGGTCTCTTGAGCGACGGGATCTACAAGCCGTCAGAGCCGAAAAAGCCTCATCTTCTGACCCCTCCAACATCGGCATCCCGGCTCGACAGCAAAGACACGAGACGACATTTGCTGCGTTGTTTGTCCTCTCTGTCCTCGTAGACGTGGCGGACTGGCGGTGTCGACTTGGTGGCACTTATTAATCTAGCCGCGACAGGCGTGCTGTTTTTCTCCTTTCTTTTCCCGCATTTTGTTTCTCGCCCCCCCGCGGCTCGAGTTGCAATGCTAAGATGACCCGGGAAGTTGGGCGCATGAGCTCTCTCTCTCTCTCGTTTTGTTCTTATTAATCCGCCGAGACATGCCTTCGTACCCAAGTCATGCACTGAGCAGTCGACTTCGTTCTCGGGGGCTATTCCGTTCACCGACGTCCTGAAGTAGAAGTTGTGGGCGTAGGAGCTTCCCCCCCCCGGCGTTGGTGGGTTGTCGTCGTGGGTTTGTCGTGTGCCGCCAATGGAATCAAAAGAGAAGGTCACCCTCATAATATCAGGCGCCTCACCCCTTTCCAGCATCCCCTGCTTTGTCTTTTTGGGAGGAGAATTTCTGATAAAAATAAAAATAAAAGAACTGCGGCGCAGACCAGCGCTCAAAGGAAGGGTTGCGTCTGACGATGGCGTCCCCTGGCCGCCCACGTGAAGCTCGGGCCGAGTAACACACCCACAGCATCAGGTACAGGAGGTGACAGGTCATGATTGAAAATGGAAGCTTCTGAGCTCCAACCACCGTATAATGCGACCTCGGGGAGCTTCCTGTCGAAATTGGAAACCATTTCCGCGTCGGCTGACGGTCTATTACTCAGGCTGCAGGGTACTTGCGACACAAAGCTGCCATGTCAGAGCTGACGGCTCGAGCTTTTTAGTTGGAAGATTAGAATTCAACATAAGCATTGAAAAATCGTCGATGCTGGTAATATCGATCATGGCTGAAAAGCAACGAGCCTCGTCTCCCCGGCGTTCGAGTCATCATCTTGCCCCGTGTCATCGTCGGATCGCCAACGCCAGTAAGCACTTGTTCACGACCTCACATCGTGGAGGGGGCGTGCACGATGCGCTTGCTGCTGCTGCCAACAAAAACAACCAAGAGGAAGAGGATACATCTTGAAAATGTCAATGTACTTATCCAAATACCCGCTTGTCAACGCCCCTCTACGGCCGCAGGTTCTCAATCACTGTCTAGAACCTCCAGGCCAAACCCATCTCTCGTATCAATAGACGGCAGGCACCATGCAGGTGCAGCTCATAGTCACGAGGAGTATTCAACGGGATAGTAGACGACCGACCTACACAATAAGAGATGAGTCTTGGTGGCCCTGTACCCGAATATCAAACAAATCTAAACTGTTCCTCCGAATTATTGTTCCCAAGCAAGCCTGTTGTTCCATGAATACGATTTCTTGTCCAAGCAGCAAATATTCCTCGCATTTCCCAAAACAAAACTGATCCATGTCAAACTTCAAATACACCGCTGCCATAAGCTACCATCATTCCATCACGCTCCTGCAAAAAAAACATATTCCGCATCACACTCGCCTAAACCGCGGCACTGGCTCACAAGACACAGTTTGTTTGAGCCACCTACCGTGGTTGACACGTCCTTATCGAAGATAAAACGTCACTTGGACTTCTTGGTTCTCCAACATTCCTCTGGAACCCGCACTCGGTCAAGACTTCTCAAGCACACTGTCCCTTGTGGCCCCCGTGGGCTTACGGAAGCTGGTACTTCTGGACCTCAAGAAAGTTCTTAACTTCCTCGTCATAGACATGAGGAAGGATGTATTTGCCGTATTCGTGCCATCCATTCACCATCTCAGGGCGAGAGTAAAACTTGATATTCTCCCAGTACTCAGGATAGTAGCCAGCATCTTCCCAGTCAAGCAGGCCAATGACTCGCATGCCCTCGTTCACAATGATGTTGTCAGGGGACAGGTCGCCGTGACAAAAGACAATACGATGTCGCCTTTGGTTCAAGGTGCGGAGATACTCGCGTCGGATGTTGACTGGAGCTGACGAAATGGTCGACACCATGTATCTGTTGAATTCCTTCTCCGTCTTGCAAATCGGACCAAAGTGCGTTTTGGTAAGACGGCTGTCACGAATGTCCAAGCCATCACAGCTACCAATCATTTGGGGAGCATTTTCTGGTATCGTAAGTCGTAAGAGCATGTTTCGGACTTGTGTAAAGACATCGATTCTCTCTTCGTGTGTAAGCGTGACCCAGAGCTTGGTCAGAGACCGGCCGGCAATGTAGCTCATTTTGATACTGTAGACGTCCTCACCACCGGCAGAATAAAGCCTTTCGCGGCAAAAGATTTTCGGGACCGGTAGACCTTGCTGGCCAGCATTGCGGAGGGCGATGTTCTCGTTGGAGGAAATAAATTGACCTTCCTTGTAAACGACCCACCGCGTGCGGTGGCAAGCGAGATTCACCTGACGGCCAGGCGCCTTGGATAAGAGGTAGTTGCCTGATCATGTTAGACTTGAGCTGTAGCATAATAGTTAGATAGTGGGAGCTCGCTTACTGGAGAACTCGAGCTCCTCGTCTCTGTCATTGTCCATGTTGTCCTGCCAGTATTCTTGATACAAGGCAGCGAAGGGCTTGCGTTCAATCTTGTGTGGACTGCCAACTTTGAAGACTGCTTCATCAATGCGCCGTTGAGGTTCTGAGGGATTGTCGTTGCGCTGATCGCGGCTTTTGATGGCATCACCAATAAGTGCGATGCCGAGTCCATAGTCTCTGCTCTCAGGCAGCGGGGGGCGATGGCGGAGAGTCTCGGGAATCTTGATGTCGTCCATATCGTCCATAAAAAAAATACCAAAGTCAAAATTTAGTTCGTCTTCAAGCTGAGGTAGAACAATTCCGTGTATAGTAGGGTCCGGTTTCTCGTAGAGATATGTCATGAGCGACTCGACAAGTGCAGTGGCGCGCGGTACGTGTTGCGAGAGACTCCCAACGGCGGAGGGAATAGGACGGCGGAGTCGCTGTAGGGGAATAGGAAGCAGTCCGACTGGCTAACAGGCTAGCGTAACTTGTCCGTGATAATAACGCTTGGAGGCGGGAGGCTGCATGTTTATATGGATATCGAGAGCATGTGGTGAGGAGTAGTTGCAGGTGCCTCCGAGCGTGCGAGTTGCGCTGCGTGACGCAACCGCTCTCCTCCGTGTTTCTCGCCCTGCTTCTCCCCCAGTCGGTCAGCTCTGCTGGTGCGGAATAAACTATTTAATAATAAATAAAACAAGGAAAGCGAAAAAAAGAAGGGGTGTGAGGTGGGTAGAAAGGGTGCCTAGGTGGTGGGCACGAAATGGGTGCTTGTTGGTTCCATGGGCAGAGATGGGGTTTTATGTGCGTATTGGTGGCGTCTGTCGAGCGACAGGGATTTCTGTCGTTATTCCTTTTCCTGGTTCTCGGGCGCCGGTGATGAATATGCAGAGAACGCTATGTTGCCTTGAGCAGCGTTAGGTTGCAGGTGCGCCTGCGTTTGGAGGAGGGCAATGTAAGGGAAAGCCTACCCGAACACGCAGCTGAGGGGAAAGGGGTGGTGGATTCACGTCCATGGCGCACCGGAGCTTGGTCCGTCGTGAAGTTTTCGGGGATGGGCGTGTGGTGTGGCGTGTGTTGAGAATGCAGGCTGGTGAAGATTGGTTGTAGCTCGGCTCCCCGGTTGCTGCCCGCAGGAGGACGGGTCGATGGTCTCCATCATGGAGACGGCGATTGGCGGCGGCGGTCGAGGCCATCAAAACAAGTGGGATATGTTTCGGAAGTCTCCAGGCTGGGCAGGGTTTGTGCTTGGGATAGTTGGATATTCACACGGCGGCGGCGGTGCAATCAAACGGGGGAGACGGGGGTGAGGTGATGCATCGTTGGCGTCGGTTTTCATGCCATTCAAAGGCATTCGTAAGTGTACCCTGTTTTCATGGCTGTGACTTTTTAGTGGGCTTATTTGGAGTTAGCCGATAAATACCAAGCATTGCTTGATGAGAGTAGGATGATGGCGTGGGAGTGGGTGTGTTTGATGAAGCTGTCGACTCGAAGCCAACGGAGAAAACGAGGCTACTACCTACCAAGGCTGGCCAAATGGTGTCAGTTGGCGGCGGGAAGGCCCACAGCTGCCCGTTGTAGCCCACTGTAACCCGCTGTTGCCCGTTATTAGCCCAGCCGTCCGAGCCCCCTCCACAGCTTGACCGTCCGCTAAAATCCCCTGGAAGACGCCTCCCGCCGCTGTCGTCTCATTCTTACAGCTCACTTGCGCTCCAGAATCCCCGAAATCCCTTGCAAGCACTGACTAGCGCCCCAAACATCCACCGGCGAGCCCTGTAAAGCCTCCTGAACGCCTTTCTGCGCCTCTCCCAGAAAGGCAGCTGCCCAGGTGGCGCTGTTCAACCACAGCCTGCCAGCAAAGTTGTGGATGCTTCAATTTCTCTCTTCTCCTCCACCACATCCGGCCTGCATATCTTCTCCCATCTCTCCTCCCATCTCTCCTCCCATCTCTCTCGCGTCCGCATCCCCCGTGGCTTTCCCAACGGCCAACTTCCAATGCTACCCTACCGAGTATTCGACCTCCCGCCTAGGTAGCTACGTACAGTATCATCCAGTTCCAGTGCCCTCCCCTACCTAACCTACCTACATACATCCATACCAGGGTATCGTCACCCATGGATCAGGAATCCAAACGATACCACCATCAACCCCATCACGCCACAATTATCATGCCACACAAACCCCCGTCTTATCCCCCGACCTCCCAGACCGCAGACGATACCGCCGTTCTCACCTCTTGATCCAAAGCCTTGCAGTACACACCCTCACGCCCTGTCCTTTGATCGGAAGCCTGCATATCTTGCCCTTGTCATGCTGATTTTATTGCCTTCAGACCGAGCCACGCCCGCTGTTCTTTGTGATCCTCTCCTAAACGGACAACTCCCTCTACCTTTCTGTCGCCAGGCCATGTCAAGCCAGCAGACCGCCACCGCTCACGCGCTGCTCGGGCGTCATGACCAGCTGTAATTACAGACAATTTTCGACGGGCTCTCCCAAAAAGTTGGAAGCCCGTTGTCGTACAAACTAACGAAGTCTCGGCTCTCCATAGTTGGCCGCTTCCTCTCCGGGCATCCCGGTCTCGCGTTGCACAGCCATGCCTGTTGGTCTTCTCTTTGCTACAATACTGCCGTGGACTGTTTCCACGCGCGCATAGATCAGGGGATGTTCAACTGATCAATGGGACAGCGCCAGGTGTACTCCGTATCACACAGTGGCAGCATTCCGCGCATCCTCAACCCTCTCGTGTAACTGTGACGGTGAGGCCTCTTGTTCATGTTCACAGAATTCACAGACGGCTCTCGGTTCGCCTTCCTGCGTCGTCTACCAGATATCTGAAGAAGCCAATCCTGCACCTCGTCTCGCCGTCTCACGAACCTTGTTTATTATGCGGGCGCGCCCAATATTGGTTTATTAAAGACATGTGGCAGACCAGGTGACTTGTTTCCGCTCCAGCACCGCCTCGGGCGGTACCCGAGATACCAAGACGCTCGTGAAACCTTTAACCGTCGGGTAACCTTTCAAGCACAGCTCTCCTTTTGCTTGCAAAAGGCTACATAACCCTTGCGACTCGGTGCTGTCCTCCCACGGGAGCAACTGTTGTGTAACCACGCCACTCTCGTTTATTCGACATGGCATGGCAGACAACATGCGCACAATAATGGTGGTGGTAAGGTGGCTCGCAGAGAATTACCACCTTATTCCAGATGCCGTACTAGTATTTCTCGGGACTTTTTGCTTGCATGAACCATGCGCACATATTGCAATTATAGTATTGCATTGTCTCCAAGGAATATCGAAGGGGTCCGCCGCCTAACAAGAGACGACCTGCTGTTGCACGGGGAGGCCGGGGAGAGGCGACAACAGAAACCAGGGTCATTGGCCTGAGCACACAATAACTCGCAACCAGCAATTCATCAATCCTCGGCAAGCCAACCCCCAGCACGGTGGCGTATCTGACAAAAAAAGGCGCCAAGTCGGGGCGGGCGCAGTAAACATTGTGACGGACCAGTTGGAAAGCGCAATGTGGCAGCGTGACGGGTAACGGCAGGGGTCACTTCGTCACACACGATACCTAAGTACACATATTTGCGGCACAGCCTGGTGCTTGGGGCACCATCTTTCGACCTTTGCGCATGAGCGAACCTCGGAGAAGGCAGGCAGGCCTGGTCGCTACTAGTCTGATCGTTGGACGGACGGGAAAGATCCGTCAATGCCGTCATCCACTCTACGGAACGACGACCGTTGGTGAAAGGTGTCTGTGCGACAGTCTTGGCTTGCAGGGCCCCATGGCAATCGTTCAATCCTCACCGGGGGCGCCATTTGCACAAGCCTTGGTCCTTTGCATATCACTTGCATCGCTTACATTTTTGCTGCACGGTCTCGGCGTGGGATACATACGACTTTGACTGGGGCATGGGGGAAACAAGTTTCAACCGTCCCGCTATCGTCTTATTGCGTTGCTGGTCGGCAAAGTATCCATGAAGAAGCATAGGATCGACGATCGTGCGCGCCGTCCCGCACTGACATTGTGAGACGATAGGCCCCGCGGCTAAGTTTACAACCAAGATAATGTTTGGCAATTACCAAACAGTATTCTATTGCTTCCGCCTAGAATCCTGGGTCCATTTTTTTTCCTTTTCCTAACAGGATGCTTCGGCTTTGCCATGTTCTCCCTACAGAGTCTACCTCTGCACGGGTTGTCTCAGATTGGCACCAAAAAAGTAAGAAAAGGAACATGAAAGGAAGACGAAAATGCGGTAATGAATCAAGTATGTATTTTGCAACAGTCGTCTCAGCCATTGACTCACAGAACAATTCCGTATTACAATTATCAAAGCTTAGATAAACCTACGTGTGAAATAACTACTCATCACACAAACGAGTGCAGTCATCACTTCTAATTATTAGCTGATCGCTTGACTTCGTGTACTGATACAAGCTATGTATGTATCTATCTATTTAAGGCCCTGCTTGGTGGCACTACGACCGATCCGAAAAGTCGATCAAATCGAAACTCGTCCGAGGCCGCATGACTGCGATACCTATAATGTGTGCTTTTATATTAATTTGTATCTTCTTTTGTTTTATAACAAGAAGCTCCAAGCATTTTACCTAATATCAAAAGTTCTGCCACTTTCTGCCAGAACCGAGACTGGCAGGTAGGCGATTTGTTTCCTCGACGCCGTGTTTGTACGTATAACTACTCGCTGGCTTTTGGATATTGCTTGCCATCTCGCTTTGCAGAAACCAATGCAATGCAGTGTGATAGCCCCCATACAGGGAAGGAGCTGAAGCCACATTGGGCGCCAAGTTGAGGGTGCAAAGCTGTGGAGGAAGAGGGGGGGTGTTCATCGGGCGTGAAGAAGCCCGAATGGAGCCCGATGAGGCGTGGCAATTTCTTTTCTTTTTCTTAACATTATTCTACTTCTTTGCTCCTTTCGCTGACAACGAAACGGTGACTGTCTTTGGTCGTTGCTTTTTCCCTCCCATCTACGTGGCAGAGTCGGGCTTGTATGAAGCGAGGTCACCGCCCAGTCTTGTGATGGTTTTGTGTCTTTTTGGTCCTGGGGCTCATTTCGCGATCGACGCAAGCAACATCGTATCTTGTGCTACCTTGTCGTCTACTCGTGTTTTCTCTTTCCCCGGTAATGGCCTGCTTTCCACCAAGCCCAGTGCGCGGGCAAACTGCAGCTATGCACCTCTTCCACGTCGTTGATTCGCTCGTCTGGTGGCCCGTCCGCCCGCGCTTTGCGCGGATCCGGATATGCATATGCCACCGGATGTAAGCTGGCAAGTTTGTATGCTTTTGCATGCCTTGGTGTGTGAAGGGGGCGTCGGTCACCGACAAAGGTTTTCGAGAATGTAGAGGCGCATATATAGACGTGGTAAATACTGGGTAGTCAGGCCATAACAATTTTGCATGAAAAACAAAAAAGAGATGAAACGAAAGACACATCCCAGACAAAAGCTCAGGTAGCATGCCGTAAGTATCCGCGATTCATTCATCACACCGTTAGCCTGCTGTCATGATTGATCGGGCTCGGCCGATCCCCGTGGGGGGGTATGCGCTGAACATGACCACCTTCTGAGGAAATAGCAAATAGTGTTAATGTATGTATTTAGCACCGATACGACTCCTGTGCAGGGATTGTTGTGACCAGATTCCATGATTTGAGTTACCGGTGTTAAAGTTGGGCAGGGTTTATTTGGTGGCGTTTTGCTCGCGGGCACCTCTGAGGCAGCGAGGGCGCGTTCTTGGCGGATGGCTCAGATAGTCGACCAGATTGAACGGGCAGGCCTTGCATCTCGCATTCTTACTTTCGTTCCGAGGACGGCTGTAAGTCATGATTCTAATTGAGAGACAATCTGCTTTTGCTTTTTCCGAATTTCTATACTAGGGCGGGCCGAGGCCGATTTCGATTTTTAGCACCAACTCTCATAATCAGGTACTGTACGGAGTACCTTTTACCTCATGGATTAGGTAAGGTGCTCCTCGTGGGCATGTGCTACCTATGTAGACTTGTCACGTTGTGCAAGCAACGGCATGATGATGCAGCTGCAGGCTGCACTCCGTGGTTTCGGATAGAGAAAGATTGATGTAGGTAGATGCTCGTACGGCATTAATGCTTCTTTCATATCAGATCCCTCCAAATTACAACCAGAAGGAAGAGGGAGAAAATGACAAAATTCAACAGCAGGCATCTCATGGAAGTCGACGAGAATCGGCATCCACTCTGCTTTAGCGCGCCAACCACTAAAAATTCCGCAATTACCACTAAAAATCCACGACCCAGGCACCGAAAGCCACTGAAACCCCAAAACCCACCACTCAAAGCTGCCGAGGCAGAGTCGAGTGGACCAAAAAGTACATTTCAGCAAAACGCCTAACAACCACCATACATTCCCACTCGGAAATACATACATGTAGCGCCAGCCCTCAGCATCCTCGTGTGCCTCTTGTCGTCGAAGCTGTTTGCTCATGCTTTCTGCCGCCTTTGTTCCCCATTGTTGCGAGCAACACCCCATCCATCACTCATCCCCTGCATCGTCATCATCATCATCATCATCACCAACAACCCCACGCCACCCGACTTTCGTTCGCCTCTCGCTTCCTCCTCGCAAGCCGCCCGCTTCTGTCTCGCTCGACATCGACAGCCCGTCCCGGCCCCAACCCCGGCCACGCACGACTGCAATAACTCAAGCCACCAACCTATCCTTGCAACTCAGCAGTAGCATCTCCGCCGTCCACCGCCCTGCCCCGGCAGCCATTCATCGCCCTCGCTGCTCCCCGCCTGGACCCCTAGTAGTGGCTTGTCCCGCGTATTCGTGCGACGCAGCGGTCTTCCTCCCTCGCTCTCTCATCCGCCATTTGCTACAGCACGGGAGACGCTACAGAAAGCGGCCCGACGACCCTGCACGCCTGCTGCTGCAACCCCAAGCTGCCTTTTTCCCTCTGTCTGTACCACTGTGATTGCGGACTCTGAATAATTACCTCGGAGAAAACCACGTCCTCGCTGTCCTCGGCCGACACAGGTCGCGCTGTCCATTGGTCGCGCCATGATAGCAGAACACCGCCCATCACAATGACGAGGCAACCCTCTGACGCTTTCCTCCCCTCTGGAGGCTTCGACCACGACGCCCTACTTCCGGCCTCACCTACCTTCGCCAGTACAGCCGTGCCGCCCACCACCCACGACTTGCAATCATTTTATCAATACCACACACACGGCGCGACGGACGCTGCCGCTGCTTCTGCCGCCGCCCCCGCCTTCGCTGGTCCCTCTGCGCCACATTTCAACTATGCCTTCTCCCACATACCCCTCGCCTCCTCGCTGAATCCCTCTCTACGCCGCGATAGCAGCCCCTCGCCCACCAATATTGGCCTCGCCCAGGCCCCCAGGCCCGCAATGCCGCCTCCTCCGGCTGGCAGCCTCCGCCGCGATACCGTCTCTCCCAACCTCGGTGTGGCCACCTCGCTGTCGCGCTCTGCCTCTGCAGACGCCGCGGCGCCACAGCAGACGTCGCTGCATCTCGTCCAACGCCTCGCCCAGCAAAACTCGCTGATCCGCGAGGCCTGGGAGGCCGAACGCAAATACCTCGAAGCGAATCGCAGGCGTGCCGAAGAAGTCTACCAGGAGGAGCGTACAATCATGGAAGACATGCGCGAGTCATGGATCACCGAAAAGACCGCCATGCAACGCGAGCTGCATGCGTTGCGTGAGCGTGTCCACCATCTCGAGAGCGAAACTGCCGGCCTCAAATCGCTCACCTCCCCAAGCAGTCAACTAAGCGGTCTTGTCTCGCCCGCCACTGGTGCCAAGCTGCATGCCGACTCGTTGCCACCAGGTCTGCAGGGTGCCTCGCAGCGACCACACTTTCTCAGCAGCAGCGCATCGCGCACGTCTCCCACGGGTAACCCCGAGCAGTCTGCGCTCATGCCTCTCGATCCGCGCACCCAACCCGAGACGTCTTCTGCTCGCGACTTTCTTGCCTCTCGCAAGAAGACGAACGACGCACCGATCCCGCTCATTGATGTACACGAGATCGACCCAAAATTGGACGGCATCTTCATCAAGGCCAACGCAGTCCGCGACACATTTACCCAGTCCTCCATCAAGTCTTCGCCCGCGACGTCGCCACCCACGGATCAGAGCTCCTCGGAGCGGGAGGGTGCGCCCAACCGGCGATCCTCCTCCAAGGCCCAGACAATGCAAGCACTCGCAGCGGGTGAGATGCGCCGTAGGACGATGCACGCGGGGCACACACCCAATCACTCCCTCTCTCTCTTTCCTACCATGACAACGCTAGATGGAAGCATGACGGCCGGTCAAAGTGAGGCGACGACGCCGACGGCTGCGAATAAAACAGTCGAAGAGGAGGATATAGAGCCCGAGGCAGCCCCGGATCCCGAACCCGTGGAACCCGTGCCAGAGGCGGGCAAGCTGCAGGCTGCCCCAGCCGACAATGTCGAAGAGGAACCTCGGCTCGAACCCCAGGACGACGTGCCGCTCAAAGGCCCTCTGATGATCAAGAACATTCCCGCTCAAGACGAGATCTTCTGGGCCCGCGTCAACCAGAAGCTCGAGGGTATCAGCCACAGTGAAGAGGAGGCGCTGCCCACCGTCATCAAGTCGCAGCTGGCAGAGGACGACAAGCCCAAGGCCAACGGCTCGTCCGAGACCTCGGAGACGGCGCCCAAGCCTGTTGAGGTGGACGTGCCGCTCAAAATTCGCACGACCACCAATTTTGGCGCCCCGTTTGGCGTGGCATAGCGTGCCCGCCCAGCTGCCGCGGCGCGAAACAAGACCTGGCCGCCTTGACGGCTTCACATACGCCTCTCTGACCATCCATCCCTTGAAGCCATCGACGCCGAGTTTTGGATTGCTTCATGTCTACACGATTTTTTTCTTTGTCACCATTGTAGCATGTTTTTACGGAATTGAGGAAAACCAATTCCTGCTTCTTATACCCTCCCTTTTTTTTCCTTCGCATTTTATATATAAACCATGTTCTCTTCATTAGAACGGCGAAATCATCATTGGGAATGCTTCAGCGAGCTTTGAGATTTCGGCTTGTTTTTTTTTTTTTTTTTTTTTTTTTTTTCTGTCCAGCATGGAGCTCTTTAGCTTACAAAGTCACTTGTATATATGTCTATGCCATGCCGCATCACCGATACATACACCTATTCTAGACTAAACCATATAGACCTTTTTTTGTTTTACTCTTGACAAAGACGGCGTTTTAATACTGGGGAGGGTGAATATGCCTCGTCTATTCTGCTCTACTATCCTACTTTGATTAAAAGAACGAGAAACTGGCTGAAGAGAAAGCCCAAAAGGGAAAAACGCCGCAGAACACGAAAGAAGGAGTGAATGTGTTTGTCTCCGTCTTGCAATACCGATAAAATCTTGAACATTAGAGAGAAGTTTTCATGACGTCGTTTTTGACAATCCAAGTGCTGGTCGCTATTCCAGCCCCCTTTAAACACCCATGGTGAAGTCGTGCTCGATGCCTGGTGTGACGCTCGCCATGAACTTGCTCGCGTTAGCAGCTATTACCCTCTACTAGGGGCGGGGGAACGTACCTTGAGGAAGACAACCAGGTACTGGTCGACGCGGATGGCCACCTCGTTCTCGTCCGCCACCTCGGTCTCCTGGACCTCCTCCCACTCGTCCTTGTCGGCCGCCTCCTGGGCACCCTTAACGTCGAGCTTGCCAATCTCGTCCGCCAAGCCATCCGTCGCCGCCTGGTCCTGGTGTTGTTGGCCGTGGTGCTTGGCGGCGGCGGCGCGCGCCTTGTCGCGGCGGATGCGCAGAGCGGCGTCGGCGCGGTCCAGCAGCGTCTTCATGACGGAGGCGTGCTTGCAGGGGTGCACCGAGGCCACCTTGATGTTGTTGGCGAAGAAGGGGAAGTCCTCGAGGGTGACGGTCTTGTCCTTGTAGTCGCCGACGATGTCGTCCATCATGTCTTGTGGGGGCAGCGGCTGGCCGCTCATCTGGTAGCCGGAGAGGTAGAGGCGTGGCGTGCGGTAGTACGGCGTGTACATGATGTAGAGGGTATATGTGCGTCGGCCGCTGCAAAAGAGACTCTAGGTTAGCTCAAACTCGGCTATGGAAATAGTGAGGGGAGGGCCTGTCGCAGAAGTAAAAGTCGCACCTCTTTTGAGCACCGTCACCAGCGTCGCGGATGATAGCCTCATCGTCATCCTCATCCTCCATATCTGGAATGTCGTCTTCGTCATCGTCCTCGTCCGGGGCGCCGACGTTACCCGCGTCGTCCACCGTGCGCACGTCCTTGGCCTTGAGCGGCTGCGAGCTGGCGAGGCCGCCGGTGCGCAGCCACCCGTCCTCGTCGTCCTTGTCACCGCCGCTACCGCCGCTGCCCCCGGCGCCCTTATCGAGCCCGTCTTGGACGACTGACTCTTCGTGGCCCGCGTCGCCGGCGAAGTCGTCGTTGAGGCGGCGGTCGCAGGGCACGTTGCGGGTGACGAGGTACTGCTTACCGGCGGGCAGGTAGGAAACGCGGCGGCTCTCGTCGTCAGCGTCACCCCAGGCCCACGTCGGGAACTTGTAGACGAGGTAGTCACCAGCCGCGACGAACTCCTCGGGCGTGATCTGGCCGGTCTGGCGAAACGTGGACGTGTGCGAGACGGGCGTGTACCGGTCGCGGAGTGTGTTGACTGTGGAGTAGATGTAGTTCATTATTGCGAGTGAAGGAGATGTCTATATTGGTGGCTTCTGGTTTGTAGTCTATCGGCCGTTGTTTTCTTGGTGATTGTTTTGTGATGCGTTGTCGTATCGTTTCGAGATTATCGATGTTGGCTAGCTAGGGCTGCTATGGAATGCAGGGTCCAGGTAGGACTCGGAGCAGCTCGCGTATAGAAGATACTGACTTGATGCTGATGATGGAGTCAGGGCAACGGCGGATGACAGTGTCAGAGTGACCCTGATGAGAATGTTGCTTATGACGACGTTGGTGGTGGAAGCTCGTCACATGGCGGGGAGGGAGGTGGGGGAGGTCAAGCGGCCAACGAAGTGGCGGGTTTCTGCCTGGTGATTGGGCGAGGCGGCCGCAGGCAACCAAAGGCAAGAAGGCTACCTACAACACGACGTGTATGTGAAAAGCAAAGTGAAATGAAGCAAATATTCGATTTATTATAGGCCGGCTCTCTTACAATGGGTGTTGGCTGCGGCGTACTTAAGCCTCAGGGAGACGCTGTTGGTGGTGCTTGACCGTGAATGGAACGACCAAAGAATGCGATTTGGGTATTGCCTGCTTCTAAATGCAGTGGATTTCCTCAACTCCATTTTCCCATGCTAGAAAACTTTTATAATATACATAGATGGCGTCGCGTCATTCCCTCCCTAAGCCTTGTTTTCGGCCTCCTCCTCCTCTGCCTGTTTCTTCCTCTTCTCCTCCCTATCCCTCTTTCTCTCCAGCAGCTTCTTCAGCTTCTTGGACGAGTTGAAGACGCCGTTCGTTCCCGCGCCGCACGCAGCGCACGTCGGGTCCTTTCGGTAGCGCTTCAGCGCGCAGGGCTCGCAAAAGTAGTGCCCGCAGCGCGTGATGACGGGCTCGCGGTAGTCGCCCTCGCAGATGATGCACTTGAAGGGGATCTTCTCCAGCATCGCGTCTTCCTCCGCGTCGGCGGCGGCGTCCCCGCCTGCCGTCCCATTGCGATTCGCGCTCGCCACGACGGTGCCGCCGAGATGCGTCTTGCCCTTGGAGGTGACGTCCCAGTCCTTGTCGAGCTGCCACCCCTGTTTGACGTCCTCGCGCGAGTGCAGGTACTTGCAGTTGTCGCCGAAGCCGCAGAATCCCGTCTTGCGATAGTCTTTGCACACGTCTGGGGCAAAGTCCATCACCGTCACGGTGCGGATGTTGGTGGCGGCCTTGACCGGCCCGACAGTAGCCGCACGCGACGGTGCGTCGGGGTTCCGGGTGATGAAGGACGTCTGGTTCGCCAGGCCTTTGTACGTGCCGTCCGGGGCTGCGTTTGTCTTGGTCCGCGATGATCCAAGCAGGTTCTTGGCGGACAGCGCGTCGGCGGCGTGCTCGTCGTACCAGTTTGTCTGCTTGGTGGCGTCGTTGGCGGAGGTGATGGGGGCGCTGCGGTCGGCCGTATACGCAGACGCTGTGAGTTCCTTGTCGGTCGCGGGGACGGTGCCGGCGGGCTTTGAGGACGCCGTCACGATGGCCGTCTTCCGGCGTCGCTTGACGCGCTGGCCGGACTCGTCCTCGGACGATGAGTAGTTGCTGTCGCTATCGGCGGGTGGCGGCGTCGCGGGCCGCTTGCGGATGTTGGCCTTGCCCTTGCCGCCGCGCTTTTTGAACACGGCGACTGGGGGAGTTGCCGTGGCTTCGGATTCCATGCTGATATGTGTATGCGACGGCGGGGTGATGCAATTCGTGGCCGACGATGGAAGAGCGATGTGCCTGAATAGTCCGAGAAAATGCTAGAAGTAAAGTATTTTGCTAGGAGCGCGGTACAGGCGTGGCTGGTTGGCTTCCAGCGGGTTCCAGCACTAAATTTTGGGCGGCAGCGCTGTAACTTCAGGCAGATGAGCTCAACGATGTGCAGAAAGTTGCATTTATCAGCTACAGATTTTTGTTTTTAAAATATATGTTTATTCCTTTCTCCGTCTAGTTCAACTATATATTTTATATTTTTCTTGCTCTCGACTTTCCGCAGCGGTCCCAAAAAGACTATTGCCAAGTACGCAGTGGCAAATCGCTGCCAAATGCCATTGCTTGCTTGGTAATTCGCCGTGATTGACAAATCTTCCACCAACATACTCATTGGTGCGTCAATACACATATCTGAATCGTGGCATCTCTTTATCCGTCAAATCCATCTCGTTGAAATCTTCATCGTCCAGATTATCGAGCGCCGCCACATCGCCCAGCCCCGATGCCTGCTCCGTATCCCGACGTCGATTCTCCCGGGTGAGATGCAATCGCAACAAGATACTGGCCATAAAAGAGATACCAAGACAGATGATGAGAGACAAAAACCCCGAGGAATACCCGGGTGCCTCTGATCCAAAGTACAGCAGAGGGCCAATAATGTTGCCGATGCAAGTGGCCATGAAGATCTAGCCAAGAAGGGCACGTCAGCCACGGTTCGCCTCACAAGGACTCTGCGAGGGGGTCAAAGACAAGGCAGGAAAAGGCTGCCTGCTGCCTGCACCACTTACCACGGCGTTTGTCGTCGTCTTCTTGGTGAAGCCGGCCGTGTTGCCCGACAGCATCGCCAAGAGGAGCGGAAAGTAAGCAGGAAAGCCAGCGCGGACGAGGAGGCCCGCGTACCGACCCCATCGCATGGCGGGTGGAAGCTGCCGGATGAGCAGGCCACCCAACACGCCGAGTAGAATACACCCGGCTAGGAAGTAGGTGCGACTGTTGGGGATCCGCGAGCTGATCCATGCCACGAGAAGCATGAAGCAGAGCTGCGAGAGGAACTCGCCGGACGAGAGCAGTAGAGTGTTGAGAGTTGTGAATCCAAAGCCATTGATGACAATCGGTGTAAACTATTAACTCATCTTAGAGCTGTTTGGATATCTTGCTTTCCCCGTCCACTCCTGCTGGAGAGTTTACTGTGATGGGAGAACTCACACTACTCGCTCCGTTGGCAATGCACGTTCCGAGTTGCACAACGGCCATAAGCCAAGTCTTGGTATCAAGCAGCGCTTCGCGCACCTGATACCACTTGTACACGTTGTTTCGGATCCCCGTCATGTTGTCTCTGACACGCGCAACCGCCATGTCTCGCTCCCGCTTGGACAGGAACCGGGCCTTGGCCGGCACATCGGGCAGCATATAAAGGACAAGACCGGCAAACAAAAAAGTCGCGGCTCCCAGCAGCAAGAAAAGTGCCTGTACTTCCGCCGCTCAGCTCACATGTTCTAGTAAAGTTAAACGACAACGGGAAATGAAGTTACGCGCTCACCTTCCATGGAGCCACCCAGCGGATGTGGCTGATGCCGTAGGCGGCGATGCCGCCGAGTATGCCTGCGACCGAGTTTCCCGCGAACCAGGCGGCGTGCCGCAGCGGCTGCTCGGCGCGCCGGTACCACATGGCGACGATGACGGTGAGGCCCGGGCCAAGCGACGCCTCAAGGACACCGAGGAGGAAGCGCACGGTGAGCAGCCCGGCGGCGTTGCGCGGGAGGGCCATCAGCATCAAGGTGCCTCCCCAGAGGGCTCTGGAAGTCAGGTCAGTTATGCTTTGAATCTTTATTCCGGGGGGCTCTCGATAGACGGCTGGTCAGTGGAACCTCGACTTACATGCACACTGCCATGAACTTGGCGACGGGCATCCGCACCATGATCCAGCCGATCGGGTAGGACGCGACGAGGAAGCCGAAATAGTAGATTGCGGACGCCCACGAGTAGTCGCCGCCGGAGAGGCGCAGGTCGGCCCGGATGCCGAGGATGGCGGCGTTGCTGAGGGCCGACTTGTCAAGGAACTGGAACATGTAACTAGCGGCCATGACCGGCAAGAGGCTACAAAGCGTTACATCATTTGAGACACTGTTGTCTTAGCCTATGGGAGACGTGGGAGTAGTCCTCACTACATGTCAATCTTGCGCAGCAGCGACTTCATCGCGCCCTGGTCAAGCGGCTGGGCTGTCTGTTCGTCGCGAACGATCTGGTCTTGTTCCTTGGGCGCCATTTTCTAGGGCGAGCGGCTCGATGGGCGGAAAACCGTAATAGAAGCCAAATTAAAGCGATCAAAATGAGACAGGCAGATGATCAAACGGCAGACTGGCAGATGTGCAGCGCAGAGGGAGATGTGCAGCGCAGAGGTAGATGTGGCCGCAACCTCAGGCGGACCAGGCGGGTGCGGGGGAGCAGAGCTGCGTCCGATCTGATGACTGATGTCTTATTACCTGCATAAGCCTCGTATTTCATTTCCCGGCAGCCACGTCTCTATATCGATTATGTTTTGCTCCAGCTCTGCTGCTCTCCCATCCGACTGCATTCTTGCTCTTTCCGGGCTCCGATAGTGGGAGAGACGAGGCTCAGCACGGCAAGCCAAAGAAGACACCTTTGAAGAGCATGATCAAGAATGTTCGAGTTTTGAGTGTGTTCCGGATCCTTTTGTCATCATCGCCTTAATTGCGTAGTCGTGATGGAGAAGGCAAAGAATAAACTGTCTACCTACCTCGGCGGTAGACGAAAGTACAAGTGACTTGCCGCGCGACGTCAACTGCTGACAAGATCAGCCGCCCCGGGATCGACAATGGTTTTAAATGAGATTTTCGGCCAGTAAATAAAGGTTCAACAGCTACTACCGCGGCCAATACAATGGCGAAAACGCTTCTCGGGCACAATTGTTAAGATGACGACGCGTTAGTAGAGATCGTTCGGCAGCCCGGCGACGAAGGAGGTGTGCCAAGCGGCAAAGCCGCCAATACGAGCAGCGATGACGGCGACAGTGGAATATGAATTTTTTGTAATTTTTTTTTTTTTACTCGTGTCTTCTTCTTTCTCACATCTGTGAGTTGCCGCCCGTGGTGATGACGCGTTGAGAAAAGGATGGGTCCCATCAAGTCCCGCGATGGGCAACGGCCAACACCAAGCAGCCTGAGAACTGTCCTCGTATTACGACGGATGAGTTGTATTTCCATCAAAAGAGCTCATTTGCATCATGGTGTTGACGAGGTTATTTTGTCCTCGTCAACTACCCTACAGGTTGTGTGCTACGTAGATGCATGCATCCCCGCGGCTCGGTCGCGGTGAAGCGGCCCGCCTAATGGCAATATGACTGTATCTTCGATGACATTGGTCAATAATTTGTGTGAAGTTTTGCTACCCGCTATTAAGTTATCCGTTTCAGTCGTAAATCGTACGTGCAACACCTTACGAAGTACACGCGGGTCGGGAGAGAGCATAAGTTGTTTACTGGTGCAGGTTATGACTGACAAGACCGCCACGCCTTGCATGCGCCGCCACATTTATCGACTGTACGCAAGGTAGAAGTGCCTACATATTTCATTGGTCACGACAATGATAAACCTATCCAAAAACAACATTGTTTTGACTGCAAGAGGCGCGCAAACAAAAGAGAACAGAGACTCATCCTCGTACCGGGTAGGTGCAGCGATCAGGTGTTTCTTTGTGTTTTTTTTCTAGGGCAGCGTAAGCCGTTGATTGGCCGCAAGGGCTGATAACATTGTTGACATGGGGCCCCTGCTTGGCGGCAGTAAGTGTGGCTTCTGGCTAAATGAGGTAGTATTATGCAGCGGGTGCATGATGGCGAGGCAAATATAGGGTTGATGATGGGATATAGGTAGTGAGTATGAGTTTTATGATTGAGTCATATTCAGTTGCTTGTGTTTGAGTATTCTACATGTCGTGAATGCATTTATGCCCGTTTCAAATGGACATGAAAGCTGTCGGGACTTGACAGGTGGTTGCACGGCCGTGGCACATACAGATTACTCGGTCTCGGTATTTCAGGGAGGAATTGGGCGGGCTGTTGCAGATTGTCAGGTAAATGACTTTGAGTGGGCGGACTTGGACGGGATGGTGGAGAAGGGCGAGCAAGCTTAAGATAGAAAACGAGTAAACAAAGACGATGAGAACGATGACGGGCGCGTAAAACACGGCACAGACGATTTAACTCAAAAGCACGTACGTTGTTAGCTGGATGCATCAACGAATCATAATAACAACAAAGCCTGTCCTGCCAATCGCCGTGCAGCCTGTTCAGTGTTTGCTGGTGAGAGGTTCTTGGGTCCTGGACCTGGCTAGCCTCGCCTGGTCTAGCGTGTTTTGTTTTGGCTGCCTCTGACCACTGTGCCTGGATCCTAACCCCACTCTTTGCTGGCCATCCATCCGCTGAGGCCAGCCCACTGTCATTGAACTTCCATCCGCAAAAACACCAAGATTCTCGCGTACGACTTGACTGCTTGGGTTGGGTCGCGTTCGAGACGTCTTTGCTTCATCACAAGCTCAGCGCCTCGGATAGCCTGCAGAGACATTATAAAATGGTCTCGCAGATATTGCACCTTTCTTTTTCTTGATGAGGCAAATGGTCGGACGCGCACAGCCTTATTAGCTACTGTTCCCTCACCATAGCGTGCACGCGCCGTAATAGAGCCCTGTAATAGCACCCACACTCCCTGCAGCTCCCCATACCGCCTCCCCTGTAATCAGCGCTGACCACCAGCATCCATGGCACCACCACCACCAGCGCACCACTCACTGCTCGTAGCTGCCCACCCAAAAAAAAAAAAGACAAACATCACCACCACTTCCTCTCCTCTTTCTTTTCTTTCCCCCTCCAAGGTGGTGCTTCTTCTCCTGATGTCCTTCATCACCACATAGCTCACGCAGATCTCGTCTCCGCGCTGCTGAGTCTACACCAATCCTGACATCACCCCGACCGCTCATCTTCCTGCCACTCATTCGATTCCTCTTCCTTCTTCCCATATTTTCTTCCTCTACGACGCGCCTGTGATATCTCGGCCCCCGCTTCGCTGTCTTGCCCTGGCCCGTCAACCGTCCGTCTCGTCTTTGTCTAGCCCAGTACGCAACTCTCTTTTCCGCGTGTCTTGTACTGTTGTATGTGCACCGGAAAGTCTTGCGCCTTTTTAATCTAATTACCGGAAAAACTGGAAAAAAATTATACTTCTTCAACGACTTACGACCTCGCCCTATCCTATCTCTGTTCGACTTTGAATACTTCCTCTCTTAATAGTCTTTTCTTGCCCGTTCTACCTGCTCTACCAAACAAAAATCGACAAACACCACAGGTAGCGCAATTCCCAGAAAAAAAAAAGACCCGACTCGAACTCTTTTTCCGTTGGTTTTCTGGTCTAACGTGGTTGACGGCCCAATCAACAACACGCGTCATTCCAGTACCAATTGTGTTGCGCCTAACCCGACTGGACACACTGCAGCCGCATTCCTCTCAGGCTCGGCCTCTGCTGCGACCACGAACGTTGCGCTTCGTCACAAGCAGGTTGCGTCAACATATTCTTTTTTTGTTCTTTTTCAACTTCAGAGAAGCTCCTCTGCCGCCCTTCCGCCTCTTCAACTGCTCAAATCGGCTCCCCAAATCTTCTCCAGTTCTGTGCCGCTGGACCTGAGCCTTGTCTCTCCCTACCCCTGCTTGATCCTCCTGCCTTCGACGCAAGGGGCACTGTTTCTTCTGGAGCTCTGTAATTCGCATTACATTTTCTAGTCTCCCGACCGGCCGCGACCAAAACACGCTTTTATTGACTCAGCACTTCACGCGGCCACCCCACTCCTTCTGCAATCCTCACCCAGCAGCTCTCTGGCCAGCTTCATGGTCTCCCGCTGGCTTTAGGCGGTCCTTCTGTCGCTCCTTTCAGTATGGCCTCGTCTATTGCCTCGGACAGACCCAATCTTGCTGTGCCTGCGGCCGAAGATGATGCAGCCAACGATCCCTTCGTTGCCAACACGTCATCTACCGCCCACCACCGCTTCTCGGCCTTTGACCATGAGCTCTTTGCCGCCGGGCCTGGCTCCTCCCCGCGCCAGGCGAAGCGCGCCCTCGAGGCTCATCTAGCCGAGACCGAGCGCCGCCTCGATGAGGCTGGTAAGCTCGGGACCGCTCTCGTATCTCAGCGTAAGGCGCTGGCCGAGCAATTGCAGGAAATCGAAAAGCTCCAGACACAAGGCGAATTGGGCCCCGAACTTCGCCAAAAACTTGTCGAAATCGAGCGTGAATACAACGACTTGGCGCGCGAGTCCGCTCGCGCTTTTCTACCAAAGAGGATACCCTCTAATGAAAATGGCCCTGGCACACCATTCGCACCCGATGGTCGCACTGGCCGGGTAAGCTTCCCATATCGCCTATTCTCTCCAATTGAGTCCATCGTACATCTTCTAACATGTGTCTGTCACACAGCGCTCCATCAGCCCTTCCAAGTTCGATGGCCATGCCACAGGCTCCCCTACAAAGCTTACAGTCCCCAAGCGCAGGGCTAGAAACCAACAGTCGAACCGGATACACGACATTGAGTTTGCCGCAGAAATCAGCCAATCTCTGATTGCGCAGGTACGAAATTTGCAGTCTCTTCTCTCCGAACGCGAAGAAGAAGTCAAAACCCTGCAAAGCGAAAAGTCCCGACTCGAAATCGACACCGAAGGTCTTTACCAGCGCCTCAAGACTCTCGATGAGAGCGAACACCGTTACAAGGACGAAAACTGGAACCTCGAGACACGCATGCAAGAGATGGCTTCGCTTCAAAAGGAAGCATCCGACAAGGAAAAGAAACTGAGTCAGGCCCTGAGCCTTGCCAATATGGAAAAGACGGTCACTCAAAAAGAACTCGACGAGGTGAAGGCGTCCCACGCAAAACTCACCGAGGATCATGCCGCCGCCATGAAGCTGCATGATATTGAGCTTGGCTCCGCCAAGCGCAACCTCACCTTGGGCGAGGATGAGCGTACAGCTCTCCAGAAAAAGATTGATGATTTGACTGGCCAGAACCAAGAACTCGCAAAAGCTGTCTCCGCACAACGTAGTCGGTTGGTAGAACGCGAGCTTGGTACTGGATTGAGCGACGAGGAGTTCAATACCGCCACCGAAAATGCGACCCCTGAGCACTCGCCACCTGCCTCGCCAATCAAGGGTACTCCCCGTCATGCTATCTTGGAAACGGAGACTGTCAAATCCTCTCTCGGCCACGCACAAAGGACGATCCAGAGCCAGAGAAACCAAATCCATCGCGAAAAGACGGAAAAGATTGAACTCCGACGCATCATTCAAGACTTGCGTGACGACTTGGAGAAGTTGCGTAGCGAAGCTGTTCCCAACACAGCCGCTAACCGTCGTACTCGCAAGGTGGACTCCAAAGAACACAAGCGGCCTTTGAGGTTACTGGGTAGCATGCGCTCTGGCAAGCAGGAAATCGTCTTGGATGATCCTGAGTGGGAAGAGCATGACGGTGACTCTCCTTCTGGTAGTCCTACTGTCGCAAGACGGACTATTCTGCCCTCCATCGAGCCTAGTGACCACTTCGAGACTGCCAACGAGGCTAGCGAATCTGCCTTTGAGACGGCCAACGAGCGAGCCACAGAGACGGACGACTTCCAAACTGGCCATGAAGTCATGTCAGACAGCGACGGCGCCGAAACAGAGACGGAATCGAGAGGCTTTGGCAGGATGAAGCAAGCCCCGAACCTGCCCGCCGGCCTTGCCCGACCTGGCACTCGCGAGTCCTTCCACAGCACTGCCTCGACATCCGCTGATGAGGCTCTTGATACTCTGCCTGATGTGCGCACCCCTAGCGGCACCGTGTCCTCCACGAGGAGCCGCTTCAGTCTCAGTCGTCTACCCTGGTCCCGCCGCTCACGTCAAAACAGCGAGGAGCCTACTGTTCAGAGCAGCCCTGTTAGCCAGGTTGGCGGCACTGGCACGCCACGCGCAGCTGGCCAGAGTCTGTTTGCCGAGCTTCAAGACTTTGATGGCAGCGAGGATGATTCTATCGGTGGTACTCCCCGCACTCGTACCATACGTTCCGTTACCCCCGGGTCTACCCGTCGCACGCTCTCACCCGCGCCGCCAATGCCTCGCCGCGCTATTATGGTCGACAGCTCAACCATGACGGAACCAGTCTCCGTTAGACTAGAGGCTGTGGAATCCATGCGACCTACCTCCTCTGGTTCTGTCATCCATACCGGCCACGACATGCCAGACTGGCGGTCCAGCTATGCGACGACAACTGAGACGGATGCGTCGCGCCCTATCTCAACCTTGTCTACTGCTGACATGCACGAGGAAATCGCCCAGTTACCCGTTCCGCCAAATGCTGCGGCGTCGAGGGATCTAGTCTATTCTTCGATACAGACCCAGGGCATAGAACCTCGAGAAGCTATCATTGTCCCGCCTGCGTTGAAGTTTTCCAACATTCTGGCCGAGGGTCTTGAACCTATCGCCAGTCCGCCGCGGTCTGTGCCGGTCATGTCTTTTGGCCAAGTCCAGTCCCAAGCTGTTGAACCGATCGAGCCTATGCCCAGTCCGCCGCGGTCTGTGCCAGTCATGTCTCTGGGCCAAATCCAGTCCCAAGCTGTCGAACCGATCGAACCTCCCACGCCCACAACACCCAAGGCGACTGCGGTGCCCATAGTTGTCCCACCTCCAGTGCCGGAGCTCAGTCTGTCTTCCATCAGCACAGAAACTATTGCACCCACCCCCCTTCCGCAGCCCATCCTGGGTTATTCTGCCATTGCTACTGAGCGAGTCTTGCCAGTAACTGAGCCATTGCCTGTGCCCCCTTCCCTTGTCTTCTCGTCAGTCAAGACTGAGCACACGGTGCCGGTCAGCCCCCCGAAAGTGCCCTTACCCCACCTGACACTGTCCTCTATTTCGTCAGAGACGATCCAGCCGAGAACGAACCCCAAGAGTCGTCCCGCGCCGCTCACGTTCTCTGCTATTCAGTACGTAAATATTGAGCCGCAAACACCAAGAAATGAGAGAAGAGGTGGATTTATTCTACCACGGCAATCCGACAACTCTCCTGAGAAGGCTACTCCCGAGACACCGAACAATAGGATTTTTGGAGCTTTGTTCGGACGCGGAAAGGGCAAAGATGCCTCACCCGCCATCGCTGAAGATGAGACAAGGCAATCTCCGTCAGATTCCCTGCATGCCGAGACACCAGATTCGCAGCGCCCCTTCAAGGAGATTTCGGCCAATGGCTCCACTAGACCACCTCGCAAATCTCCTGTATGCAATACGAGCGACCAGGGTGCCCAGACTGCTCTGACTGGCGGAGCGATTGATCGCCTGCAAAAGGGTCATGCTAAGAGCCCGTCGGTCGCTTCGGTCGCTTCGGTCGGCAGCCCAGAGACAATGTGTACCGTCCGGATCCACCGTTCGCACGAGAGTCTGGCTAGTCACGTCAACCGTAGCGTGGACTTTGACGACTCCATGTTCGATACTGGGTCTGTGATTGTTCGTCCTGATAGTGCAGCCAGCGGGAGGCGGTCGGCTTACGAGGCAGCGCCGCCTTTGCCTGCGAACCACCGCCAGGCGATCCAAGCCGCCGGTGCCCAGACACGGAACAACATGGGCCCGCCACTGTGGCCTGCTTCCGCTCTCAAGCGTCCCAGCACGCCGGGCCAAGGAAAGCGACCATTGCCTGGCGAGAATGGAACACCAACTCCCCGTGCCGGCCGTGCTGCTATCGTCGAGTTTCAGCACAAGCCTACAGCCATTGAAAGACAACCATCGGTGTCATCGTTTGCCTCTGATATCGATGCGCGATTCGACCTGTCTGCTACGGATATTGATCCTACTGGCTTCGGCCCGAACACGGATCCTCGCATGATCCAGGCCATTACGCAGACAATGATTGGTGAGTACTTGTGGAAGTACACGCGCAAGACTGGCCGTGGCGAGCTGTCTGCGAACAGACATCGACGGTACTTTTGGGTCCACCCCTACACGCGAACATTGTACTGGGGCGAGAAAGATCCTTCGAGCGCTGGGCGATCTGAGCTCAAGGCCAAGAGCGTGCCGATCGAGGCTGTCCGTGTCGTGACGGATGACAACCCGATGCCTCCTGGCCTGCACCGCAAGAGTCTGGTCATTATCGCGCCGGGCCGCACAATCAAGTTTACCTGCCCTACTGGTCAGCGCCACGAGACATGGTTCAATGCCCTTTCGTATCTACTGGTGCGAACGGAGCCCCAGGCAACATATGACGCTGAGGATGTGGCCGGCTCCATCACGCGCGAGGATGTTGACGAATTCAACCCGCAGTTTGGGCGGCGAGCTGGGCAAGGCAACAGGCCGGAACAGCAGTCGCTGTCGTCGTACAACTCGCGCACTGTGAGGAACGAGTCCCCGGCTGAGGTGTATTCGATGGCTGTGCCGACACTGACGCCGACGCCGCACCGGACTGCGCTTGCCAACAAGGCGTCCAAGGGCGCGCTGAACAAGATTAGCGGATATTGGAAGCTGTCGAGTCTCCGGAGCCGCGCAGGTGGCAGCAACGTCGAACTGTACGCAACAAATCAGGTGCATGACAGTGCCGAAGACCTTCGTGAAATGATTGAGCGGCAGGACCGGGACGCGGATCGTCTGGAGAACGTGCGAGCGTGCTGCGACGGCAAGCATGATGTGGGAAGCGTTCCTCACTCGTCGAAGCGACATCGTCACAACCATGCTCATCCGACCTACTCGGCCAATACGACACCAGTTTCGTCCATGCGAGCACGGGCTTGAGCGTATCCCCTTCCTCCGAGCAATACCTTTTTCTATGAGCATTCTTTTTACGAAACACTCTACACTCCTTACGGAAACATGGGACAGTCTACTCCCAATTTTCTCACTCGAACCCTGATGATTCTGACGAAACCTTTTGTTGGTCCAGTTTTTCTTTTTACTCTTTTATTTTATGTTTTTGCCGCATCACCTGTTGAAACTAGATCGGTCATTCAGTCTCTCACTCACTCACTCACTCACTTACTCACTCATACCAGCAGTCGATGGAAGACTGCAGCTTTCCTTTTCCGTCATTTGTAAAATAAGACGTGTTTTCATCATTGTTTCGTCGTCTTGGCTTGGTCTTTATTGATAGTGGTAGTTTTTTGTGAACATAGCCTTGTTGATGGACGGGAGAATGATTCTATATGTATTCTTTGGCAGGTATCGAGATGAAACAGCCATTCTTTTCTTCACCCTGAGCCAAGAGGCGTTTTTCGTGTTTGTGCTCTTTTTGTTTAGCATGATAATATCATACTTTGCACGCACGACTGTTGATTGTGGTGCCGTGGACTCACTGCAGATGGTGGCTGGGTCGTTACAGTCGAGGCTCACTTGAAACTCATCTGATATCAACCAACCCACTGTTTCGGTATTCTCTATGAAGATCTCTGGCTAACCAACACCCATCCAACACCCATCCAACACCCATCCAGCTGCTTCTCTACAACTGGAATAGCGCCCGTCCAGTGGAACCACCAGGCGATGAAGTTAGTGTGTGTTTGCTTGCCTGGGGAAGTTTAAGAGTCACGTCCTGAATGAAGTTGCGAGCGATGATGGCCATGCTAAAAAAAAAAAAACACGTATTTCCTACCATCCCTCCAATTTACACATGAACAATGTCAACCAGTCGCTTTTAGAGGCGTTTGTGGGAGTAAGATGTACCTAGAATGCTCGACCCATCACATGACGTAGTTGGACCACGCGCGGTTCTGGACCCAACTTTTTCTTTTTTGGCGCTGGAGCTTGTTCCTCAGTGACACCCATGTATGTATGTATGTATGTACATATGTGAGCTGGCTTGGTTGCTTCTGATGGAGGCGGCTCAGCTCTCTGTTCTTTGACATCAACACATACATGCACACACCACTTTCCAGCGCCTGGTTACTATCTCTATTTCTCGTTCCGCTCTTTGATTCCCCTTTCCCACTCTTATTTCTAGCGATCTTGTTGATTTCCCCCTCTTCTCTCGTTTACACCACCCTCTGTTCTGTGCACACGGACCGACCGGCTTTAGGACACCTTTTATTGGAACCCGCCTCGTACCGAGCACATACCTACCTACCTACCCACGTTTGACATGCGGCCCTGTCTCAGATCATCATAACATCTTACGACTACGATACCCCAAATCTTGTTCCTTTGACAATCCTTCGCAACTATACATTACCGATACACGACAACATTGCTCCGCCCGACACACATACACACATACCTCGCCTGCCATGGGTCCCTGGACAGCCCTGCTGGTGGCGTACCTCCTCGGAGGCGTCACCTTTGTCCCGCTGCTCCTCGGCCTTGTCCTGCTACACGCCCACTATACGCTGCCCTTTTGGTGGGACATGGATGGCGGCGTCGTGCTGGATGGGCACCCTGACAGCGTGGTCCAGGACGGGGACGATACGGCCGCGCTCGCCGCCCACCGAGCCAAGCAAAAAGAGGAGGAGAGGGGTGACAAAGGCGGCGACGATGATGGGCGGAACAGGCGGAAGAGGGACTCCGACGCCCACGAGATCGATGTCGCCGCGGGATACTTTGCCGTGTGTAGAGAATACACGCTCATGGGCATCAACGCGAAGCCTATCGAGCGGGCCACACCCGTCGGCACCGCCACAGTCGCGCCGCCGAGCCCCAGCGTTTACCAGACCATGTACAGGAGCCTCTTCGAAAAGAAGCCCGTCCCGGGGCCGATTGAGAACAACAGCATGAGCCACAGGCCGAAGAAGGCCGGCAATGTATTTTACGTGGTATTACGGTACGGGACAACTGTTCCCTGAAAGCTTGACGAGTCAGCGTCAACTAACAAACGGCTCGCAGACACGGCCACCTTATGCTCTTCGACGACGAGGAGCAGCTCGAGGTTCGACACGTCATAAGCCTCGCCCACCACGACATCAGCATATATTCAGGCGGCGACGACACCCCCGAGGGCGAGCTGTTCATCAAGCGCAACGCCCTATGCCTAACGCGCCGCCATCCCGCCGCCGACGATGCCGGGCCCGTCGCCAAGCCGTTTTACCTATTCTCCGAGAACTGCTCCGCCAAAGAGGACTTTTACTTTGCCCTGCTCAAGAACCAGGAGCAGACGTTCCCCGGCCTCGACCGCTGCCCGCCCCCGCCCAAGCACTTTGATAATAAGGACATCATCGCACTTTTGCAGCGCCTGCACTCCAAAGACGAAGGCGTTCACACGCGCTGGATCAACGCACTGCTGGGCCGCATCTTCCTCAGCGTCTACCGCACCAAGGACCTGGAAAACTTCATCGCGAGCAAGATTACTAAGAAGATTGCCCGCGTCAAGACGCCGTCGTACCTGACCAACATTGCCATCCGCAAGATCGACACGGGCACGGCCGCGCCCTCCCTGCACAACGTGCGCCTCAAGGAGTTCAAGGTTGAGGGGGACTGCATAATCGAGGCCGATATGCGCTACGACGGTGGTTTCCGGCTCGAGGTTGCCGCCACAGCCAAGATCGACCTCGGCGCGCGCTTCGGCGGCGCACGCGGGGTCAACCTCGTGCTCGCCGTCGTCCTGAAAAGCCTCGATGGCCACGTTCTCTTCAAGGTCAAGCCGCCGCCCAGTAACCGCCTCTGGCTCTCCTTTCAGTCCATGCCTAAGATGGAGCTCGCCATCGAGCCCGTCGTGAGCAGCCGCCAGATCACCTACAACGTCATCCTCAACCAAATTGCCAGTCGCATCAAGGAGGTCTTTGCCGAGACCCTCGTTCAGCCCTTCTGGGACGACGTGCCCTTCTTCCGCACCGAGCACAAGCAGTGGCGCGGCGGCATCTTTGAGGGTGATGATGCCGTTGAGGGTGAGGACGCGTCTGCTGCCGAGGCTCCGACACCGCTGCCACCACCAGCTGTGCCGATTCCCGATGTTGACGGCCCCTCGGATACAGTTGTTGTCGGGGAGGATACTCAGCTAGCTGTTGTGGCCACAGAACCGCCTGTCTCTCCCCGACCTGTGGAGAAGAGCCAGACGATGCCCACGCTTGAGAGCCAGCAGACACCCGCCACGGGACTTTTTGGGCGTCGACTCGGCGGGAGCAAGCTCGGTGCAAATTCGCCCGCTGCCGCCTCCGCGGTTAGCCTCGACGCCAAGGGCGCCGCCGCAACGACGTCGCGATCGCCCAACATCATCAAGCACAGCAGCGTGGAGCCAATTGTCGGCACTGAAGCTGCGCATGCTGACTGGTTCCGGCCCTCGACTTCCCCGCCCGACCACGCAACGAGCCTCATCGCTGCCCTGCACTCCAAGGCTCAGCAGGAAGCAGCTGCAGCATCGGCGGCTTCGCCAATCGTCACGCCCGTCGGGTCGCCCGGCAAGCAGCACGCACGCATGAAGTCGAGCGATACTTCCTCCACGTCCTCCAAGGAAGAAGCTTCCCACGACTCTGCAGCTAGGGCGAGTGATAAGCAGCACAGCGACAGCACCCCGCCCACGCGTCGCAACACCGTCTCGTCCCTCGCGTCATCCCACGGATCATCCCACGAAGGCGGCAGGCAGATGTCACCAAACGGCAGCGCCTTTAGCCAGGCCGGGTCCCTTGGGCGCAAGTTCTTCATGAATCGTCAAAACTCCAACGCCTCCGTCTCAACCACCTCAACGGGAGACAGCGGGACCAACGGGCCGAAGCGCAACAACACGCTCGCCGCCGTGACCAACGCGGCCAACCAAGCCCGCCAGTGGGGTTGGAACGCCCTACAGCGGCAAAAGGACGCGCGCCGCAACAGTGAGGCCGCCGCGAGCCACGTCGACCTCAGCCAGCCGATGGGCCGCGGGCAGCCGCTGCCCCCGCCGGGCATGCCGCTCCCCGGGCCAACCAACGGAAAGACGAAGATCGTCGCGCCGATTGCGGTGCCCAGGCGCAAGCCCGTGCCGCCGGCGTCCGTCCCAGAGGAGGAGCACGCGGGTAAGCTGGAAAAGGAGGATGCGGAGAGGCCTCGGACGAGTCACGCGCAAGAGAGGGAAAAAGACGTGAAGCCACCGCCGCTGCCGCAGCGCCGCCGACGAGGTGCGAGCCAGGCCGATGAAGACGGTGACGATGCCGGCGTGGAGAACATGCTGGTAATAAGCGCGCCGGACGATTCTCAACCGCCGACACCGATGGATGATGAGGACGAGGGCTCCTTGTTTGCTCCGACCAAGGTCGAGAGCAACACCTCGGCTGCTGCCGAGGGCATCCCGAGGAAACCGGTGCCGGTGCCGATTGCCGTTGTCAAGGATGTGGACCCGGAGGCGGACAAGACGCCGGTCGCCCACCCCGCCCCGATCATCGGGGCGGAGGTTGATGCTGCTTCCATTGATGACCTGGAGTTAGAAGGGGACGGGAAGCCGCTGGTGGCGATGCCCCTGTCTACGACACCGCCGGAGCCTACTGTCGACGATGATGATGATGAGGGCCTCGCGGGGTGGCTTGACGAGGACAGTGGCCCTCCGTCGCCGAGCCTTACGGAGGACGCGCTGCCTGCGCCGGTGACGAATCTTGCGTGAGGAACAAGGCGGGCATATTGTACATATAGGAGAGCGGGACATTACTATATCTAGGATGCGTCCGCCGGGCAGGAATCATTAAGGAGCTCGGCGTTAAACGGAACTGGGTGATGCCGACCAGGAGTCGGATTTATAGTATAGAGATGTTGGGCCGAAATTCTAATCAGGACCATGACAGCGGAAAGCACCCGAGTATTAATAGGGATACCGTGTATTGTGATTCAAACGCCAAAGCCGCCATCACAACTCCTCGCCCGCTTAACAAAGAAGAAGAAAACAAGAAGCAATATCGTACAAGTAAAAGTACCCTACCACTCTAGGTCCTTGAGCCGCAGCGCCTCCGTCAAGCTGCCCATCACCGGCAGCGCGCTCGCGCGCTCGCCCACGACCTTGGCGCGCTGCCGCGCGCGCGTCCAGAAGACGGGGCAGTCCTTGCTGTCGCACGGCACGTCGTCCAGCGGCGCGACGCCCATGCAGCCGCGGCAAACTTCCAGCAGCTCCTGGTAGCGACGCTCCTCCGTCGCGAGCCTGGTCTGCAGCTTGAGCAGCGACTCCGGCGCCGCGGCGCGACACCTCGGACACAGCGCCGCCGTGGCCGCCGCCGCGGCCGCCGCCGCAGCCTCGCGGAGGAACTTGACACCGCAGACGAGGCAGTGCGTCGACTTCATGTACGACTCCAGCGTGGCACGCTTGCTGTTGGACGGTCCGCCGGCTTGGTGGGGGATGGCCCGCTGGACCTTGGGCATCTCGTCGTACCACTGGCGGACGTTTGCGCCGACGAGGTTGAAGATGCGCTCGAGCGGGGGCACCAGGTTCTTGCCAATGTAGTACTCGGCGTCGAGCTGCCAGTGCGGGTTGGCGAGGAGGTCCTCGGGGGCGACGCAGCGGTCGATGAGGCGGGTGCCGGGCGCGCCGGTGATGACGACGTACGGCACGCGCTCGCCGTACTGCGGCTCGGCGCGCGCGTCCTCGAGCATCCGGCGCGCCGAGATGAGCGCGCCGGCCGGTGGCGGGCCCTTGTCCGAGTAGCTCCCGAGGCGCACCTCGCGCGCGAAGCAAAAGTCCTGCACGCTGACGGCGCCGCGCATGATCTTGGCGCACTGCGCCTGGAAGTAGGCCTTGATCTGGCTCAGGTCCGCCGTCTCGAAGAGCAGCCGGAGCGCCTTCTCCTCTATCTTCTGCTCGGCGGGGGTGCCATCGCGCCGGACCGTCTCGATGCCCTTGGCGTCGAAGACGGGCGCCGCCTGGTCCCGAGTCTCGTACATGTAGCCCACGTAGCGCTTCTTGGTCTGCAGCACGCACGGGAGGTAGACCTTCTCAAACTTGAGCTTCATGGGTCGCGGGTTCATCTTGGTGATCTCTGCGGCAATCTCGTTGCCAATGTCAAAGGCCTGGTCCTTGGTGCGGCCCTTAAGGTGGATGAAAAGGCTGTCCGTGTCGCCATACACCACCTCGGCGCCCCATTTCTCGACCGAGTGTATGTAGGCAATCGATCGCTCGAGCGTCTCTCGGGCGGTTTGCACGATGCTATCTGCGATTTCGGAGCAGGGCATGCGGCCGGAGAAAGAGGCAGAAGTGTACCCGTAGGTAACATTGGCGAGCAGCTTCAAAGCAAGTTGTCTATTGTTGAGGAGCTGTTGTAGCATTTTATCGTCCTTGTCTTCCTTCATGCCACTCTTAACCATGACTCTCGTCTCCAAGATCTCGGTTAACATCTTGGCTAGCAACGACGTGCGAATCTCTGCCTTGACAAACATCATGCCGTTGGGCGCAATGTTGATGTAATCTTTCAGCAATGCCATGAGCCCAGCTTGCCGCTTGTACTCTGTAAAGCCCATCTTGCTGGTTCCGCACCAGTTGACAATGCGGCCCAGGAAGGTCGAGTAGCAGTAATTATAGGCGATCATGACACTGGGGTACAGACTTTGAAAATCCAGCACAAGCACTGGACTGCTATAGAATGCGCTTTGGGGTTCCATGACGAGGGGCAGACATTCTAGTGCATTTTGGCTGCCAACCTGTTTCTTGCTTGGCGAAATGAGCAGAAAATTTTCCGGCTTGGCGATTCGAAACATGATGGACTCTACTTTGAACTGCGAGCCGCGGGAGAATACAGAGAAGAAGTCAACGCCTAGGAGTCGAGCTTGCTCGCTGGTCCTGGGAATGAGCTCATTGGCCTCGAGAATTTGTAGATCGATCTTGGTGCGGCTCTGGAAATAGCGAAGCAGTTTTGATAGATCGCTGGGTTTGCCGCTCTTGTACCACGCTGTCAAGGTCTTGTAGGAGAAGCGAGGCACACGCCGGTGAAGCAAATGCCAGGCAACATTCTCCATGGTGTATTGCAGCAGATTCAGCTCTCCGCGCATAGCTCGCCAAATATTGATCATATGACGGCCCGTCACTCGAATCGTTGACGTGGTGTTGAAGCCCCAACGATCACTTTGTTTGCCAAATCTACCATGCGATTGGGCATTGACTCTCGAGAGCTCATCGCATAGATTGTAGTCATATTTGAGTCTTGCCCTCTCCATCAAAAAGCCCCAAGAACCGCCGTGAACCTCATATCCAGTCAAGATATCCGGGTCAAGTTCCTTCACCACGTCAACGAGGCGCACGAGGAGATCCAACTCGGAATCCTCTTCGATGACGTCAGTTTTGCAAGCCTTGCGCATGCGCTTTGCCACATCACCACCTGGTCCTAGTACAATAAGGCCGGAAATGGTACCGTCGCCATCAGTCTGCGAGGCATACGAGACTTCATCGCCCTTGCAGCACCAAAAGATGCACTGGACTTCGTCTTCTTCAGGATTCGGAACGAGCTTTGCTCGCGTGTTAACATGAACTTCAAGACTCATAGTGCTCATGTACTGCACTTCGTGCTGAACGCTGGTGGACTTGCGCTGTTGCGTGTACTTGAAGCCATGCTTGTTCTTTGGCGTTGGGCCGTCAATCTGAGACAGGTATTTGCTGCGACGCTGGACAAAGCTTGGATTTGCAAGCTTCTCCTTTTCATCAAGCCAGCGTGCCACCTCGGTAAATGTCGGAGGCGGTGTGCCTATCTCCCATGTACGCAAGTTGCAGGTCCTTCTTTGTCTCTCCACTGTTAGATCAGAGGGCATTGAAGTTACGTCGAAAGCTCCATTGCCATCGTCACCAAAGTCGAATGCAGGTAGGTACGGTAGTGAATTACCAATCAGCCGAAATTCCCGGCCCGCGTACTCTCTGGCTCGAGGAGGAACATCTTTTTCATTACCGTAGAATGGATCTTTGTAAAGTTGATCTAGCAGGCGGAACTGTGCAAGCGAGTCGGCATCGTTTGGTGGTGGCGGGAGCGTCGAGAATATTATAGTTGGGCGTGATGACGTATTAGCGATGGCTTGTGGAATCTGCTCTGTGCCATTGCTGCTTGCAGAATCGAGTGGGCTAGCCTGCGACAAGGAGAATGGTTGCGATGACGGAAAGGCAAATCCGTGACCGCCAGAGGAGGTTAAAGTGGACATATCTGACGCACGCTTGACAGGTAAACCAGCATCGCTTGTCTCTGAAGCCGATTGCTTGCTTCTTTGACTCAAGCGCAGTCGTGTATGAGGGTCATTCTGGTTCTTGACAATCGCAAAGTTGAGCGTGACCCTTGATGTGGTTGATCCGTCGGACTGTTTTGGTATTGGTGACGAAGCCAGGTTGAATGTCGTTCTGCGCTCTCCTGGATCCGTCTTCGACTTTGGCGGAGTTTTGTCGCCGTGTTTGGCCTTCTTTGAAATCATGTCTGACCACAGTCCCGAGCCAGAACGCTTCAATTCTCTCTTCTGGGATGTCGGTAGCCTGTGATATCTTGACCTTCCAATATACCCGCCATTCTCAGCAGCATTTATAATGGTCGCTGATACCGCCATGATAGGTGGACGGCCCGTTCTGCAGCCGCTCACACAAATGCCAGGTATCGAGTCCTCTAATGGCTTCCTGCCCAAAATCGCCGGATCTAGATGGGACGGTTCCGAGTCTGAATCGTGCTCCTCGCCTTCCATCAGCTCATGCAAAGCTTCGTCATCGGATTCTTGAAAGTAAAAAGATCCGTCGGCAGCGTTGGCTTGGCGCACTTTCTGTTCATCAACCTCAATACTGCTGGCCGGATCAATTTTGTCCTCTGGAACTGTAGGAGGAAGGCCAAGTGCTGGCAGAAGGCTGGAAGGATGCAAATCCTCGACAGATTGCAGAGCCGTTTTTACGGTCGCTTCGAAAGGAACCGGCCGCACAAACTCTTCGAATGAAGAGACAGCAGGGCCAATGCTCTCGCGATCTGCAGCAGCAAGCTCTTCAATCCTTGCCTTGTACTCATCCTCATGAATCCAGCCCTGTGACAGTGAAGCTCGCGGCTCGGCAGACATTGGCACCAAAGCTTCGGGTGGAAATGGCGTGTTGCCAGGTTTGAGACCAGGTATGCGCCGTCTACGCCGTGCCGTTTCATCTTTCCATAAACCTGCCATGCTGTGCACGAGCTTCATATCGCTAGGTAGTGGCTTTTTGAACTCAACAAAGCCATGGTGGAGCTGACGTTCCTGCACCAGCGTTCGGTTTGTGATATCCTGGACGCAGATATCGACTTCGATAGAACAACGACTAACACGAGGTAGTGTATAATCATCTGTTATGCGACCTGGAGGTATGGACAGGTCATGCCACAGATGCGACGAGTTCGAACCGTCATTGTGAGCAGGCACCGGCGCACGGAAAGCTGTCTGTGATGCATCCAAATAATCGCACCCGAACAAATTATAGTCGATCATAAACTGAGAAAGGTATTGCAAGTGAGCTTCATACGGCTGGAGCTTCTGTTTCAGAATAGCGCCTTGCTGAAGCAAATCGGCTAGACGCGTCATCACCATGGGGTTGAACATGTAGATCTTGAGAAAGAAGCGATATCCAACATGGTAGCCATAAAATGGTACACCCTTGACGAGGGTGATGCGCGCAACGAATCTCGAGCTGAGACCTTGCCCATCTCTTCGGAAGCTCACAGATAGAGCATGATCGATTGAGAGATGCAGTCTGTAGATAAAAGATCCGACTCCAGAAAAGTCAATACTCCGTCACTCACCTGCGATAGTGAGAGGATATCACATACCTTCATCTTGGGAGAGGTCACCCTCATATTCGACAAACAAATATGGAAATGCTCCATGGATGTGCGCGCACACTTTTTGCCCTGTCTCTGTTGATCCAAAAATTCGAATAACGGGAACTTTTGGCCCTCTGGCCGCCTGGGAGGGTCGTATGTCATTGCGAAGCTGCGGGTCGTATATAGTGGGCGTCGCCTGGTAGCTGTCGATGCAGTTCAGTCTGACGCGGAACAAGTCCATTATTCCCAACGCGTGAATCCATCGGGATGCATGGAGTAAATGTGAAACCTGGAAGGCAATAATCTTTTTCACCCAAATGAAGCCGCAACGGCTAGCATTTGCTCTCCCGTCGAAGCGTGGCGCCGCCAAACGCGACAGGCAGCGACAAGAGGCGCCCCACTACGCGAACGCACGTGATGATAGTGGCTTCTTATCGGCGACTTGGTGCCTTTTCCGTCGCAGTCTTGCCTTCTCATCAGCTCAATATCGAGGTGCTCTGTGCGAAGGTTACAAACCATATTACTTCTGATCAATCTACGACCGTTTCTACTACTACTGCAACGAAAAGGAGGCTGCGCGCAGTCGGCTAGCCTCCCAAGTAATGCCTCCTCCTCCACCAAGGAAGCCCGAGACGGGCGCTGCAAATAAGGAAGAGAATATCTACATCCCTTCCTTCATCAGCAAGAAGCCATTCTATGCCGGCGATGACGATGACGATGGGGCCGATTACCTGAAGCATCAACGTCGCGAGGAAAAGAAGGAATCGACGAAATGGTACGACCGCGGTCGAAAGGCAGGCCCAGCCGCAACGAAATATCGCAAAGGCGCCTGTGAGAACTGCGGCGCCATGACACACAAAGCCAAAGATTGCCTAAGTAGGCCACGCGCGAAGGGCGCAAAGTGGACTGGCAAGGATATCCAAGCCGACGAGGTCCTACAGAATGTCAACCTCGGGTGGGACGCGAAGCGAGATCGTTGGAACGGCTACGACGCTAAGGAATATAAACATGTGGTGGAGGAATATAACGAAATGGAGAAACTGAGAAAAATGGCACAAAAAGGCGCCGGTGTCGACGATGAGGACGACGAGGGCGACAAGTACGCGGAGGAGAATGACATGAGCAAGCATCAAAGCACAGCTACACGACAGCTGCGTATACGAGAAGACACAGCCAAGTATCTACTGAATCTGGATCTCGAGTCTGCCAAATATGACCCTAAAACGCGATCCCTGGTCGACGGCGGCGCGACCGCCGACAAAGCTGCAGATTTGTTTGCCGAAGAAGGATTCATGAGGTCCTCGGGGGATGCAGGCGAATTCGAGAAGGCTCAGCGACTTGCATGGGAGGCACAGGAGAAGACTGGAGATACGTCTTTGCACATGCAAGCCAACCCAACTGCCGGAGCCTTTCTCCGAAAGAAGGAGGCCGAGGAGGATGAAATGAAGCGAACGGAGAGAGAGAAGCAGCTTCAAGATAAGTACGGTGGCGGAGAGCAAAAAGCCTTGCCAAGCTCTATACGGAATATGATGATTACAGAATCCGAAAACTTTGTCGAATACGACGAGGCTGGGTTGATCAAGGGTGCACCAAGGCAGAAGGCTTTATCCAAGTACAAGGAGGACGTCTTGATCAACAATCACACTTCAATATGGGGCAGCTGGTGGTCCAATTTCAAATGGGGTTACGCTTGCTGTCACTCTTTCATTAAGAACAGTTACTGCACAGGAGAAGACGGCAAGTCGGCTTGGGAAGCTGCAGAATTACAGCGGACAGGCGCCAATCTCGGCAATGGCGACGCAGAAGAGACAGCGACGGAGGACAAGCAGCCAGACGACAAGCCTCAAGAGGATGAAAAAACCAAGAAGAGAAGCAGGGAAGAGATGATGAACGGTGTCACAGAGGAAGAAATGGAGGAATACCGCCGGAAGAGAACCGTGGCAGCCGACCCTATGGCGAAGTTCCTGGGCAAGGACGAGCTGCTGTAGAGACAGTCCAGTCTACATACATACATGACATGAATATACCACAAAATTTACAGTTGAGAACACATTTATCGCTTCACATTTGTAAGCACGAGGTCGTCAGACGACGGGCAAGTACGGTAATTGTTTGTAATCATTCCATTTTTATCCGTTGATCAACGCCCCAAGCCATGACGCGAAATCCCTTTCCGAAGTTCAAATGGCAGTTTCGTTGCACAATTTTCGTGAAGAGGGCAAGCAGCGACAATATGTGGTCAATGCATTTACTCCTCGTCCTCCTCCTCACCCTCCTCGCCGTCGGCGGCAGCCTTGGCCTTCTTTCTGCGGACACGGCCGGGGCGGCCAGAGCCGAAGGGAGAGTTGAGAGCGAAGTCAATGTGCTTCTGCGAGTCGAGACGGACGATGAAAGAAGGAACGTTGACGATCTGCTTGCCGACGCGGATGTGGCGCTGGCGGATCAGGACACGGGCGTGGTGGATGGACTTGGCGAGGCCGAGCTTGTAGACGCAGGTCTGGAGACGACGCTCAAGGAAATCCTCGATCTTGAGGGCCAGGACGTAATCGAGCTTCATGCGGGACTCGTCGAGGACACCGACGCGGACAAGACGGCGAATGAGCGCATTGCCTTCGAACAGACGCTTAGGGTCCTTCTCGTCGAGGGTAAGGAGCTGACTGCAGTGCGAAGATTCTATTAGCCAACAAAATTCCAACAAATATAGTTCGAGGTTTCGAAAGAGCGTACCGAGCAGCACGACGAATCTTGGACAGCGTCAGACCGACGCGCCAGACCTCACGCTTGTTGCGGAGGCCATACTCGCCAACGAGCTTAAGCTCGGAGTCACTATTGTATCGAGGTCAGTCTTGAGTCACAATCGACGTAAACAGAGACAAGCTCATGTTCAGTGGCCGGTGAATACTGACAGTCGGGCAGACTCGAAGGGTCTACGGGGGACACGAGAGGTCTTGGAGTGGGCGCGAGGAGGCATCCTGAATTGATGTGGTTAGAGATTGAAAATTCGCATCTTGGGTTCAACTTTGGGCACTCACTTGACGTTACTCCGAGTTGTTACTGGAGAGTGAACTTTTGCGCAGCTGGTCCAGAGAAATCGTCAAAGTGTTGTGGGGATTCGGGCTAATTTTTGGAACGCTACAGGTCACGTGTCGAGATTGTTGCGAACCCTAACGGGTGCATCCCACCTTGCACATTTCTTTGCCCTACGATAGCTAGCGAGAAAGTGGGACCAAGGGCAGGAAAAAAAAGTTGCATTAGCTAAGCATCGCAAGCCCACAAGCTGTTGCGCAAAATCAGTAGTCAACCCACCAGCGCTTTTGCTGTACTTTGTCAATCCACGATCACCAAGACCGAAACCCCCCCGTGTCGTTCCGGTAAAATCAGTCAAAATGGGTCACTCCTACGGAAAGAGAGCGGGCACTCGCGTACGTTTCTTCGAATCTGTCGAATGTTGAGGAAGGGGGAGAATTGTCTTATGCTGACCGACCGTGCAGTATGCCTTCAGCCGCGACTTTCGCAAGAAGGGTACGTTGGCCATGACCACGTACCTGCGCCAGTACCGGTATGCCGACACCGAGCCGATAGGAGAATCTGCGAGTGAGGGAACGGAATGGCTAATGTGCGAATAGCGTCGGTGATATCGTCGATATCAAGGTCAACGGTGCCGTCCAGAAGGGGTAAGATTTGAACCGCCAATCCCAATTCGAACGCTTGACGATGCATGCGAATTCACTTGCGAGCGAGAAACGAACGGGACATTTCCGAGCGACCAGAGTAGGAAGCTAACGGGTCCACGCAGCATGCCCTTCAAGGTCTACCACGGCAAGACTGGCGTCGTCTACAACGTCACCAAGTCCTCGGTCGGAATCATCATCTACAAGAAGGTCAACCACCGCTACCTCGAGAAGCGTCTGAACATCCGCATCGAGCACGTCCAGCCCTCGCGCTCCCGCGACGACTTCCTGCGCCGCGTCAAAGAGAACGCCGAGAAGAAGAAGGCCGCCCGCGCCGCCGGCACCACCGTCCAGGTCAAGCGCCTGCCCCTCATGCCCCGTGAGGCCCGCACCGTCTCCCTGACCGACGTCCCCCCCGAGACTGTCACCCCTCTTCCGTACGAGACTACGATTTAAAAAAAGAAAGGAATTTGGTTTTGCCACGGGGTGCGCTGCGGTTGCTTATTATTTTCTTGTGGTGTTGCGTCCGGATGGGAAAGATTCTCAGCATGGCAGGGTCTGCATTTCGATGTCCATAGGGAATGAAACAAACAAAAACATGACATCTACACAAGCTTGGTGCTTTTGTGCCACCACGGTTGTGAGGCTGTTCCGGAACGGAGAAGGGCGCTGATGTGCAGGTGACTGTTGCCCGTGGTCGCTGAATGCCATGGGAATTTCCTGGCAAATTTCAGTACTCGCTATTGGTCATTGAGGATTGGCAGAGTACTTGGAGCGCCATGTGTGTGTATAAAATCCACCGTTGAATAGAATATCAGGCTCAATCACCATGAATCCTCAACACAGTCTCGAAACAAATTACTGGTCAGAAAGACGTGCTTGGCTCAATTGCTATTGTTCTACCTCGTCATTCACGATGATGAAGCGAAGAAGTTGCCGGGGCTGTGAGAGCGTGAAACCAGGCTGTGGCCTAATTATCAGCCTGCTTGGCGGTCTGCCACCTTTCCCGCGCATGGTTGTAACCGCCTATTAAGAGGTGCTCTAATTCTGTTCATCCTTCTCCCGCACATCCTCCAGAGTTCGGCCCATATTGGCGACCTAATTTCTCTTCGCTATACGAATATATGTGATGTGAATATGTCTGCGAATTCTGTTACCTCCGATAGCGAAGACAGCGACGGCTTCATTATCACAAACAACCCAACCCGAGACTGCTCCGATTGCCCCCCACTCAGCGTGGAGGAGCTTGCCAAAGTGCGGGAATGGCTTGAGCCAACAGCCTATGACATCTCGGGCGGTGAATACCGAAAGCACACCTCATCATACCTTTCGGGAACTGGAAGTTGGCTCACTGCCTCATCCGAGTACCAGCAGTGGCTGACGGGCCAGGACCATGGCCTCCTCTGGATCAAGGGGATACCAGGGTCAGGCAAGTCAGTCATGGCCGCCAAGATCATTGCCGATTTGACGACGTCTGAGCCGAAATCCCCGGTTCTATACTTTTTCTTCCGTCAAATCATCGATGCCAACCATGAGCCTGCGGCTTTGCTTCGCGACTGGATGGATCAGCTCCTGCAGCACAGTCCAGTTTTGCAGCGGCAGCTATACTCCCATGTCAAAGGCGGCGAGTCCTGGAAGAGCGTTTCGCAGGATGACATGTGGAAATATCTGAAAACGGCCTTTGCATCGCTCTCCGAGATGGTATTTTGCGTCACTGACGCTCTCGACGAAATGGACCAAGGAAATGATACATTTCTGCAAGCACTGGCGAATCTCGGACACTGGCGACCCGACAAGGTCAAAGTTCTCATTACCAGTCGACCCGTTTCAAGCGTCGAGACACCCTTGCATCTGGTTCCCTGTCTTAAAATTCGTCTCCGAGAGGACGAGGTCGACAACGACATCTCTCGCTTCGTGATGCATTCATTAAAGACCTCACAAATAGACAAAAGACATTGGCCTACAATTATCGACGCAGTTCCGGGAAGGGCCAACGGGCTCTTTCTATACGCTCGACTTGCAATGGATGCCTTTCTTGAGCCCGGCGCCGATGTTGAGACAGCGCTGGCGCACCTTCCCATCGACCTCAACGTTCTGTACACGAATCTCCTCAGGGAGCACATTTCTCGTTCAGGAGTCGATGAAGCGGTACAAAAATTGATTCTTCAGGCGGTGACACATGCCACGCGACCACTACGTCTCCTTGAAATAGCCGAAATGCTTAGCGTGGTCGATACAGAGCGCGATTTGAAGGCACGTAAGGAGCTCGTCAAGGCAGCTTGCGGCCCTCTCTTAGAGATACTCGCGGACGAAACAGTCTCAGTTATACATCATTCTTTCACCGAGTACCTAAAAGGTATCACGAGGCTGCAGGCCGACAGCGGCTACCCGCCCCTAGCGTATGGTGCTGCGCACGAGCAACTCGCATACGCCTGTCTCCGTTATCTTTGCAGCGGAGTTCTGGACAGTTTCCCTGCTCATGTTGAAGACCTAGAGCTCTACGAAGCTCGTTCCTATCTAAAATTAGGGTTGTGGAAGAAGCACCCTTTTCTCAAGTACGCGACTGGCAGCTGGTTCAAACATGTTGTCGCAGCGTGCTCTGCGTCGTCGGACGACACTAGAATCCTCGCCGAGACTTGCCGGTTTCTTGATAATGATTCTTGGCGGCTAGCTTCGTGTCGTCTAGAGCGGCAATTTGCTACATGGGATGCCCCAAAGGCTCACGTCGCCGCGAAATGGGGTCTGACCGGATACATCAAATTACTCATTGAACACGCTGAAGACGTAGATTCCGTGGATAGGCAGGGAAGAACTCCACTGTAAGATATCTTGACCATGCTATCGCAAAAATTATGTGCGCCTCGGTTTACTAACAGTGTTGCGCTGCAGTTGGTGGGCTGCCAGTGAGGGCCACGCCGACACGGTCCAGGTATTGATCGCAGCAGGAGCCAAGCCAGATGGCGGGAATGCCACTGATGGCTATACACCCCTTCATCAAGCAGCAAAAGCAAACCATTTCTCAGTGGTTGAACTGCTTCTGCGAGCTGGCGTGAGCCCTATGATCCGGAAGGGTCTAGGTAGTCCGCAGAAGTTCAGTGCTCATTGCATGCCGAGTCATGGTGAAAGCCCTCTTCGATGTGCCTGCGAAAAGGGCCACCTGGAAACTGTTGATGCGATGATGAAATACATCATGGACCTCGGCAAAATTTATTGGGCATTGGCCTGGGCTGCTTGCAGCGGGCAGTCTCGGTTGGTTTCCCTACTACTGGAGTATCCCGGAGTGGACGTCAATGCCAAGGTTCGCGGAGATACATTTCTCTACTTGGCTTGCTACAGTCTTGATATTGAGACTATCAGTATTTTGCTACGGGCTGGTGCGGATCCGACAGTGCTTAGCATCGGCGACCAACACCCCATGAACGTCGATATTGACTACACGCCGGAGCCGACAGGATGCCCAACTCAAAGTTGTTTGCGGGCTATCACTGAAAATTACAGGCTGGAGGGTACCCTCAAGAATCTAGTAGCCGGAAAAGGCATTGAGAAGCTGTTCAGCAACTTGTTCCTTGCTGGATTAGACGTGAATCAGCGTGACAGCACAGGACAAACGCTGCTGCACCGAGTAACCGGGTCTGCAGAGCTCACTCAACTGTTGCTCTCAGAAGGTGCTGATGCTACGGCAGTCGACGATAAGAAAAACACGCCGCTTCATTTCGCCGTCAAGCCTGACGTAATTTCAATCCTCGTCAAAATTGGTGGTGCCAATGTTAATGCGGTGGACATGAATGGCCAAACACCGCTGCATAGAGCTACATCGCATTGCCACACAACGCTGCATCGAGCTAAATCACTAGCCACCATCTCGAAGCTTCTGGAGTATGGCGCCGACCCTAACATGATGGACAATAAGGGGAACACTGTGTTGCATCTGTTACTTTGGCTGACAACTGCTGCCACCTTGCATGAGCACGTCGCTCTTTTGCTGCGATTTGGAGCAGACCCCAACATAAAAAATCACGACGGCCTGACACCGCTTCGAAGAATACGAAATGTGCACACTGCCGGCCAAGTTGTCGATTGCCTTATTCAAGCCGGTGCAGACATTGATTCGAGGGACAATACTGGAAGGACAGCATTATTCGACGCTGTCTGTCAACAGTCCTTTGTCAATCAGAATAGCATCTGTATTCTCGAGTTTTTGCTCGATGTTGGCGCCTCTAAGCGAAGTCGCGATTTCAAAGGTCGCAAGATGGCACATGGGGCAATCAGGGGTGCCATGTGCCAGAATGATATAGGAAGGGTAGTTCAGTGGCTAGATGCCCTGGATAGTCTAGAGCTACTTGACTTGGAGGCTGTCGACAACGCGGGCAACAGTCTCTTGCATGAGCTCTGCTCTCATGTGCAAAACACACTCACTAGGCGCACCGTCGAAATGCATCTTATCAGGTTACTTACTGGCGCTGGATTAGATATTTCGCGAAAGAATTACGCAGGACACACACCGCTTCATCTGCTCTGCGCGCGACCTTGCGAGCAAGGAGGATCTTGGTATGCTTTCGATCTTCCGATAGCTTACGCGATCCAGAAGTGCAAGAATATTGATGAGCGCGATTCAAGTGGAAACACAGCTCTTCACATTGCATCTGCGTATGAGCAAACCTGGTGCAAACTGCTGCTTGATGCAGGCGCTGATCCCACACTGCGTAATCACGACGGTCTGACGCCGCTTCATCTGGCCGCTCGCTGCAAGCAAAGCAATGTGGTTGGTATGCTCCTGAAGGCAGTTCGTGACCGCCTGGGTGATGCGCCTTCTGATGAGGCTGCTCTAATCAATGCAACAGTTATCAACAGCTGCTACAACATCTATGAGCCGTTTCATCTTACGGCTTTGTTCTATGCCTGCCAGTCTGGAAGGCCGGAAAGCGTAAAGCTCTTACTAGATGCTGGCGCCGACCCTAACATTGGAACTTTGTTTGTAGCGTGTGCGATGATGGAGCAGGAAAATCGACTCTGGGAGGCAAAGGACCCTTCTCCGGTAGGTGACATCGCCGCTTTGAGACTGTTCGATACGAAGCGACCTCCGAAGCCACCGCCAGCACACCGAACAGACTTGTTCTATCCTTTTGTATCAACAAGGCTGGAGGAGATTCTGGACATGTTGTTTTCGGCAGGCATCAAGCTATCGTTACTCTGCAGCGACCCGTCAAGAGGGCACACCAACCCATTTGCGAAGGCTGCTAGCCTTCATAGCGACTACGCATACATGTGTTTCAATGGTATCAAGACAAAACACTCGGAAAAGATGGAAGAGGTATCAGAGTGTGTTACAAGTCGTGATCCGATGCGAGGCTTGAGTACCTTTGACGGTCGAATGGTGGCTCTCCGACAAAATGAATCGGAGCGTATGATAAAGCAAAGTGGCTGGCTTCAGCCAGAGGGGATTGATTTCGAAATATTCCGTGCCATCATCGTTCGTCGCCAATATCATTTGATCGCACCAATGGTCGAGGCCGGTTGCCGTTTCCTCCTCCCAGGCATTCCGCATTTGCAATATCTTATTGTCCATGGCCTTGCGTCTGTGTTTAACCAAATTGTCGAAGCAGAAACGCAATCACGGCTGAGCGAAGGAGAATGGCATGCATTCGGCGACCCTAGCAAGCCTGGTCTTCACTTCCGGCCCAAACTCCAACAGGATGAGGTAATTCAGAACGGCAATCCTAGAGAAGAATTTCGAAACAAGATGCTGGAGTATGCAGTAGGCCGAGCGCTACCAAACATGGAGATTGTTGAGCTTCTCGTGACCAAGTATGCGGTGAACATCAACGAGGGCCATAGAGGCAACAACACGGCTCTGCACACGATTGCACGTGGACATCACTGGTGGCAGGGGGCACAGGCCTTACCGTTTCTTATAAAATCCGGAGCAGATATTGAAAGTCGAAATTTGTCCGGGCAAACACCGCTGCACCTAGCGCTGGACAGAAAAAAGGGTGGTGCGCTGGGCGAGCTTGGCCCTTTCCACAAGGATGTTGCGGAGGCGTTGATCAATGCCGGGGCCGACATGAATGCTATCGATTCTAAAGGGCAAAGCTGCCTCGACGTGGCGGGCTACAGCACCGAACTGATCGATTTACTCATAAGCAACGGAGCAGTAATACATGCCAGCTCGATTTTTTCGGCGCTCAAAGCTGACAACAGCACCGCGCTGGAGAAGCTGCTGAACGGAGGGGCGGACGCGAATGGCCGCATGCCATTTGTCGAAGATGATCTCCGGGAAAAGGATGATATGGATGGGTTCTGCCTAGGTGACAGCAGGATGACGTTTGATACTGCGCTGGTACCTCATCATGAAATTGTTCCAGTCTATTATATGGCGTCGAAATCGGCATTTCCGGAAGATGCGGATATGCGAAGCTGTTTCAGAAAACTCTTGGAGCACGGGGCAGATATTTATGCGCCTTTCCAGGTGCAGCCAGAAGCACACAGCTTCAGAGGGTCAACCCGTCAGGAGGATTATAATAGGATGCTGGGGCTTGCGGACGAGCATGCGACTGCACCAGAAGAGCGCAGCGTTTTGCATGAACTTGTTCGTCTAGGGAAACTGAGCAAATGCATCATCGATGCTGTGGACATTAACACGGGTTGCCGGGATCCCAAAGGTTGCACTCTTCTGCACGCCGTGTGCGATAGCTGGAATGGCCCAGACAGCGTGATTGATATGACGTCGGATGACGATGACGATGACGATGGCGAAGAAGAAGTTGCAGACCAGAGAAAGGAGGGGCACATGACGGCATTCCAGCAGCTGCTGACTCTTGGGTGCGATATTAGGGCACGCGACAACAGCGGACAGAGTGTTGTGCACCACATGATCTATCGAGGTTGGAAGTATCCAGAGAAGCTAGGACGCTTGGAAAAGTCCATGGCGGAGGTTGCGCGTCTTGCGCCCGAGCTCCTCAACGCGCCGAATGCTTCAGGAAACACCCCCTTCCATTATAGCGCTTTGCTGACGGCATCTGCTCGGCGACCCGCGGCGGTCAGTCGGGAGGGGGACGAGCCCCGACGGACGGAGCAGACCGCCATGGTCAACCTCACGCGGCTGCTGCTGCGCCTGGGCGCCAGCCCGGCCGGCGTCAACGACGACGGCAACAGCGTGCTGCACTTTCTCGCGCCGAACCTGGACCGGTACGACGTGACGGCGTTGTTTACGGAGCTGGTGCGCGACCACGGGCTCGACGTCAACGCGCGCAACGGGCTCGGGGAGACGCCGCTGACGCACCTGGCGAACCGAACGGGCGCCCTGCTCCGGCTGTGCGGAGGCGGACAGCCCCAGCTGTGTCCGGACGACTATGCGGCGGCCGAGGCCGTGGCGGCGCTGAAGGCGCTGGGCGCGGACTTTGGGGTCGTGGACGCGCGGACGGGCGACGGCCTCTTGCACCTCGCGGCCACGGACGCGGTGCAGCTCTTCAAGGCCGTCATGGACTGCGGTGGACTGGACCCCGCGAGGGAGAACAAGGCCCATCAGACGGCGATTGATGTGGCGGCAACGTACAATAACAAGGAGATACTGGCCCTGTTTGAAAAGAAGGTGTAGAAGGGAAATTTGCGTGGAAAGAGCCCTCCCCTAGACACGGCTTGGTTCGCTGCGTTCCTGCCGGTGCACCAATTTATAAGTTGAAAACGCATATTCTGGGGGTACCTACAAGTTGTTATCTTGCACCAGGCCGTTTCCTGCGGGCACTCAGAGAAGGGGTTGCAACAGTTAGAAATCTAAGTTGCAGGAAATGGTTAATAAAGTGGAGCCGTCACAGTTCAGCGTGAGCGTGAGCCGTCAGATCTCGAAGCCTCGATTCTACATACGATTCTACATACACAACAGTCAATGCAGCGCACTTCAGAGCCCTTTGTGGCTGAAAGGGGAGGAAAGTCCCCACATAACGACAACCTCGACAGCATCAAGAGATAGCTTTCGACACTGATCCATACTCTCCCCTGGTGGCACGGAGGCTGCGATACCACCATCCAGCTTTCTCTCTGTATCTTTCCTCGTCATAGACACACATCTGCTAACATGCGGGCGACACAACCACAATGGCGCAAGAGTTTCTTGTCGCGCAGTCTAGATGAGCTGAAGCGCCGGTCTAGCATAGGTCAGTACCTCACGGCGCGCTTCGCGCACAATTCCTCCCCATGAAACTGACATCTCCGCAGCGTGGAATCTCGAAGCTGTGAAAGGGCCGCAAGGCCCACGCACTCTCTACGAATTTACTGACAGCGAGTCGACACGCGACTGCATCCTCATGTCCGACGATCTCATCGGCGGCTCGTCCAAGTCACACCTCGATTATGTAACATGCCCTTCGACCTCATTACCTTCGACCGCAACATCGACATCGTCATCGTCATCGTCATCGTCATCGTCATCGCCTTCATCCTACGCACGCTTTCACGGCTCCATTTCCACAGCCTTACCAAGCGACAGACTCAAGATCAAGCGGACTGGCTACGCTGCCTTTCGGACGCCCAACCAGGCGCCCACCCTCTTCGGGAAATCCGTCTGGGATATCGACCCCTACACCTACCTCGCACTTCGCGTAAAGTCTGACGGTCGTGCCTACTTTGTCAACGTCCAGACTGAGGGCGTCGAGCCCACCGATCTACACCAGCATCGTCTCTTCGCCAAGCGCCCGGGGCAATGGGAGACGGTCCTCATAAAATGGAACGATTTTGTCCGCACCAACTATGGCTTCGTCGTCGAGCCCCAGACCGAGATCCTGCGCCAGCGCGTCGCCACCGTCGGCGTTGGACTGACGGACCGAGTCGAGGGACCTTTTGAACTTTGTATCCAGCGAGTCTGGGCGACAAACCAACCGCCTGACATCGACGGCCCCAACTTGGAGCTACATGGGGGACTTAAGACGAAACAAGGCGATCGGATAAAATGGTAGCAGAAGCAAGAGCAATGCGAGAAATCAAACAAAACGTTTCTGGCCGCCGCTAGAATGCGTCCTCATTAAAATCACTTTATTCTCTAGACTGCATAAAACCGTAGCGCCTAGCAAATTCCTTCCTTGCCCACCAATACTCGTCTCGAAATTGGCCACCAAAACGCCGTCGTATGGATACATGCATCGTTGTCGTCACAACCATTACGCCCCGCCTAGACTCAGCGTCTCTGCATTCTTGCGAAGCGCTACATACGCGGCTGCATAGTCGGCTGCAAGGGTCAATTCTCCTGTGAGCTTCATAATCATTGCCCGCTTCGCCATGCTCTCGCATTGCTGATTGATGTCCTCAACGCTCGACCAATGGTCAAACGAACGTTGCACCGCTGCCAGTGCTCGCGTCATGTATTCGCTGCGTTTACTCGACTTGGCCTCCATCCGCCCAGCCATTCCCATGTTGGCGTCCGCCAAGTACGAGTACAGCCGCGCTGTGAGCGCTGGCGCCTCGCATTCGAGAGATCGTGGGAGTGCAGCGTTGAGTATATCGATTGCGCCTTCAAACTCCCCCAGCGAAACCAGAATGTTGGCGAGCGCCCCTGTAGCCTCCCAAAGCTGTGGTATCAGCCGCGCCCGCCAGGCGAGGTTGGCCGCACGAATAGCCGTTGAGAAGCCCCGTTGTGTCCGATTACTTCTGTCGAGAAGCGCAACCTTGAGGAGTAGCAGCTTGACAAGAATTGCAATGTCCTTGCTCTCATCTTTAATCATGGAAATCATGTTGTTGACTTTTTCAAAGGCCCCTTGTAAATCTCCTCGCCTTGTTAGATAGTCAATATGCAGTGACTCAATCATGAACGTCATGTCTGGTTCCAGGTCGTCTGCCTTCGACTGCACGAGCTGATCCAGCAGCTCCTGAGCGCCAACTAGGTTGTTGTGGTGCAAATCTTTGATCAGCTTGATGATCCCTCTATACTTGTGCCAGTATTGGCTTGGCTTCCACGAGCGAAGAGAATTGCTGTCCAGGCCCTCTAGTTGCTTGAGACCATTGTCGTATTTACCGCGCTCAGCCTGTATCAACGCAAGGCGACAAATCATCTTGAGTTCGTCTTCGAATACAGAGTGCTGATTATGGCAACGGAGAAACATTTCGCAAGTAGCTGTTGAGAGATGTGTGAGTCCTAATCGACTCCAAAGAGCAGCGTACAGCGATAGCTGGGCACCAAACATATTCTTCATGTTTCGCGTCACAATAAGATGCGAGCTGCGCACGATATACTCGACAGCAGTCGCAACACTCTCCCCGTTGATCAAGCCCAGCTTTGCTTCACTCAGCAGGACGGAACTCCACAATGCACTCATGCCCGATTCCTTGGCCTTGACACGTAGATACGCCAAGCTTTCCTTGCCAGTCCCGAGAAGGCTATTAGACTCCAGCTCGCGGACTAGCCTTGGATGCGCTCGGCCAAAATGAAAGAGCCAGTTTAATGCAAAGTTGAGGCACGTCATGTCTCTGTTTTCCCGCGCCGTTGTGACCGTTTCGAGCATGGTGGTGACGGCGTCGCGGTGGCAGCCGAAGTCTGCCTGTAAAACCGCCAAGTTCATCAGCGCATATTGATAAAACAACCGGTCACGATATTGCATGGTGTAGTCGAAATAGCGATGCAGTAGGTCAAATGCAGAAGGATAATCCCCTGCTCTCCATGCGTTCAGAAAGCTGCAGAGATTAGCGAGCATCCCCCTTCTCGGCACAGGTGAACTCACCCGAGATAATGTGTCAGGCTAGGAACGAGGATGCTGGCTTGAAGGAGGTCCTGAAACTGAGTGATTGTCTCCAACGGTACTCTGTTACCATACTCTGTATCTCTTATTAGCACAGCAGCTTCTGTGTGGCGCGAGATACCCACTCTGCATTTGCTCAATTTGAAAGTCGAGAAGTAGTTCAATGTCATCGGTGCTAACTGCCACTTTCCCGAGACGATCACCTGTAAGCATGTCGTCATATGTAATAGATGAAAGGGCATAAACACTGTCAGGCGTCCAGCCTTCTTCGGCTGCACCAGCCAACAGAACGTTGTCAAAACTGAGTTTCCCGAATTTTGGATTCTTTCTCTTTTGATGGTGTGCCGTGGGCTGCCTATAGCGCACAAAATCCTTCCACAGTTCTGCGCAGTCATGGAACCGCAACCGGCGGTACTCAACCATGGCGCGGCGAATGAAGGCGCCGAGCGGTGAGTTGCGAGCGATTTGAATCCCCTCTTCCATGTCGGGTAGACCCGCCTCGCTGAGTCGACGCAGTTCCTCCTTTGTCTTGGCCAACAGTAGCTCGAGGTTCTCGAAGAACTCGTACAGTGCATCCAGAGAGTTTATGTCCCACAGCCTCGTGAGAAACTGATCCCACAGCTTCCGCCCTGGCATGCCCATGACAAACGGAAAGCTTCCCAAAAGCTTCTCAAAATCTTTAATAGCAATGACAAGGCTGACGGTGCGTTCGGCCTTGGCCCATCGGCCTGCCTGGGAGGTGGGCAGATTGCCAGCTTCGTGGCCCATTATGTGCGAGGTGATGAATGACAAAACCGGGACAATGGCATCGCCAGGGACGGCTTCTTCGACATAAAGCTGTACTAGAACAAGCAGGCCAATCTTGGCCGGGTTGAGGTACCGAGCCATGACGAGTGTTTGAGCGTGTGTTTACTACCTGATAAGGTAAGTAGAGTCTTGGTTCCAGCGTCCTGTCGCCAGCGTCGAGCACGTTGACGAGCTCATGCGGCGGCCAATTGAGGCATTTTAATTTGAGCGCCGTCGATGTCTCATAAGAAAGTTGTTTCTTTTCGATGCAATTGCCCTAAAGTTGTGGTTTGGAGGAAAGCAGAAGCCGACCATCGTGGGGCACGAACGCGTTTAGTGTGACGGCCCGGGGATTCCTCGGGTGCAAGAAGATGCACAGGCACCTAGTATCGAGGAGTCAACGACAACAATAACTCTACCTCAGGACGCTCGCCATTCTCGGCACACTTGGTTCAAATAAAATGGTATTTTTGGTCTATTAATAAAGTCCGAAGTACTCCGGCTCAGATCATACGTTTGTCGTTACCGAGGACAACTGACAGCACACCATTCTGCGGGACAGCAATCATGAGTAGAAATCCGGCTTGAACCAGATTCGGGGATTCAAACACGATAGCCGTACAGATAGGTACCACACATGAAAATCACCACAAAGGAAATAAATTTGGTGGTCCTCTAGGGATTAAGTACAAAATGTGTCCCGGCTGGGCACTCTAACAATCCACCAACATGTCGCGCTACAGGTGTTGCTTGGCACTTATGCGACCTTGTCCTTGTTGTGGTAGTTGACCTTGTCGTTCCAGCTGTTGCCTTGGTTAGATTTTGCTTGCATAAATGCGTTCTTGCGTCATCTGCCGATAGATGTCCGTAGTCGGCACAATCATATCGGGAAGAACTTCTGAGCGGAACTTACAAGAGAGTCTATGCAGTGTTAATCCATGTGCCAGTTTCTCGCTGGGGGGAAATCAAAACTCACCTCATCACCATTACCCCACTGGTAGTTCTTGGTACGGATGTTCTGGTAAGCGTACTCGGTGCGGTCCTCCAGAGCAGGCATGTGGCTCCAGTGCTCCCAGTGCTCGTTCCAGAGGTAGTAGGCATTGGCACCGGCGGCAATGAGGCAGGGAGTAACACCGCTTTTAAATTGTTAGAATTTTGACTGCGTGAACCCTCGCGTGAATTCGCTGCATTGCCCATCGGGTTCGTAGCAAATGCGTCGGCCAGCTCGCTTGAGGCTTATTTTCGTCGGCAGTTTTTGGGTCGGCGTAGACGTGACTTACTAGATGGAAATCTTCTTCCAGAGCTCTGAATAGACGTTAGAAGCATTCTCCGAAAGCAATTGAACACTTAGGTAGCTTTTTGGGATGCAATGGGACCTACCCGTGGTGCCCTTGGCGTGGTCCTTGATGTGCTGGCGTTCCTTGATGAATTCGTTCTCGGAGGCAGAGCTGGCGAACCGGCGCTGAGCACCTGCACGGGCCTGAGCAGCAAAGCGCGGAGCGTTGCGAACAGCTTGTCGGGCGGTAAACATGGTGATGGCGATTGTTGATGACGTCGGGTGTAGAGGTGCAGGTTTGACTGGTCAGACCATTTTCGATGAAGCTCGGCACCGGAATGGGGTGGGTGCCTGGAGATTGAGGCGCCAACTCTGATTGGCGCACGTGACCCCGTGAGTATTCCGCGCTTATGGTCACTTTGGTCATCAAACGAAGAGCGCGATCGTGGGGCAACAGGGTGAGCTTCTGCACAACCGATTTCGCTAATTGTGCAAGACGGAAAGAAGAACAAGCGAATCTAACTCAGGAGTGGCATTTGCCTTCTACTGATCATTGTGTCAGAATTCAATCAGCAGATACCCACATTCTTGGGAATTTCTTCTGCCCATGTCTATTTCGCGCCCGATCGTGGTGGATCGGAAGCGGTCGAGAGGCGATTTAAAAACGGCGGTCAATTGAAGAAACGACGAAAATCACACAATTTCAGAAGCAATGCCAGAATGGTGTTCAGAATCACCACATGGAATGGTATGCCGTCGGAATAGCGATAGCTCATGCAGAAGCTAACGGGTCATAGTGAATGGCATCCGGTTCGTATTGCCTTTGCAGAACTATGCGTGTTTCAATACTAAAGATTTTAGAAATCCATTTGGATATCAGCCATGGCGAGAAAAGCGCACATTCCAGGTTAGTACTTTCTCCGATACCAATTGCTGATCATCTTTTGTTGACATCTTAGGCTATGTTTGACATTCTCGAAGCCGACATTGTGATTATGCAGGAGACCAAAATTCAGCGCAAGGATTTGCAAGATGACATGGTTCTTGTGCCGGGCTGGGACGTATACTTCAGTCTACCACAGCATAAAAAGGGTGCGCTAGTTGAGCAAGTTATGAAGGGCGATTGCTGACATTTCCAGGCTACTCGGGAGTTGCCATCTACACCAAGAATGCGACGTGCGCGCCCATTCTCGCGGAGGAAGGCGTCCTAGGGATACTTTGCCCACCGAAAAGCAACACGCCATATCGAGAACTACCAGAAGACAAGCAAATTGGTGGATACCCGACGTTGGCCCAGCTAAACGGAAATGTGGATGAAGCATTGCTCGATTCGGAAGGACGATGCCTAATTCTAGAGTTTCCAGCATTCGTACTGTTTGGGGTCTACAGCCCAGCCAACCGCGATGAGTCGCGGGTCGAATTCAGACAAAGCTTCGTGGAGGCTCTAGAGGCTCGGATACGAAACCTGATTGCCGCAGGCAAACAAGTGATTCTCACTGGGGACTTCAACATTATCCGCAGCGAAATGGACAGCTCAAATGTTGCTGAAGGCCTCAGAAAAGAGGGAATGACAATAGACGAATGGCAGTCGATGCCGACGCGACGGATACTCAACCAACTCTTGTTTGATGGGACCGTCATTGGCCCCCGAGACAAGGCCCGTGAAGATGCTGTTTTATGGGACATATGCCGGTGCTTTCACCCTACACGGATAGGCATGCACACGTGCTGGGATACGAAGAGAAACACGCGACCAGCCAACCTGGGCAGCCGAATCGATTACATCTTGTGTAGCGATGGGATCAAAGATTGGTTCGTGGACTCGAACATCCAGGAAGGACTGATGGGATCAGATCACTGCCCGGTATATGCGACGATGAGCGATACAGTTCTCAAGGACGGCAGGGAGACTGCTCTTGCGGAAGTTGTGAATCCCACCAACATGTTTCGGGGCGGGCAGCGGATCCGGAATTGGGAACAACGGGACGCGCTGGCCCTTTCTGCCAAGCTCATCCCGGAATTTGACCGGCGGCGCAACATAAGAGACATGTTTACAAACAAGGCGGCGCATGCTTCGTTCGATAGAGGGAAGAATGGTGGGCAATTGCTGCAAATGGAAGCCGCGGATAGGTCTGCCCACAAAACCACAAGCACGGGCACGACTGCAAGCGGCGCGAGTGACGCAGAAGAGACAAAGCAACTCGGAACAACGACAACGCCGAAGCTGCAGTCGGGAGGCAGTGTCGAGGAGCGGGAACGGGTGAGCCAAAACAAGAGACATGCTGGGCCAGTTCAGGTGGGCATCCCAGCAAACAAGAAGAGCAAAGGCTCTAGCGACGCCAAGACAAAAGTTGCTGGCGGGCAAACAACACTGCAAGGATTCTTCAAGCCCAGATCTACCAGTACTAGAGCATCAGCTGGCGGGCAGTGTGGCCCTCTTGCAGGCCCCTGCCAAGTGCCTGGGCTGGCGCAGACACCACCACTGACAGCCAACGCGGTGTCTCTGCAGACACCAACGTCATCACAAACGGTGAATGTCAAGCCAGTGGAGCAAAATTCTCCCGGCAAGGTGTTCGACCCGATTGAAGCCAAAGAGTCGTGGTCAAAGCTACTTGGAAGACGAGTAGTTCCAAAGTGCGAGCACGACGAACCATGTATCAGCTTGGTGACAAAAAAGCCTGGCGTCAACTGTGGTAATGTTTCTCTGCCCCTCCCTTTTCTTGGTTTTGCCAATGAAGGCGGTTGACCACGTGGGGATAAGACTAACTGTTTGTGATTACAGGACGCTCGTTTTACATTTGTCCTCGCCCATTGGGGCCGTCAGGAGACAAGGAACGAGACACTGAGTGGCGATGCGGAACGTTTATCTGGAGTAGCGACTGGAACAGCGCGGCGTCGTTGAGCGGCCCATGAGGTAGAGCTGGCTACCTCGAGATTTCTTTTTCTCATTTGCAAAGAATCGCTGAGATCTCTTACGTCGATGAAGAGCGATGCACATGGATATGCACGTCGATTAGACCTTGCCCGATTTATTGCGGCCCCATGTCGGGACCAATCTGGGCCATGATCGTGTCGGAGCCGAGAGAGGGGACCCTAACTGGAGAAACTGGTTGATTAGTACGCTTCCATCCGTACATAAGACGAAGGATAATTACGGAGTACGGGGTTGGTCGGTGATTGGGCGGCTTCTTGGGTAGTCTTGGATCTGATCTGACTGGCGAAACAGACAGACGCACGAACAAGAAACAGGCGACTAGAAGAGCTTTTTTGTCCTCTTTCTCGGCTGTCACTGGAAGATGTCATCAGTGGAAGCGAAACGACCCAAGGAGGATGGGGCCCATCTCAGCCGAGGCGAAAGCCACAAGGTAACACAAATCATGACACGTCTTTGTCTACAGACTGTTCTACAGCACCGAGTACCCGGAGAAAGGAGCTGACAGGTCATTGTGACGTTGTGCGACGTGAAGAGCAGGTGGCGAGGCAGGGCCGGGCAGGGCTAGATTGGATCGATAGTGGGGTGATGGGCTGGTTGTCCAAGTGAGGTGAGGGATGTATCTCAGCAAGAAGGGAAGGAGGGGGGCACAGGACGCACAGGGCAAGAAACCACAAGGGACTGCGGTTCTTGTGCGAGGGTGAGGTTAATGTGAGATGGAAAAGGAGAAGCTGGAAGTGGAAGTGGTGGGTGGCCGGCCCCAGGCGCGCGCTCCAGCTCCAAGACAACACCAGTACGAGCGCCGGCCAGCCACAAAGACGGTCATGCTCGAAATAGTATCCCGAAATAAACTACTATCTATCCCTTGTAGCAAATGATAATCGTAAAAGTGAAATGATCACGGGGCCGCATAAGTAACTAGAGAGGCTGGCGGCGTAAGGTGCCGGTGAGGTGGATGTGGAGTTGTGAATTTGGTGAGTGCTCCAGATGCGTCATCTTTGTGCTGGGCGTTGTGATGAAATTAGCGGTGTCTGACCGCTGATTCATTTACAAGGCGAGTAGGAGCAAATTTGGCATTTATGAAAACCCTGTTGTATTGCAAGAATCTTGATAAAATCACAAATTGTCCACCCCTGGAACTGTTACGCCTGGTATCTTGTCCATGAAAAAAAGTATCAAAGCCAAATCAAGGTGCCACCCAATTTCTGCATGCCCAGAGTTCTGTTGTTCTTCATAGTAGAAAGACCGAGAAACTAGACAAAAAACTAGGAGAAAAATAGCAATCATCATCGTAGTCTTGCGACGCCTGGTCGGTGTGAAGTCGGAGCCGCGTCGCAGTAAGCTGTTCTGTGCAGTCGCATGGTCTGACGCTATTCGTGAAGAAAGAAAGTCTGCGCAAGATCAAGCAGCATTTGTGGCCGACTGTAGAGCAGGAATGCGTCGAAGCATCATGAGCTTCTAGTTGATTGACTCGGGGCTCATTGAGAGCTCGCTCCCTGCCATGATGTCGCTGTCTGGTGTTGCTGATGTGGTCTCACTGCTCTGAGATTCGGTATCCTGTTGGCGCTTTCGGCGTCGCTTTCGCTCAGATGGCTTCCGGGGTTGATACTGGTACTGGGGATACCGTTCAAGGAGAGCTCTTTTGATCTTTTCCGACATTTCCTTGTAGCGTTGTCGGACCTCTGGAGGTTCAGCATTCCAAGCTTTACCTAGCACTTGTGCTACAGATTGTCAGCGAAGCCACCTATCATGGGCGCAAGGATATTCTTACAAACTTCGTTATTCGACAAATGTGGTTCGCTTTGCTTCACAAGGGTATGCCGATCTCTGCGGTATAGAATATACGCATTCGGTGGTCTTGGAATCTTGATATGTTTGCGTGGCAGTGACGACTGACACATGGTAGCCTTCTGGTACTTCAAGCCGGGTTGCTCGAACCAAATGGGCTCCACCTCAGCGGCAGCGAGAATGATTCCAGTGCCTGACATCAGGTGTCGTGGATTGCCAAGAAAATATCTGTCTGGACCAGAGCCATCGCGACAAAACATGACTGGTTCTTGGACGTGTTTGCTGCAAAAGTCAGCGCGTGCTCTTGTCGTCGAGAGGTGTGTGCTTACACGAAATTCTCGGCCAGAAATCTCTTTGTTTTCATAGTTAAGGAGCGATGTATGATGCCATCAATGCTCAATACTTTCACAAATGGGTTAATGCCAAGGCTAATGGCATCCCATAGCTCCTGATCCTGGAGTCTGGTTCGATCTAAAAGTAGATCCATTGCGAATGGTGAAAGGTGCGTGAGTAGACGCGATGTATTGCGATGAGAGACAATAAAGATTCTTTAGGTTAAAGTAAAGCGTTGTTTAAGATGTTGAGAGAGGGTCAGGAAGGTTAAAGACGATTGTAGAAGAGAAAGTTCGGAGGTGTAAATATATGCTGGAGGTGGCCTCGAAGTTGTAAGTGACGCGGGAGTGCTCTGAAATGTAGGTGGGGTGGGATCGCTCCGCCTCTGTGGATCCTTGATAGCTACGCACCCCCAACCTGTCCACGCCACCCCCAGCCATCTCGGTAAACCTGTGCGCCTCATCATTTTGCTAGGTGTATCTGGCAATGGTCGAAGCTCGTAATTGCAATCAATTAGCTGGTATACCTAAAATAGTGCAGCGCACTGCTAGCATATATTGGATTTTGATTCTAGATTTCATGTGTAAAGGCACTATGTATACTAGGTATGGATCCCCTTACATTTGCGAGCTTTCTACTTGCCTGCCAAAGCGTTCAGAGATACTTGATCAGGTGGCTGGACACTGACGAGAAGGTGAAAAGCCATCCTCAGGGCCTTGCAGTGTGCACACCATTTAGCGGCGGATGCAACTAATAAAAGAGGGGGGTCCCTTGAAATCGCCACAAAGGCTAATAAACAGCCAGCGGCGCTATTCTTGTGTTCAACTCACCTTCAGTTCTACAACTTTCCCCACCCAGCGACGTCCGAGGGAGTAGCAATATGAGGTGCAGCTGTGAAGGATGTGCACCATCGCTGAAGTTTTAACTACTACAGGGCGTTCTATATAGAGCCATTCCAAACATCAATTTAACACCTGCCTCAGACTCTCTCTTCACCACTCAAAACGATCAAGCTTCTCTCCTCTCTTCTACTACGTCTGCGCTTGAACAATATTTCCTTCAAATCCAGCAAAGCAGTCAACAGCAAAATTCGACACCATGCAAACTTCTCTTCCCGCATCAGCGTTCAAACATCTTGAACCATACCCAGGGGGGAACTGGACGGTGTCTGGAGAAACCGCCGACACCATTACGGTCTCGTACTCCTGCGGTGACAATGCCGAAGTCGTCTCGTACATCCTACATCAGTGTCGAACCGAGCAGGATGTAATGGCGCGATGCCAGTCGCTTATGTACAATTTTGATTCAGGTTAGTCTCAAGCGAAGATTACTTTTTTCGCCTCTAATGCAAAACAATCACAGGTGATGAAAAGTTAGCTGCTGGAAAACCATCCAACGACAGTGAAAACCCCACTGAGTCTACAGCCTCAGCAATCGAGCTAAAAATCGAGCAAGTGGGCGTCACTCCCTGGGCATCGATGCCAGCTCCCACAACGACAGATCTTCCCAGCTTCTGTCAAATCCAGGCAAATGAAACATTCTGCACACCTGTTCAAGGGAGCCACTATGTCCAGCAGCCGACACCTGATGATTTTGGAGCCGCGCCATCCTTTGATTGTCAAACACAGATCCCGTTGGTCTACAACGACGCCTTTTTCCCAATCAACAACTACTGGCCGATCCAAAATGAGATTCAAAATGTTCAAGGAGAGTTCACCACTTCTGGCGAATACTGTGCCTCGGGGGGGCCTCAGTGGATCCAGTAGGATAGCAATCCCGCCATAGTTGGATGTTGTCCCATATTGGAGCTCCCATTGAGAAAACTGCATTCCCGAGAGTGCCTTTTTTCCATATCCAAGGAACAGTTTCACCCGCAGAACAGCACCGAAAGAGCACCCGCATCTGAAAAACAAAGATCTACCGCCAATTTAGATGGCTCCATTTGCACCCCAAGCACAAAGCTTCAATCCTGTGCTGCGGGCCGCAGCATTGCTCAGAAGAGACCTCAACACCATCCACTTGCGCCTCCATCCATACCCACCCAACACAGCCCACAACTCCCCCCTCGAATTTGACACCGCAATCCACCAAGTTACTGGCATGCTAGCTACCTATGTACATACCGGCGGTACCTGTTTCCACCGCGGAGCCCATGTTAGCTGCCGCCGTCCCTACATCCTAATACCGCCCCTTACAACCTTGTCACCGACGACTCTATTTCCTGCTCTCCTGCCTCTTCATTTGTCAGTGAAGTGAAGCGGGATTCGGCACCAGCCATAACCCCCATCCTGGCTACACTACGACAGCTTCGTCGCCTGCCATCCTCAGCCTGGACGGCGTCGCCGACCATCAAGCGTTTGACATTGACTGTCCGTGGGATATTGATGCAGTGCTGAGTCAATGTACACAGCCACCAAGTCCAGATCAAGGTAAGCCTAATCCATTGAAGATTGCCTAAAGTGTGCCATGCTGACGACTTTTTTCTTCGCGTCTGTAGTGTTTGTTCTCTCCAGCAGCCCCGAGTACGATCCGCACGATGACTTTCACTTTACTTTTTGAGCTTGACGTCTGTTTTCTCGGCTCTATCCCCCCCCCCTTTTTTTTTCCCTCTTTCTACACTCTAGTTGACTATTTTTGCTGTATATTGCTTTGCATTTATTAGAGAGCAGCAACCAGTTCTTGTCCAGTGGCGGGAATCTGCTGAAAAAATATGGCTGAGCAATCAGTCAGGGTCAGGGCTGGACGAAAGGCGTTTTTCGGTTCCCTTTTTTTTTTTCTCTTTTTCACAACAGTGGCAATACCCCCTCGAGAATATATTCCGAGGACTTGAACATTTAGTTTGCAATTTTATTTCTGAAGCCTAGTCACAATCGTTCGGCAATCCTATCTCGTTAATCACTTTACTTGCAAATCTTTAACTACCTACCATGCTGGGGATAGCGGCCACAAATGGGCAAGGTGGGTGGCGTGGCGTGCATGGTGCTGACGAGAACCTCTGTCGCCTGTCTCCTTGGCCTTGGCCTGGGCCAGATGAGGCGACAAATAAAATTAAGAAGCTTCAAGCTACTAGCGTCGACTTGTTTTTCTCGCCTCATTTTGTCTAATTAAATGCCGGCGTTGGCTCAAAGCCGCCGTTGCTTGACGCCCAGTCCAGTCCCTGTCCTGATGTGCCCACCCACCGCGCAAATTTACACACCAGCCCCAGCTGACCATCATGGCAATGGCAATGGCAACATGGTTTAGTTTGAGTAGCCTCTAGGAACTAAAAGCGACGGGGCCAGCCAAACCCCCTACCGCGATGCATGCACCAGCTTTTAGCCTAACTCGATTTGCGCACCCTCCATCCCGAGGCAGCATGGGACAAGTTAAAGCATCTCTGGTCATCGATGCAATTCATGGCAGCAGGCTACATACTGTAGCTGCCCCCCAGCTGCAGCATGCCGCCGCTATTCCTGGCAGAGCGCCCACCAGCCTTGGCGGGCCGCTTGACCTCGAGCTCTCCGTTTCTGCCTCATACTCCAGCCATCAGTTGCCCACATCCTCATCGCCGACCGATCAAGTCCATTGATTGTCATGTTGAGAGTTGCACGACCATTTCCACCTTGTAATCTTCCCTCAAACTCCCTTGTGGCCCGTGTAAACTGGGAGGCTTAACGTTTCGACAAGTGCTCTTTAAGAACTCTAGCGATCGACGGCGGGGCTCATAGATGGGCTTGGGCTATCGGGCTGTCGGGTGCGGTACAGAGGTAGTTAGGCAGTCTGCTGAGCAACACCTGAGCACGGCTAGTGATCATTGCACTCTCTCGCACTTATCCAGACTCACCCCAGAGAACCATATCAGCCAGAGATGCGAAGCAATGACATGTCCATCTGCCGTCCGTCTCCGAACAGGTCTTGATCGAGTCACGATCCAATGGCTTCGCTCGTGCCGCCCAGCTCGAGCTAAAATCTATGTAAGTTGTCTTAGTCGATATAACGGTTGTTTCCGATTTGGCACGCATCGAGTGTACTCACTAGTCCACTAACTTAGTTAGTAGCGAGGCAAGCCTAGGCCCAATTCGCCAGCCGTCGTGGAGCATCACCATTTTGTCTTTAGCCTGGCGTTCATTTTTAGTATTCGAGGCCAAGTTTAGCTCAACGGGCTCGGGGCTCCAGTTTTGGCACTCGTCGCCATCTAACTTGGGGCGTGGTCTGTTGGTTGCTTCAGCGCCACCTTGCTGGTTGTTCGGCCGTGATTATGATGGGGAGTAGTTCGTACTTGTCCGACATCTGCAATGATGCTAGACAACCCGACAGTAACAAATTGATAGACTAAGATTGTCCACTGCAACATACCAAACAAGCATTCAAGGCAGACTTGGCTGAAACATTGTCTCCACTAACTGCCAGCCAGCTGGTCGAACATCGAATTGAGATGCTTCAGATGACCGAGGTATATGCTGTTGTGTACGGACACTGCATGACCGCCTTCTGGGCGTGTTCACGGCCGCACCGGCCCTCAACATACGGCAGGCCTAGTCCTGTGAGGCGAGAAGGCCGGACTGGAGGCGAAGAGGCCACGGAGTCTGAACAGCCAAGAAGCTAACTTATTAGTGCCTGGTCCACGAGCGTGGCTGTGGCTGGTCAACAAAGTAAACCGACTTGACAGAGAGGGTGGTCGGTGCAAGAAAAGTAACCAACGAGATCGTGGCGGATGACCATCCGGGCTTCCAGGGCAGTGTGGTAGCAGTTGCCGGGTGGTGGAACGCTTTAGCGTGGCGGATCGGGAAGTACTAACGTTAGTTAATGGCTCGGGTGCTGGGCAATCATTTCTTTCGGACAGCCCGCTCTTTTGGGAAATCCGGGGGGGCAGATGAGTGAGTCAGTAGTGGGTGATGGACAAGTATGTACTGTAGTGCCCGTATTTCTTATGCTCATCGCACTCTGGCAACCCCCCCAGTAATGAAGGCCGCGGTCGCTTGCGGCGATTTTATGAGCAAACTGCAGAAACGTCCCCTGCAGGGTGATCGATATAACAGGATTTCAGCAGCTTGGAGCATTCTAAAAATATCAGTTGCGCACCTGTATAGTGTAGATACACAAGCGTGCTATGAGGTTCAATGTTTGAATGCCGATATGTGCCGACAGCCGTTGGGATTACTTTGTAGTAAGCCGGAAGATGGGATATGCTTGAAGTGGGCTGGCTTGATCGTGACCTCAGTCTGTGGCGCTTGAAAGCTGATTTTTGGCGCTCTTCTTTCCCGTAAAAAGATGCAAGTTTCAGTAGATGCAGCAATCTATCGGCAGTACAGACTCACCGCCCACTACTGCCCAGTGTCAGTGCAATGCTGTGAAGTGCCATGGCTGTTTCGTAGCTGGTGGTGTCGCCGCGTCCATAGGCAATCAGTGGTCGACAACGTACCGAGTACTCCGCGCGGCGGCAACAAGCATTCCACCGCAGGGTTCCTCCCACCACGAGTGACGCATTCTTTCGGACTGATGCTTGCTGCCGAGATTGGCGTGGTTGTTTGTTTGTCCTCCGCATCCGTAGATGGGCACGTTGAGATTTGCGGATAGGTTATTAAAACATACTATGCAATAATGATCAGCGGTGCAGGACTCGATCAGGAATCGATTTCTGTGTAACTCGTGGGTCATATTCTGTCGTTGGTTGGCTTTAGGGGGTGTCGGGGAAGACATCTCATCGGCAGGGTGTATCGTCAAAGGACCTCAGCTAGGCGGCATGGGTTGCAACAATCAGTCTGGACAGGCTCTTTGTGTGTTTCTTCGTGTGGGTGTGGAACAGATGGGCAACTTGTTTGCCTTGGCATGGTGGTGGTGTGTCAGGTTGTGTGAACCTCGGGATGCCACGGTGGGCAATAGGAAAATGGATGAGGCAGGCCTTGCGCAGACGCCAACGGTCACGGGAAGATGAAACTAGAGACAAAAGAAGATGTGTGGATGGGTGTGTGTATTCGTGACCCTGGAAGTGGAGGAGGTCATAAAGCACAAAGGTAGACGGGGTCTAGATGCAGATAAGATACAAAGGAAGAGTGGAGGCAAATGACGGGCTTATTTTGTCCACCCATTTCTTTCAGGTACTTAGGTACCTAAGTTAGAAACAAATCGCAGTGTTGGCGAGTGCACGTTTCAAACACTTTGCAAAAGTCCAATCCTGTTCTGAAATCAACGATTTGAGAAATCATCTAGGAAGTTTCGCGATGTTGATCAGAAAATAGAGTTGATGATAACGAGTGAACGGCCTGAGTGCAGATTGCTTTAGCGGTGTGCTAGCGAGCTTTGTGGCATTTTTAGTGGGTGCTAGCGCTAGAGAGGCAGCAGCACCTTGGTTTGCCTCAAGTTGCGCGGCGACTCCAACAGATGGTCAAAATGACGCAAAAGAAAAAGGAAAGGAAAAAAAGTTGGGAGGTTTGGTTTTGAGCTGGGTCTTGATTTCTTGAAAGAACCCTTCTTTGGTTAGATGATGGAGGTGTTTCTATTGACACATCGTCATTGGCTGTATATTTCTGCATTTAGTGCTTCCTCGCAGTGTTTGTCTTGCAGTAGTTTTTTACAGTGCCTGCATTGGTTCATATCAGCACATGAGATGAGAAGCCTTCTAGGAATGTATAGCATCGTCCAGCCCGAGGACGATCCCTTGTCCGATTTGGAATAATAAGCCGAAGACATTGAAATCTCCATTGACAGCCCGCTAGAGAAAAACCCCTCCACGCTAACGAGCTTTGGCATGGTATCCGTGATGCTACGTAAGCCTCGTGCCAACGGCTTCGGCTGTCGCTCGCGATACTCCTGTTGTCGACAGCCATGCTCACACGCTCCAACTCAAATTTGTCGGGCTTTCCCTTGCAATTCTCCCCCAAGTCTACCTGTCAAGTCGGGGCGCCATGACGATTAGTCCAGCCGAGCCAGCCTAGCCAGCCCAGCAAGCCCATTCCGATCTCTAGTCTCCGACACAACCCATCCATCGCTCCGAGACCGAGCACTCCGCGCCCCACACCGAGACCCCGAACCCCATCTTCACCCGTTTCTCGAGGTGCTCAACCAATCGCCATTTACCGTCCCAACCCTCCATCATCGCTGCAGATCACCATTCTGCCACTCAACTAGTTCCCTAGCCCAAGCCGCGCATCTCTGTCCTCGACCTTCATCGTTTTGACCTTGCCTCATATAGTCTTTTCCTCGACCGCCTCGATAAACGAGCGCCATGGCTTGACGCCAAGGCCGTCGCTTTGTGTTGTGCATGGGTGTATACCTAGCTTCAACGCCGTCACCAGCATCGCCAGCCAATACACCTACTAGCTCATTCTAGACATTCTGAATACATTCAACTCTAATACAGAATTATTTGCCAATCTTCATACATTCATGCCCAGGTTCTCCTTGTCCTCCACTGGGTATTTGGTCCCTCTCATACCTACGTAGCCTGTTCATGTAGATGCTGCCAACTGTTGGTAGGGTAGCCTTCTCATACCCACCACATCAAAACCCCTGCTCCGGGGAACATTTCTCTGCCCCGAGCCATTTCTATCCTTGTCGTCACATCAAGGCCCCCATTTGACCCAGCTAGTCCTCTTGGTATGAAATCTTGCGCATTTCACCCAATCTGTGTCTGGCCGCGGCAAGAGCATTCTCCAGCTGAAGAATTTCGACCTATTCCGGCGTTCCCCGTTAGTACACAGTAGACCTCCATAGATGCATAATGCAGAGAACCGTGCGACGGAGCCACTCGCGCATCAGCTTTCCAGGCCAGACGTGGCTTGCAGGGAGATATGCGGCTGACACTGCCAGACACGGGCGTCTGTGTATGCGGGCAAGGGGACGGATAAAAAAAAGCAAGGATATTCTAAACATGGGTTCAACCGGAAAACGTACCTGTTGCTCCATCTCCCGTACTTTGAACTCGTGGTGCCCCAGCTTGGTGTAGTCAACCTGGTCCTCGTCCTGCGAGCGCTCCTTGATCATGCTCTGCACCTGCCGCACGAGAGCCCGGCATGCGGCGCCTACCGCCTTGCTAGCCTGTTCCAGCTTGTCCTGATTCTTGGACATGAACCCGGCCTTGACACGGCTGGCCGCCACCAGCTGCGCAGTAGAGGCAGCCACATCGTTCGAGGCCACAATCAGCTGCTCGGGACTGTTGCGTTTTGACAGCACGCCATCCGCCGTTTCAATCAGCGTGTTCGTAGATGAAGCCACTGCCTTGGCTGCTGAGATGAGACCCTCGGTCCATCTGTTGTTCTTCTTGTAGAATGCCGTGCGTGACGATGAGCCCTTGCCCGCCTGCACAATTTCCTGCTGCGTAACGGTTGCCGCTCTGATGAGTTCGGCGATGGCATTTGTAATGGCCGTAGCTGCATCTAAGATGGTGTCGCTGACCTTGAGTTCATATGTAGAGTAGCCATCACGAGGCTTATTCTTGAGCTTGGCCAGGCGAGCTGCGGCAGCCGCAATAGCGTCCGCAGCCTTGCTCAGCTCCGAGTCGACGAGATCCCCCAGATCCCCCTTGTTCTGGGCAAATTTACCAAAGCCGGGAGCAAAGCCCTCGACCAACTTATTCAGCTTCTGAAGGTTCATCTGTACATCCGTGCTGCTGTTGATGACTACATCCGTCTTTTGCACTTGGTCCATGCCCTCCAGACGAAAGCTCTGCAGGCTGCGGAAGAACTGGACAGACGCCATGGCCGACTGTCGGGCACCGTTCATCAAAGAGTCGGTCTTCTTATCATCCGTTGCCAGTCTCGTCAGACCCTTGGTGTTGCTGCACACATCGGCCATAGCCCCCGAAAACACATTAACAGACTTGATCAGCTCAGCATGAGTGCTGTTTGGGCCGTCGGCAATGAAGTTGTTGAAAGATGTTGCAAACTCCATGGCACTAGCAGCGGCCTTTTCAATTTGCGATAGGACGTAGGCGGGCGACGCGTTTTGGTTACCGGCCTGCATGGTGGAGTCCAGTTCGTACAGGGCGTCGTCGACGCGGCCAATGGCGGCCTGGAGGACAGAGTCGATGATATCATTGATCTTGTCTAGGTTGGCCATGATAATGGCATCGAGCTGGCCATCCAGGAGTTCGTCGTTGCTTCCCTGGTTCTGTTTGAGATCATTGAGCTCGATGAGAGTCTGGTCCATGCCGGCCTTATACACCTCCAACTCCTCTTCCTTGTCGCGCAGGAGCTGTTCCAGGTCGGAGCTGCCGTCACGAAGCTTGGAGTGAGCATCTTCGAGGGCACGCGACTTGGTGCGGAGAGCCTCCTCGAGATCGCTCATTTCGCGGTTGTACTTGGCAAGCATGGTAGACAGCTCGTTGCCTTTGCTGCGCTCAAGGTTATCGGCACGATCGTTGGCCATGCGCAGCTCGCGTTTGAGCTTCTCTAGCTCGTCCTTGTTGCTTCCAGAGAGGCGATCTTTGTCGTGCATGGCGCGGTCGCGCTCGCGAATCATGTCGGCAAGCTCAAGATTTTTGGTCTTAATTTCACGTTCTAGCTTCTCGCGTCGGTCGATGGCTTCTTGAGCACTGGCAGCCTTGAGCTGGACGGCCTTGAACTTTTGCAGAAGGTCAAGGTGCTCAGTGCGCAGCTGCGAGTACAGCTTGGCCAGAGCCTCGTACTTTGTCCTCCAGGTGTTGACCTGCTCCTGCAGAGCTCGGATCTGCTCATCCTTGCTGGTGATTTGCTGGCCGTAGTTGTTTTGCAGCTGGGCTAGTTCGCCCTCGAGAGCCTTGACACGCTGATCGTACTTTTGTAGCATGAGCTGGTCCTGCTCGAAGCGCGAGCGCGCGTTGAGATTCTCGCGCTCAAGCTCCGCCAACCTACCCTGGGTCTGCCACTGTGCCTGCTGGGCCAGAAGGGCCTCTTGCTCCCGCTGCTGCTGTTCGGCCAAACGCCTCTGCTGCTCGTCAAAGTCTCGTTGGGCTTGTAGCTGAGCTTGTTGTTGGGCCTGGAGCTGGGCCTGCTGTCGTTGCTCCAGAACACGCTGCTGCTCTTCGTATTCTCTATTCTGTCGCTCCAACTCACTCTTCCAAAAGTCGGAAATCTCGTCAGGTTCTTCTGATTTTGGCTCGGGTACCGGGGTGGGCTGGCGCTCAATCTCCTGCTTGGGGCGCGCAGGAAGGGCGGGGGCATTCTCGTCTTCGGCAAGCAGGTTGGGGGGGTCGTGGGGAAGTTTGGGGATGTTGATTAAGCTGGTGAGATAGCGCAGGTTGGAGCATTCGTAGTAAAACTTGACGAGTCTGTAGTGCTGGGCATCATATCGTTCGCGGAGGGGCTGAAGGGCGTCGTCGTCGCCGGTAACTGGGGGCATGTCAGCGAAGGAGCGCATGGGCAGCGAGCTGGTGAAGGGGCAGTTGCGAAGCATGCGGGATGCTTACTGGTGTGAAGGGCGCGAAGCATGCTCGTAATGAACTTGTAAATGCCATAGCTCTCATGGACGAGGGGCACCAGGGCTGCGATTCGGCATTCATTGTTGCCGACGTTGCGAAAGTGGGAGAAGACGAGCTTCTGAAACTGCTCAATCTTATCCTGTAGGACCATGAGGTCTGTGATGGTCTCGTAACCCTCGTTGGGGTCATTGATGGCCTTGAGGCTGATGTACTCTTCGTACTCGAAAGTTCCGTTGAATTCGGGATGGGCCTGGTGGAAGGATAGCTTGGCGAGTAGGAAGTAGACATATTCCCGAATGAGAGGACCGTATCCACGGACGCCCTCGCCGGCCATGCCGCGGTTCAGGCCGTCGATCCAGCCTCTGTTAGCCATTGCCTCCTTGAGGGCACTGGGGTGACCCTCCTGGAGAACCTTGTGAATGGTGATGAGGGCCTTGAAGGTCTGAACCTCGTCAGCCATGATTGGTTGGCTGCGAAGAGAGTTGTGCGTTAGCGCGTAGTGCGAAGGGAGGAGGCATGATGAGGAACGGTAAGTGGCATGGCGACATACACCTTGATGCCGGACCAAAAGGCCAAGGAAGACCTGTGATCCCATGTGTAAACAATGCAAGCTCGGACGTGCTTGCGCTTGGGAGAGATCTCGTCGGCATTGGTGGCTTTCTTGATGGAGATGGCAAGCTCCTGGTCGGTCCTGGAAGCAGGTTGCGGTCAGCGATGGCTGGCACGAGAGAGCTCGGAGGGTTCGGGTAAGCGCGGCTAAGCGACTGACTTTGTGTGTTCGGCGGTGCGAAGAGACGCCATGTTGGGCGATGATGGCGAAGCAGCGCGAGCGTCCGTCCGGGAGCTTGGATAGGGGAGACGGGAATGGATCCGAGGAGGGCGTTTTTGAAGAGATTCGAGGGCAGTTAACGAAAGAATAGCGCAGTTTCCTCTTATCAACCCTCTGAGAAAAGGCGGGCTATCGATGGTAGAGCCGTACGTCGGGCGGTGTGGGGATGGAAAAGCTGGGCAGTCATGGAAGCTGTCGTCAGCTCCTGCGTTGGTGACGATGCTCTTCATTCAGGTGGCGGCGGCAGTGGCTAGGCACGCCCAGTGTGGGGTAGGTACAAAACCATGTGGCTTTGCTTCCTGTCGAGGTACCAACGCATGTATGTACCTTGCATCGTTAGTATGAGGCCCGCAAGTCCAAAGTACCCTACCCTGGAAACAATAGCCACAACTGATTTAAGGCAACATGTTAGTGATTTATTGCCTTATTCTTATAATAAAACAGCCGAATAAGTATTCTTTTCAAAAAAAAAAAAAAAAAAAACCCCCAATCTGGAGCTCTTCCCAGTTAAATAGGCCCTAAATTACCTCTGCGTATGACTCCCCATGATGCCCACCGAATCTACCTCGCGCCTTCTTCCAGCCGGGATAGCGACATCTCCATCGATTACCAGTGCCTCTGGCAATGCAGGGCAAGCCTCAACAGCGACAATGCCGAGCAACAGCGGCAGCAACATGGCCATCCCGTCATCGACGGCGGCGGTGTCTGGGCCTTCATCGTCTTAATATTTGAGCACTAATAACACTCCTGCTATTATTGGCGGTGTAATCGGCGGAATTGCACTTCTATGCATGCTTGGTCTTGCGGCGATTTAGGAAACCCCGGTCACATAGGGCTACTGGAGGATGGAGCTTCCATCTCAATAGCACGAGGCCGTGGAATTGCCCAGTTGACTTGGCATAACTCAGCGCCGAATTTGGCGGTTCAAATAGGCAGATCCGGTGGAGGCTGAATATCACACGCAAAACTTTGCGGTGAGCTGGCGTTAAAGTCTACCAATTCAATGTTTTGTCCGGCGTTCGAGCATACTAGGGTTTTTTTTAGGCGAAAGAGAAAAGTAAACAAAATTTAAGTAGTTATTCCATCTTTGTTAAGCTTCCAACTTGTTGGTAGGTATGTACTTCTTTGGAGGTTATCGGGCGGTGAGTATCGGCAGAATCTACCAATCTCATGCTCCCCATCTTGGCGAGAATGGGAAGAAATAACGAGGTTCTCATTTCAACTGCATTTCCGACTGCACCGAAGACGTGCACACAATCTCTGAATATCGGCTTTTCGAAGCGTAAAGGCAACCGAAAAGTGGTGCTGCCAACGACAATGGCTGCGAGAGCCATGCTGCGACGGCCCGCGATCCAGCTCGCCGTCGCCAACGCCGCCGCCGCCTCCTCGCGTTGGAGTGGCCTGACGACGACCACGACGACGATAACGAGGACGACGATGCCGACCGCCCGCGCGCCTCCGTTCTGGGCTGGCTCCTCCCGGCGCGGCTACGCCCAAATCTCACGAGACAAGATCAACCGGGCCATGAGCCACCAGCAGAAGCTCGGCGAGCGCGGCGCGACGAGGGAGCAGACCATGTCGCAGATGCAAAAGGCGGCCGCCATGGACATCTTCAAAGACGGCGGCGGGCCACTGTTTCCAGGTACGTTGTGAAACATGTCAATTCCCTTGCCCTCCTCGTCCTTTTCGAATCTTCTGCTTGGTAGGGGTTTGCGCACGAGGAGGGAGCCAGACAAGGGGGAAACGAGGAAACGAAGAAAAGAAAAACCCAAAAGCGAGGAAAGAAATGTTTAGCTGACAGAGCGACGCCAGGCACCTTCGTCCCGATCCCCTTCTCCCAGCGTCCCAAGAACCCCCTCCAGCTCGCCCGCTACCAGTGGTGGCGCCTGCGCAGCTACGCGCAGTGCGTCCTCTCCGTGCTCACCATCAAGCTGCGCTCTATGCCCTCGTGGACCACCCGCCCGCAATGGAAGGCGCGCCGGGCGCGCATCGCGCCCACCGCGCGCGCCATGTACCGCGAGGCGCTCGAAGCCTTCGCCGCCGGCGACAAGGCGACCGTCGCGCGGCTGTGCATGCCGCGTTTCGCCACGCAGCTGCACGCCGCCATGGACCGGCGCAGCCCCCGCGAGACGGTCCGCTTCGAGCACGTCAAGGACACCCGGAGGCTCGTGTACCCGCGGCTGGTCAGCCACCTGATCCACGCGATCAACCCGCACGACAAGACGGCGCTGACGGAGCAGGCGGTCGTCGCGGTCTCGTCGCAGCAGCAGCTGTCGCGGCACAATAAAGAGGACGGAAGGGTCGTGCCGGGGAGCCTGCGCGTGCAGGACAAGGTCGAGTACGTGGTGTTGGCGAGGGCGATGGATACCAAGACGTACCCGGATACGCCGTGGCGGATATGGGGCACTACGGGCGGCACGACGCCCGAGGCATACAAGCAGGAGCAGGCGGTCATCCGCAAGGAGTCGGCGCACCGCGCGGGCTGGAAGGAGAAGGCGTAGCTGTGACCAGACAACAGGCGAGGAAGACACTTGTCGGTTGGTTTGCAGTGACAACGGTTCGCAGCTCAAATCATGTATAACAAGGAAGAATGCACATGTATATTCCGGAAAAGCGATGGATTATTCTTGTACTATAGCAAAGACAGGCGGCATAGTATTATACGCCAAAAAAGCCATGCTTCTCCTAAGAAATTTATTTCCCATAGCCCGTCGGGCTGAAACCCTGCTATTTACAACCATCTATGTCCACCACTATCCAACTCTGTTGGAGGAGTGTCTTGCACATGGCGAGTGCACAAGGGTTTCATACCGCTGTGGGCTCCCACTTAAAAAAACTTGCCAGCGTTGGTCGAGACGCTCTCACCAACCACCTCGCCATCGCTGCTAAGGCGACGGACCGAGTCCAGAGGCTTGTCCAGCGCGTCAAAAACGCCGCCCGTGAGTCTGGCCTTGACATACTGGAACCCGACACGGCACACCAGTGCGATGGCGCCCCAGACGAGGCCGCCGATAGGCGCGGCGACGAATGCGCCAAACACGGACCAATCCTGCGCGTAGAGGCCCTCCTCGAGCAGGATGAGGCGGGCGCCGCGGTAAGCGTCGCCGTAGTAGCACGCGCCAAAGATGAAGACCGTCAGGATGCCGCCAAGGCTGCCGATGACGAACTCAAAGCCGCGCCAGAACCAGCACTGCGGGAGCAGACCGACGCAGAGCACCGGGATGGCGGCCGAGGAGACGAGGTCGGAGATGAGAAAGATTTGCAGGATGGAGGGTGCCTTGAGGGCTAGGACGACGACGGGGATAATGACCAGCACGACGAAGCCGCGGATGAACCAGATGTTGAGCCGGTTGCGGAACAGGTCGTTGGACGCCGACGACACCATGGCTGACTGCAGCGAGTCGAAAGCGGCGGTGCTCAGGCTGACGACCATGACGAGCACGATGCCGACGACCCAGCTGGGGAGGCGCTCGAGCAGCACGAAGAAGGCGAGGGAGCCGGCCTGCGGGGGGTCACCGGGCCATGCACCCGACCACGCGGCAATGAGGCCGGTGCAGCCGACGAGCGTGAGAACGCACAGGATGACGAGCATGGCCATGGTGACGCCGAGGCGGAGGTCCTTGTCCGTCTTCGAGGAGAAGGTGCGCAGCCAAAAGTTGGACAAGAAAAAGTCGTTGGTGAGGATGGCGACGGGTAGAATATACAGCAGCTGCCAGCCGAGGAGGTTGGCTTTGGTGAGGCCGGACGAGTCAATGAGCTCCGTCTTGATTTCCGTCTTGACGCCAATGGTGATGGTGGCGATGATTATAAGCCCGACCACCATGCCACCCTGAATGACGTCGGTAAGGAAGGAGATTTTGAAACCACCGAGCGACGTATAAATAGTCGTGACGACGCACTGCACGATGATAACTGGGAGACCGTCGAGCCCGGTGAGGGTACCGACGACCTGCCCGACGGCAGAGAGCTCGGCGACCATGTAGAGGAAGAGCGTCACGAGGGTGAGGAAGCTAAGGAAAAGCATCGCCGGGGTGCCGTAGCGCTGGCGTGTCCATTCCGTCAGCACAAAGCCCTCGGGGCAGCGGCGACGGATGACGGGCCCGAGGTAGCCAAAGACGAGCATGGGCAGCGCCGACGCCAGCGCGTACACGACGACGCCCTGCACACCGGCAATAGTCGCGAGCTCGGGGTAAGAGAAGAGGATACCGGATCCAAGAGCTGTACGTGTTAGCGAAACGAGGGCAAATGAGGGAAGAGGGTGGAGGAGCAGGGATTGGAGCGGCAGCACGTTTCTCACGCAAGCATTAACTTGATCGAGTATTACGGTGCAATCTCAGCCTCGCTTTGGCGCGCGGCGACGGAATCTCCCAGGGAGGACTGTGACAGCCTGGGTTGGATCCCGCCGCGCGGTGCGGTTTAGCTCTGCGCCCGTAGTGAGCCGCATCCTCTCTTCCCGCAGAGAATATCGCCGGGGTTGAAAGCTGAGTCTGGATTCCCCTGAGGTGTGAGGGGATGTGTTGGCATCCCCTGGGTTAGCATCGCCACAGTGAGTGGCGGCTCTCGACCAACGACGATTCTCAAGCGAGTCGAGAAGACGAAAGAGATTGCTTTAGTAGAGTACGAACCTGCATCAAGAATTTCGCTTTGCCCTTCTTTTACGTAGTCACCGGTGTCCCGTACTGGATGGAGCACATGCCGGGGGAGACAAGGTAGCCGTCGCTGCTACCGCTCCGAGGAGATCAAGGCATCGTTTGCGCAGGCGAAATGGCTCCGCGTCTTACTCACCAGAGGCAATAAAGTTGAGAGCGAGAGGAAAGGCTGCGAGCGTATTAGTACGAGACTTCTGGGCGAGGACGCTGGGATTAAAGCCCCATCGGCGTAAGGTTCAAAGTGAGTCCTGACCAGTCTGGGTGCCGTTGCTGGACAGAAATTCCTTTTTGTCCTGGTTTCGCAGCTTCCAAGCAATGCCAGTTCCCATGACGCTGGTATCACGACGTGTTAGCATTTTTGTCTCGAGGAACAAGCGTTTCCACTGAAACATACAGAAAGAGGCCATAGGTGACGTAGATGACGGCGTTGGACGCCTGGAACGATGGCATGCCCATTGCGACTGCGAGGGGGTTGTAGACGCGGCTTGAAGAAGTGTTTCCTCGCTATGACAGCAATTCGTAGCAGCGCGTACGATGAATGACGAGAGCAGAGAATTTGGCGAGTGAACTAGAGGGAAAAAAAGTTTTAGACGATATCGGCGTCGACGACGGGGAAGTCGCGCTTCAGCTGGTGGCCCGCTTTTAGGTATTCTAGTTCTAGAACTCACAGTGGTTCTTCAGCGCGGCATCCGTTGAAGAACTCCTGTTCAGCGCCAAAACAAGCTTATCGGAACCCACTCTGCGAAATGAGGCAACTAGCTGAGGCGGGTCGGATCAGAGAACAATGTAGGAAAAAATTGCTGAATTTTTGAACTTGGCTAAGACTGAAGTGAAGAATGATAACTAAAATATCCCTGTGCCCGTGTTCCCTGATAACCTAATCATAGAGTAACTGTCTGTCCTGGCCCTGCTCAGGTTGGCGTAAGCCACAGGCCGGCCTGTCTTTCTCTGTCTCATTAATAAACGTGGCCCAGATGGCATTTTCTTCTGGCCGCTTCTCCTCTTTCATTCATTGCGTGGATAAAAACAAATTAGCCGCAATATGTGATATCTTTCCTTGGAGCTTTTGGAACTGAAATGACGAAAGAAAATAAAAAGGAAATAGGGAATCCAACAAATCAAATGCCTCGAGGCTCGCTCACTTTTCTTCCTTGGTGTCTTGTCCGCCAGATGCAGGCTGTGCCTCGGCGGGAGCTTCAGCTCGCACTGGTGGTGCTGGGGCTGGCTGAATCTGCGGCGGCGGCGCCATCATGTGAGGGGGCGACGCCATGGGATACATGTCGTACATGCCGGGGTAGTACGGTCCCGGGTTGTATCCCGGGTACATGACGCCGGGAGTACCGTGAGGGGTCATCGGGCCGTAAGGCGACATGGGTGGGCCGTATGGATACGGGGGGAACGGCGGCATCCAGCCCATGGGCATGGGGGCATGCTGCTGCTGCATGGCCATGGGCGTCTCCATGTTGCCATATGCAAAACCGCCATTGCCGTTGCCATACGACCTTTTGGGCGTCGGGGTAAAGAGGTTGCTCTCACCAGAGATGGTCTGGGCAGCTTCCACGGCCGTCCTGGGGGTCTGCTCCGAATCAATGGGCGAGCTGTGGTGCGAGGACGGCTTGCTGGGGCCGGCGGGCGGATCAAACATGGTGTGAAGGGGCGAGACGGGCGCCATGACGGGCGCGTGGCGACGACGGGGAAAGGTTGAGTGCGAGTACTGGGTCGAGCGCATGGGAATTTGGCGTCGGGGCGTCTCAAAGGTACGAGATTGCTTTCTGTCGACGCGAACGCGGAAGCCATTAATGTCCGTGTTGTTCTGCAAAGGGTTAGATGTGCCTTTTTCTCGAACAATGGAAGCGGATGCACTTACAAACGTCTTGATGGCATCGTCCGCGGTGTCGGGGCGAGAGAACTCGATAAAGGCAAAGCAAGTCATTTTGCCTACTTCGTTAGCTTGGAAGGCTTGTTAGGTTAAGCTCTGCCTACTTGGACTTCCTGGGACCGGCTTCTTGAAGAGAACCACAGAAGCTATCTCGCCGCAAGCGCCGACGAGGTTTCGGAGAATCTCCTCGGTCATGTTCATTGGAAGATTGCCCATGTATACGGATCGTCTGTCGCGATCGTACTGGTGAAGGAATTGTGCCCTGTTTGGGCTGCCTTGGGGGTCCGGCTTGGCGTTGCCAGATGGCCTGGGGTCATACGGGATGACTTTGTACTTGCGATCGCCTCGAAAGGTCTACCATGATAATTAGCGAGATGGTTGGGCTGAGAGGGAAAGGGACTCTTACCCCAGGCACATCCCGCCTTGGATCGTACATTTTGTACCTGACGACGATGGTAGGTGGAAGACGCATGGAGCGCTGCATGTCGGCCGCGAGCTGTTCGGCCTCGGCAACTTCTCCCAAGGAGCTCATGAGATTTGTAGCTTCATCAACTGTGACGGAATCTCCAGAGTGCTTGTATACCATGAAGGTAGCTGTTTGTTGTTAGTCGATGAAGCTGACCCGGCATAAAGGTTGGCGTGGTTACTTACTATGGGCCTTGGCCATTTCAGTGCGACATTGTCGGCCGAGGATATAAGCGTTACAGCCTCGTTCCTTGGCCTCTTTTGCATGCTCGTCACACTGCGGTTGTTAGAAAAAGGTCGAGAAAGTTCTAAGTAAAGCTCACAGTAAATTGGCAAAATGCAAACGGCATATGGCGCGCGTCGCGGCGGATCTTGACGAAGACTGGGCCGTATTTAGAAAACGTTCGAGTGACTTCATACTCAAGCGTTTTGTCATCATAAAGTTGAGCCAGACTGCATTGTTACTGAGTGTTGTTGTGCGTGTTTGCGAAGGGGTACTTACTTGGCGGCGAATATACAGGCCGTGGGGGGATAAATCCCCTGGGCGTCAACGGAAGGGATCTTATCCCCCGGAAGCTGTCCCATATGCGAAGTGCTAGGATCTTCCTCGCTGGTACGAGCCCCGGAGACGGAGGCCGAGTCATCGTCGTCCTCTGCAAAGACATCATCATCGTGGTTTGCGCCGACCTGGAAAGAATCTGCGCTGCCGGGACGGGATCTTGCAGCCTCGGATGCCGACCTCTTGGCGAACAGTCTGAGTTTGATCAGTTCTAAAACATGAACAAGCAGGGTCTGTGATACCTACCTCTTTCCCGCGGGAGATGGAGTCAAACTCCGACGGGTGAGACGAGCACCTATAAGAAAGTTGTTAGCGCGCCGCATCATCAGAACCAGCTCAAGCAACTAAGGGAAAAGGGAGAGTGGCGAGCAGGATATTGAAAAAAAATTGGAGCAGAGGGGCTTCAAAGGCTAAAGGAAATAGAAAACGAGTGGTACACACCATCCGAATCGTCCTTACCTCCGGTGCGGTCCTCTTCGTCAGAGGAAGACATGTCGAGCAGCGGCTCGCACGACACGGACTTGCGAATGGTTCGCTGGCCGTCGCGGCGGTGATGTTTTCTGTAGCGAGAGAGCGGCTTCATGGTGGAACTCTGAGGTTCTGTCATGATTAGTAAAGGGTTAGCATAGAAGAATGCAAGATGGAGGGAATAAGGTGGGCTGTGGGTTGCAAACGGCAAACAGGGAGCATGGTTCGTTCGCATGAGAGGGCTGCTGCAGATATCGCAGTGTGGAAAGTAAGTACGAACCTCGAGAATGATTGGAAGAAATCCAAAACTAAGAGCAGAAGTTTTGGCGGCTATTCAATTGCCAGAGAGTCTCCAAATGTTGTTTGCGTTGTTTGCGAGCTGCAGGTGCGAAGCTGCAGGAGGCACAAGATGCGGGATGGTGCAGAGGTTGGGTAAGACAAGGAGAGGAAAAGGAGGTGTGAAGAGGAAGAAAATGGAGGAGTTGATTTGAAGTACTTGTGCGAATGCAAAGAGAATCTAGAGCAGATTGAATCGCAATATTTGTGGTGAGCAATGAAGATGTACAGGTTGGGTTGGGTTGTTGGGAGGAGGAGGAGAAGATGCGAGGAAGAGTGAATTAGGCACCCGGGTTTTCGGGGGCGGCTTGTTACTAAATCAGCTGCAGGCGGCCAACACATCTAGATAATGGGAAAAATATAGGCTACAAAAGGCAAGGCAAAAATATTCGGCCCTTTTGGAAAAACATGAGGTAGGCCGAGTCTGGCGGTCGTGATGAGGGAAGGGGTGACAAGCCAAGGTGAAGTGGCGGGCCGAGAAGCCGGTGATTGTATTTTAGGAAAAAGGGATAACGTGACGCGCATATTTTTGGCACATAATGCTGGGGATTCCCGGCGAAGAGAGGGTTGTTTAATTTTACGCGCATGAGAAGTGCAGGGAAAACGTGTTTTCTTCCGTTTGACGAGGGAGCTGGCGTGGGGGAGAAATCCCGAACGGGTTGTTGGTGGTTGTGATTCTGGGAGGTATGGATCCAAGGGGCTGACAAGGTGAAGACGGGGATGAAGAAGCGGGAGAAGATGAAGACGGTGAATATAGTGAAGATCATATCGGCTGTGGCGGTGATGATGCTGGAAAGCTCAATTTGAATCCATCGTGGGCGAGACATGTGGCGGAGAGCAGGCGGTGCGGCTTGTGTAACGTGTTGGCGCCCGCACTAGCAACCTTTGGGGAGAAGGGAATTGTAAATCCGAGGACGCGAAGTTGTCCGAAGTGGTTGAAATAGATAAATGGAATAAATGAATAAATCTTGTTGTCTCGGAATCAGGTCATTTTGCCATATCCTAGCCACGGCCTGCCAGCTGGCGACGGCTGGCGGCCGAGGCGACAAACGGGCACAGAACGGCGTAAAAGTAGACTTCATGGTAACTGGACAATTAATAATAAAGATGAAAAATACGAATTATGAGCAAGAATTCTTGTTACTGGCAGTACGTACTACAGGGCTATTGGATATATTGGATATATTGGATATGAGTGTGCAAGCTTGGGGCTGACTGCCTGGTACTCGGAGCGGTCAGTGGTAGACAAACGGGCGTTGAGCGTTTGGAGAGGGGTATGGGACGGACTTGGGAGAGATAAAGGCAACAGGTGTATAAAACAATGAAGCCACAATAAAAACTCGCCGGTAATGCACAATTCAAGACACCACTGACCACTTACACGCACCCTCGCAACAAGCCCATTGTGGGCAGACCCAGCTATTCCCTACAATGAGGCGTACCTATGCACTCTGTAGCCGTAAGTGATGTACAGGCTTACCCAATATTTAATCCATTGATTAATTGACCACCACCTTGTTTACCCCGGAACAACGCTGCAGCCTGCCGTACCAACCAATGCATCCACATCACCAAGCACCAGCCAGGCCGCCCGAGTCCACACACCTCACACACCTCGCGGACGTTGACCCGTCACACTACCACCGATACTACGATGCACGACGCACAGCAACATACAGAACCAATCGCCAGCAAGAAACACAAAAAAGGCAAAAGAAGACAAGAAAGAAGGCAACAATCTAGGAATGCAGCCATCAAGCCACATTGCTTCCCGTGACAGCGTCCAGAACGCGACCGTCCTTCATCCTCAATGAACCTTTGCCCAATGTCGCCTGACCGTTGGCCCTACGGCTCCACAGCCTCGCTGATCCCCAGCCTTGTTTCAATCTTCTAGCTCCAATCGCCGTCCAGCACTAGTCAAGCAACCCCAGGATAATAAACTCGCTCAACTTCCATCCAATTTGTTCAATTTTGTTCCATTTGCTCCCCTATCCCAATCAACCTCCTTCTCCCAATTACGCCATTCTTTTCTGCACAAGCCCACCAACAAGAGACAACGCACAAAGCCCCTGTCGCGACCACCGAAAACTCCGACCGCCACAACCTAACCAACCAGCCAACCACACCAACGCCGCCGCCCATCTGGCCCCCCGAACGTCTACGTTTCCTTCCCGCCCAATTCCCTCAATGCAGACCAGATAGCAAACAGCGCTTCACCCGCCCACCCCCCCTTTCGCCCATCATCGCACGATAGCTCGGATCCGAAGCCCGACAGAAAGCGCCCGTCCCTTTTCCTTTTTTGTGGCTCCCCTCCCACGCTTTCCCCGCCCTCGCCATGGTCGCTGGCGGGCAGTCTCTCCACAGAGCCTCGCCCAGCCCATCGCCGTCGCTGGCCGCTTCTTCCCCGTCGCCGGCCGCGACGCCCGCAACCCTAGCCGCGACGGCAACGACGAAAGCGAGGACAGCGAGCGAGCACGGCACGGCAGGCGGAGGAGGAGGAAGTGGCGGCACACGGACCGCAGCCGCCCACGGCGGCGGGCCCACGGCGGCTGTCCCACGATCATCCCGCTTCTATACCTCTACACCATCGACGACAAAGAGCAGCGGCAGAGGAGGCGCCAGCACTGCCGCGCAAGCATCGCCTGCGCCCTCCGTCCACCCATCCATGTTGCAGCCGCGCGTGGCCGTCGTCCTCAACGTACCACCGCGTTGGCACCCCTGGCTCTTCGCCCTCCGGCTGCTGTCCTGCCTGCCCGCCGCGTGGTGGGGGCTCCCGTCGGCGCTGCACCTGCTGCTGCGCGTCGTGCCCGGGCCCGAGCACGAGGCCCTGGCCTCGCTGTACCGCGGCGATGCCTGGTCCGAGCCGTACGCCCTGACCGAGACGGCTCTGGCCACGATATGGGTGCGTAACTATGAGGAGGGGGACTGGTTCACATGTCAGGGAAGCAAAGCCTTGCTAACGACTCGTTTGGAATAGTGCTTTTCCTGTGGCTACCTTTCATTCTTCTTCACAGACTGCTTAATGTCCAGATGGTGTGTCCATGCACACGCAAGCCCCCATGGACACAACAATCGCTTACAACTCCCAGGCTCATCAACTATACTCCGCAGGCCACCATTGTACGCCTCCTCACCATCGACGTCATCAACGCCTACCTCACCCTCACTACCCTCTCCCTCGCCGGCGGGTTCCAAGACCCGCGTCTTTTGCTTCCCGGCTGGATCGGGATCGCAACAGTACGTGCCCTCCTTTCCGCAACGTGTAAGGAAATCATAGCTAATACCAACCCCAGACTCTCACCGTGTGCTACCACATCAGCCACCAGCGCATCAACATCCGCAAGGAGACGTCCACCTCGGTCAACGTCTTCTCCATCGCCAGCTACCTCAGCATGGTCGCCCTGCTCGCGCACATGCTCGCCTTCCAGCCTGACTACCCCGCCATGCCCGTCGTTGTCCACGCCCGCCGGCTCTGGCACGACGCGCTGCACTACGTGGCCCAGATCAAGGGCACCATTGAACGCGAGAGGGCGGAACTATAATGAAAGAAGAGAGGTGTGGTTGCTTTGGTTATGCAAAACTCCAAAATTGGCGGTCTTTTTCTCTGTCTTGTTTCTCTTTTCCTTATTCCCCCTCAATAGAAAGCCATCTTTATTTTCTTTCAGTTCAGGCTCTACCACGGTCTGCCCAGCTTCACAAACTGCCCGTAATGATGAGTGATAAGGAGGCCTTAGGAGAATAACTACCCCTCCGTTTGTGGATGTTGGCGCCATTGGGAATCGGGATCATACCGTGCTGAGTGCCGCCCCGGTGTTGATAGCTGCCACGACAGCTTGGACCGGTGTATCAAGCGCCTGTGCCGGCGGCTACGTACATGTCTACATCTTGAATGGCTCCGTCATATTACACTCACTCTGGGGTATCATATGTATTGCCTAGACTACGGCCGAGCTTGTCCAGGATACTAGTAAAACGAGCGACCGACAAACCAAAAGGAACCTCTTGGCCCGTAGATTACACAGGTCGTCGCATCGGAATGCTAAGCTAAAGCATGCTTGCAATGTCCCTCTTCCAACTTAACAAATGTTGAGAAATAATGTGAAACAGAGACGCTTGGTCACTTCGCTGCGACGAGGCCTGCAGGCTAATATCATGCGTTGTAGCCCCTGAGGTTGTTAAAAATCACGACTGCAACTGCTCCTTCTTCTCGCGCACTGGTGGATGGTCCGTCGTCCCTAGAGGTGCTAGCGGGAAATCACGTTTCCCAAGCCCTGGCCAGACTGCTACAAGAGAGTGCATGCAGTACTCATCATGACCGAGAGGCTATGCATTCTAGCCGGGGGAAAGGCTTATCCCCAAACACGCCCTGTTGGTTCGGCCCGCATGCGAAGCGCTGCAGAGGCTGATGATCCGCAGCTGCATGTTGCCGGCAGGGCGACGGCGCCGTAGGCCAGCTTAGAAACCGTGGACTTTGATAGTCTTGGCGTCTAGCTCAAGGCCCTCCTTCTTGTCGATGAGAAATTCCTGAACATCTTTGCGCTGATCGCCCTGGAGCTGGATCACCTCTCCCATCTCGGAGTCTGTGACAATGGTGCCATTGCAAGCTGTTGTGACATTTTGTTAGCGATTGCCTTGGAAGGAGAGTCGGTCTAGTCGTTGTCTGATGCTTCACGAGGAGGGATATGTGTTGGGCGGAGGGGCACGTACCAAACTTCTTCTTGATGACCTTGAGAATTTTCTTCTGGTCAAATTTCTTCGGAAGACCCTGGACCGTGGTCAAAGTCTTGCGACCATTACGCTCTGCGTCACCGCGTTAGCACAAGAGTCATTGTTGTGGCGAACCCTTCAACAGCAGCGCACACGCGACCGTGGGTCACTGCCGAAGTCGCGCGGGGCAAAGGGGCGAGCGGGATAAAAAACGTACGCTGGATGCGTATATGGATGTAATTCTGAGTCTGTTTGACTTCTCCGGTGTCCTCGTCGGCTTCGGCGAAGGGGTCTGCGAGTAAGTGTTGGTTAGCAAGAGGATCAAAGTCAGGCGGCAAATTCGACAAAGGTGGATTGGTCGGTTGGGTGGCCGAGCGCGGGGTTGCGTGTCCTGGCGAAGTCGCACGGGCGCCATCCGGGGAAAAGAACTGCCAGAGGCAATGGGAAGTAAGGCAATGGGAGGAAGGAAGATGAGGGATTATTTTCGATGTTCTAGATGCTCGCAACGTACCGTAGGACTTGAGATTTTCGATGGACATAAACTCGGAGGTACCTGGGTAACCTTGGGAAATGGGTTTTGCAGTGGGGGAGGGGGTGAGCGACCGACGGCTATCGAAAGCGGCCTCGCTGGAGAGCTGGTGATTTCTGGGAGGAAAGGTAGTTTGCTGTTGGTGCGAGAGCTGGGCTGCGAGAGCGATAGAAGAGCTGGTGAAGCTGTTCTGGTTGCTGGCTTGGTGGTGGTTTGGGTGAAGTGCAGGAGGCAAATTGGTGTGTGCGCTGGGCGGGACGATATTTATTATGGCAATCGTCGAGTGCAGCAGGGAGAAAGAGACTTTGCCTGCACTAGCCACACGCTCACCGGGCTGTGCTGGGCTACAGCGGGCTACGGCGGATCCGAGCGCTGATTAGGCCTGTAATTTCAAGCCTGGCAGGACAAGCAGTGGCTCAATTGTGGCGGGTGGCGGGGCAAATGACGAAACCCATTGTGCAAATTCAGTTTGCCGCTGTCTTGTGCAAATGGAAGTGGCCATGACAAGCGCTTGAACATGTTATTACAATGTATGCGGGCAGAAGAGAGAGAGAGGGGCGGGGGGGGGGATGCGTACTTTTTCACCCGACCTATACCATGGACCACTTCGGTTTTTTTCACTTTCCGTCATGCGCGTATACCATGTTTCTTTTTGCAACCTTGACAGCTGTCAAACAAAGCAAACACGTTCGGGGTCGTGGTGCTACAATGCGCACGAGACGTCTCGCCAGGCGCGCCGGGGACAAGGTGTGCTACCTAGCTGTGCAATGCATAAAACAGTATTCATGCCTGGAATCTAAGGCAGCAGTTGATCTTCACCGCACAGCCTCCTACTGCCGTAGTCACATGCCCAAAATTAACAGAGGCATTGTAGTTGCAGCTGTTGTCCCTGGCCACTATCTTGCAACCCCATGATCACCATATCCCTGCAATCTCTGAAATCTCTTGTGGAGTGGTGCATCTCTCGAGTAGCAAGCATTATTCGAAAATAAATAGCTGCGTAGGAATTACTGCCGCAGCAATATCATCGTGCCAAAGAAAATCTAGAAGATAGAACCTTTCAGCCGAAAAATTTCAATCCCATCGGTAACATCGGCTCAGTGATGAAAAGCTCCTATCAACGGTAGTCGTGGTGTTGGTCGCTAGGCTTCTTGACCCAGATACCCTATACCTGTCGTGCTTGGCACTTCCTCCCACAACCGGCGAAATATTCGACTGTATTATGACATAAGGCTTCGTTAAATTAAAAAAGCAATATCAGAAAACTCATTTGAATAACTTGAATACCACCACTTTCTAAAATGCACGCAATATCTTTTCACCTCGTCCCCAGACATCGGGTGTAAGCCATGTAGACTACCACCCCCCTATCCACGGGCAATTTTCAAAGCTGCCGCCAGTACGTAGGCCTTTGATTTACGTTACTCTACCAGCAATGATAGGCGAGTGGAAGAATTCTCGGAGTCTAAGGAGAAGTTATTCATAGAGAGAAAGAGCTCTTAGGGTGGAGCGAGGGAAAATTCAAAATGAGCCGCATCATTGGAACCGAATGAAAGGAAACAATACCAACAGAATTAGTAAGCTACGGATTTCTATCTAGAATTGAATGTCTTGTGACTTCTTTTAAATTATCCCGGTCTTCACCTTCACTCGCTGAATACAACCAACCTGCCAAATGCAATCTACAGGGAGATCCGGCTCGAGATTACTGAAGATTATGCCCACAAAAGTCCGCGCAAAAAGAGCAGGTTCTTTTCGAACATTCGCTTCGTATTACGAAAGGATTCCCCGCATAATACGTGCCGTGTGCCGGATTCCCGCGTGGCCACGCGGCATGACCAGATCAAGGAGGTGGGAGAGAACCAGCTGCAAGGCAACATCGCCAGACTGTTCTATGGTAAAATGGCGCAGCTCCTGAGAGAGTGGTTCGAAATGAGGATACGGCGTGACCTATGCGGTCTCCTTCCTAATTGTACATCCGCTTCGAAAATGTTACCCTGGCTCTCCGCTGGAGTGAGGTTAGTTTCATATGCGCCTGCCTAATCTAGATGGCGATCCTTTCATGTGGCCCGGACCGGGCGATAAACGGGCGGCCAACATTGAAGTCGGCCGACAATGGCTTCTGTATATAAAATTGAGAGCGTGACCCGGTGTTTATAGATGTAGAAAGTATTCTGTAGCTAAGAAGCAAGACACCAGTACTTACGGCAACATGCACTTGTCTTTTTTGACTGCCGTTCTCGGCCTTACGGCCGCCGGCGCGGCGTCCGTCTTTAAACCCGTGAAGCCGATGCGGTCCATGAAGACTATGGCGGAAATCACCGGCGCCGCGGCCAACACGGGAGACGTGAAGCAGTCCTGGTTCGACCAGCTCATCGACCACAGCAACCCGAGCCTGGGCACGTTCAAGCAACGGTACTACTACAGCACCGCGTACTACAACGGGCCCGGATCTCCCGTGTCGCTGGACGCGCCCTCCGAGGCCGCCCTGCCGCCCAGCCGCGTCGACCTGTCCAACGCGACCATGCCCGGCTTCATCGCGCAGAACCTTGCCGGCGCGGCCATCGCGCTCGAGCACCGCTTCTACGGCGAGAGCACGCCCATCGGCAGCGGCTCCACGCCCAACACGCAGACGCTGCAGCCGCTGACGCTGGAGAACGCCATCGACGACCTCGTCTACTTCGCGCGCAACGTCAAGCTGCCGTTCGACCCGGACGGGCTGTCGCACCCGGACCGCGCGCCGTGGACGCTCAGCGGGTGCTCGTACTCGGGCGCGCTGTCGGCGTGGACGGAGCGCCTCGCGCCGGGCACCTTTTGGGCGTACGAGGCCGGCAGCGCCGTCGTCGAGGCGCGCGACGACCTCTGGCAGTACTACGGGGTCATCGGCGAGGCCCTCCCGCAGAACTGCTCGGCCGACTGGAAGCTGGTCATGGCGCACATCGACGACGTCCTGATGAACGGCTCGGACGGCGACAAGGCGGACCTGAAGCGCAACCTGGGCGTCGTGGGTGCCTCCGACCAGAATGCTGCGGAGAGTGCGGCGTCGTGGGTGTCGAGCTGGCAGAGCCAGCAATACTTTTACGGCTACACTCGACCCTTCCAGGTGTGCGATTACATCGAGGTATGCCTGTCCCCCTCCCCCCGTTTCGCAAAGTGCCATTCTTCTGAAGCTGTGCTGATGTTCTTCGGCTCAGAACCAACTGCCCGAGCAGTATGAGCCCACGCCTGGCGCCCAGGGACTTGGACTGGACAAGGCCTTACAAGGCTTCTTCCGCTACATGCAAGCAGGTAGTGGAAGCAGCAGCCCGCAGGACAATAGCTTCGATCCCTGGCTCTGGCAACTCTGCAACGAACCGTAAGCTAGCAAACGACTCGATAAAGAAGGAATCTCCCGCTAACTCTACCGTTCCGTAGATTCGAGTGGTGGCAGACGGAGCGGGCCGGGACGCCCCTCCACATGACCACCGGGTACGACACGGAGGAGTCGCAGCGCAACGAGACCTGCTCCCTGTTCCCCGACGTCGGCAACTACAAGGTCGGCGTCAAGCTCGGCCGCAACGCGGACACGGTCAACAAGCTGACCGGCGGCTGGGGCGTCACCAACACGACGCGTCTGGCCTGGGTCAACGCCGAGTTCGACCCGTGGCTGTACGCGACCGTCTCGTCCCCGGACCGGCCGGGCGGCGCGCTGCAGAGCACGGCAGACGCGCCCGTCTACTGGCTGCGCGGCACGGCGCACTGCAACGACTACCTGACGGGCAACTACGCCGTTAACGATGACGCGCGGGCCATGTTTGACGGCGTGGCGGCCAACATGAAGCAGTGGGCGGATGACTTTTACAAGCAGCACAACATCACGCGCCCCCAGTAAAATGGGGCCACGTGCGCAGTTTCGTATTGGTTGGGCGCGAATACACTGATGCCTGTATATACTTGATAGATGTAGTCGATAATCGCCATCTGAATGAAGATATGGCAATTGGTGTATGAACCGCTCTCGGGGAGGACATCATGGTCGTCAGCCTTGCCACAACGCGTGGCCCCTCCCAGTGCATGTAATAGCAAACAAGGGAAAAGAATTTCCTGCTGCTTTTGACAAACAGGTATCCCAAGATCTGTGAGGTTGGCAAATCGCGCGTTTGCTCCGTGTCTTGGCCCGATGTACCATTGCTAACCCCGCTACTGATGCACGCGTCGCTCGTCTTCTCTGACAACGTTGCGCATCGCACCGATAAGTCGAGAGAAGGTCGACGCCATGGCAGAAGTTATGAACGCCAAGATTTCAAACACTTCTAAACAGTGTCTATTATATCAAGTCAGCCAAGACCCCGGACTGCCTCGGCCGCGGCCGACGACAGCATTCTGGCAGGTCCCGCCGCACCCAACACTGGCGGACAAGCAATCTCACCAGCTCCCTGCGAGCACGGCTGTTGCAATTATCGGGTCCGGTATCACAGGATGCAGCGTGGCCAAGCATCTTTTAGACCTGTCCGCTACTGACGGTGCCATGACTGTGTCGGTATTTGAGGCACGCACGCTGGTGAGCGGTGCTACGGGTCGCAATGGAGGGCTGCTGACTTCGTTTGTACCAGAAGAGTTTGGCGATTTAGTCGAGCACTATGGCACGGAGGAGGCTGTCAAGATAGCGCGGTTTGTAAATCGGAACCTGGAAAAGGTGCACGAGCTGGCGAACGAGTCGCCGGAGCGCAAGGAATATAGCCAGGTGCGGCGCCTTCGAGACGTCGTCTGCTTCAGCAACCCTGAGGACTTTGCCCAAGCAAAAGAGTCGTGGGCCCTATACGAGAAGCATGTTCCAGAGGACAGGGGGAAGACGGAGTTTCTTTCTTCGGCAGACGCCGCGCAGGTACGCTGAACCATGGGGCTCGGGGCGCGGGAACTGACCTGGTGCTAGAAATACAATGTCCGCGCGCCGGCAGGGGCTGTGACTTTTCCAAATGGTGCTGGATGGCCATATCGACTGATAACAGAGGTGTGGTCTCAGCTAAATGAAGAGTACCGGTCCCGACTGCGTATCGAGACCAAGACGCCGGTCGAGAGCATCACGTATGACGCCTGTGACACGGCATATCCATACATCTTGCACACGCCAAGAGGAGACGTCAAGGCGACCAAGGTGATACATGCCGCAAATGGGTACGCCGGCCACCTGCTGCCGTCTCTTCGCGGTGCGCTTTATCCGCTCCGTGGAAGCATGTCAGTGCAGAAATCGACGCCGGAATTTGGCCGGCACGGCGCCAACCTGACGTGGAGCATGACAAACAGGAGAGTTTACGAGCCGGAAACTGATGTTCTAGAGGCGGGTACGTATTACGCGCACCAGAACGCGATTACGGGCGACATATTCCTTGGGGGTGAAAAGACTAAGGCGAGTGCCTTCTTCGTCACCGACGACACCGAGATGGACGTGAACTGCCGAGAGAACTTTGCAGCTCTTCTGCCGCGCTACTTCATCCACGGCTGGTGTGAAAGTGACGGTGGTGGCGGAGGAAGAGCAATGGACCCTGAGATTTGCGCAATGTGGACTGGCATCATGGGCTTCACGGGAGATCGCCTGCCGCTGGTCGGGCCACTGGACGAGGGCGCGACGCGACGCGGCGGCGAGGGCGAGTGGATCGTGGCTGGCTTCAACGGCTACGGCATGTCGCTGTGTTGGGCGTGCGGCGAGGCAGTGGCCAAGATGGTGTTGGGGATGGACGTGTCCGAGTTTCTGCCATCGGCGTTCCTTGCGACGAGGAAGCGGATTGAACAGCCGGCGCGGCGAGGGCCGCTAGAGGCCGTTCTCGATTTGCTGGATGCGTAATGTGAGGCACAGTTATTGGAGGGTTGCTGCACCTTTGCACTTTGGATGGCACCGAATGTTTCGTATGGCCCCGGATGCGGTGTTGGCCAAAAGGCCTCGCATCGCATGTTGTTGGCAATAACAGGGAGGTGGTATCAATTTTCTTGCATTGCATATCTCCGCAAGGCAGAGGGAAACCCACAGCTGGTTCCAGTAAAAGCAATATCTGGTTTCTTTTGTGGAACTTGCCTTGCGAACCACTTTCTGAGCGCTGCATCTGCCCGTTTTTGGAATAAGGCAACCAGAGCAGGGGTGGAAGCTTGGCCGTTGCCCCAGTTAGTGATAGTTGGGAAGTGAGCGAGGCTCACGAGTCGCGAGGTTGAGTGGGAGTAATAGTTCATGCGAAATAGTAATAATTTTACCGGCTGTCGGTGATTGTGGAAGATGCATAGACCTTGTGCTAGCGGTGCCCACGTATTCACATAGTAGTCGCCGTTCATAAAGACAGCCGGATAGACAAACACGGTCAATCAAGGAACGTCGAAGGAAGCAGGTGATAAGGAATGGATGAGAGACGAGGGCATTCGAGGCTGTGGGTGATTAGGTAATGCCTGGAAGATCCTGCGATGCTACTGGTAGAAGGGAAGAAGCCCTGTAACAAGTTACTTATAGTGCCTTCTCGGGATATTACAGGGGACATGGCAGCAAAAAGGCCGTGCTCAAGGATTTTATACAGGACTGTCGTCGAAGATATGGGCCTCTGCAAATATACATATGTACATTGTATGTAGGTTGCTGAGAAGGGCTTCAGAATTAATCTGTGCACACACACACACACACACACAAACAAGCACACACGCCGTTTTCATTCGACAGCAATAATTCATCCATGACCATCGAAAAGGGGTCCTCGCCACCAAGCAGCCCCAGCATCTACCTACTATTCATTAATCAATGGAATAATTTCCGAACTGCTTTGGTCGTCGCCTCTTTCTTCTCCGGGTCACATAGCCGCCTGACGGACAGCCTCGCTGATCTTGCCCTCCTGAATCCTCCTGCCGTCTTCGTCTCCGTCCGATCCGATGACAAGAGACTGCTGCGCCCCCCAGAGAAACATCCCTGCATCTAAGACTCCATGTGCGCATGAAGAGACATTTTCACTCCGAAGCTTGACTCCTCTGCTCTCCACCATCCCCAGCACTAGTCCAGGGGCAAAATGGCGCCGCCCAATCCTGTCCAAGGCAGGGGGATAAAAATGGATTGTTGACAGGATGGGAGACTATTCCACTTGCAGTAGCCGTGGCGCAAAACTACTGGTGTGCAATATGATGATTGTAGATGACTGATTTTCTGCCCTCGTTGCCAACGGGGTGGTGTCCTTGGCCATACCTTGCCAAGCCCTCCCACGAACATGTCACAAATTGCCCTGCAAGGTACGAGCTGAGCGCTTAAAAACTGCAGTACATGACTGCGATCGATAACTATACTGACCGCTTTTTGTAGGTAATTGAGTCAGTGCGGTGATACATGGAAAATCGGCAATTGCCTCTTTTGGATCTCGTCAGCAAGCTTGGCACGAAAAGCCTTTCAGAGGGTGTTCCACCCCAGCTCGTGGCGGCCAAGGCCAGGCACGATATGATTATTATAGGATAACTGGTTATAACGTGGCAGCGCTACTCATGCACTTGAGGCTCCGGCTAATCCTGTTCCTGAACGAGGCGCTGCTGAACCTGCCCTTCGTTGGTCCCAGGAAGCTCACGATATCCACACAACCTCTTTCTAGACCCGTCCACCGTCCGCTATCCCACCGCACATGGCACCTCAATACCAGAGCCTGGCTGGTCTTCCTGCCAGAGCAAAAATCTCCCCTCACGGAGCAATCTTGTGCTCTCTCGGTCGACCCGCCCCGTCTAGGCATCCGGACAGGGTTGTGACTGAGAGCGAGCGAGAAGCTACTCCCCATGGTGGACCGCCACGCACACCACGCCAGTCGCTCGCCCACCTTTCTGCTGACGCCTTGTCCGTCCTGGCTGCTGGCGGACAAGCTGAGTATCGTGGTGATGGATGGGACCGACCACACAGTGAAAAGAGCGCCTGCTCCGCTCCTCTCAGCCTGATGCTGTCCCTCTCTTTCCTCTCATCAACTCTCTCTGTCAACATAGAGACTCAACGGGCTCGGATACTAGGCCTTCTTGTAGACGTTTTCGTCTGCGTCCTTTCTTTCATTGCAATCACCGACCAAATCACAGTCTTTACTACCACTCCCCGGTTTCGACCAAATTACAATCTCTTACACACAATGGTTTCCAAGCTTCTTACTGCTCTCGCCGTTGCTGGCGTGGCCTCGGCCGCCGGCACCAACGTTGCCAAGTTCAACGCTTACTGGGTAGGATTCACAGCAACTTTGCTTAGACATCTCCATTTGTTAATGCGATTGAATAACTATAGGGTCAGAGTGGTCCTGCCACTGAGCGTCTCAAGGATCGCTGTGACGAGGGCGCCGACTACATCAGCCTGTCCTTTGTCACTTCCTCCCCCGAGAACAACCCTACCGGCTACCCTGGCATCGGCTTTGCCGCTCACTGCTGGGCCACTGGCTTCCCCGTGAATGGTGTCCAGTCCCAGCTGCTCGACCACTGCGGCACAATCATCGAGGATCTCCAGTACTGCCGTGACAAGGGCATCAAGATGCTCCTCTCCATCGGTGGCGTTTGGGACGAAAAGAGATCCGACTATCGCGTCACTACTGAGAAGAACGGCCGTGACTTCGCCGACTTCCTCTGGGGTGCTTTCGGTCCTTGGGATCCCTCTTGGAAGGGCCCTCGTCCTTTTGACACCTATGTCAACGGCGTCATCACCAAGCACACCGCCGTCGACGGCTTCGACTTTGATCTGGAGCTTCCCCAGGTCAACGGTCAGAACTTTGATAACAAGCCTTGGATCGCTATGGCCGACCAGTTCCGCTCTCACAGCAAGGGTGTCATCATCACCGGTGCTCCCCAGTGCCCTACCAGCCCCCAGTGGTTCGCCATGAAGGACATGATCCAGCAGACTCAGTTCGACGCCCTCTTCATCCAGTTCTACAACAACGTCGGCTGTGACCTGATCATTGGCAACGACCCCACCAACCCCAACGACGATTTCAACTACGACCAGTGGGAGGACATCATTGCTGCGAGCGACAACAGCAAGAACGCCAAGCTCTTTGTCGGCGTCCCTGGTGTCGCCACCCCCAAGAACCCGCAGGACGGCTACGTCACCCCCAGCCAGCTTGAGCACATCATCTGTAAGATTGCCAAGCGTGACTCCTTTGGTGGTATCTCCGTCTGGGACATGTGGGCCGGCAAGGAAAACGTTATTGGCGGCAAGTCTTTCAACCAGCACGTCCAGGACATTCTAAGCAAGTGCGGTGCGCACACGACCACGACCACCACTACGACGACCACGACTTCTACGACCTCGAGCACTACGAGCACGACGACGACGACGACCTCCAGCTCTTCCAGCATCACCACCACCACCTCGTCCAGCTCCAGCACTCCCACCGCGACTAGCACCTCGACTTCGTCTTCCACCAGCAGCCAGTCTACCTCTAGCTCCAGCAGCTCTTCCTCCGTGAGCTCCAGCTCCAGCTCCTCTGCCGTCACAACCAGCAGCTCTAGCTCTGTTGTCTCTACCTCGCAGTCTAGCTCAAGCTCATCCACTGTCCCTACTGGAAGCTCCAGCAGCAGCTCTGCCGTCACAACCGGCTCTAGCTCCTCTGCTCAGCCCACTGGTAGCTCCAGTTCCAGCTCCGCTGTGACTACCAGCTCTACCTCGTCTGCTGCTCCTACGTCCGTGTCGAGCTCCAGCTCCGTTGTCCCTACTTCTCAGTCCAGCTCCTCGGGCTCTGTTCCCACCTCGTCTGGCACGGCCATCCCTACCTCGGTCTCCAGCTCCAGCATCGTCCTCACCACTGGACCTGCCACCACCACTGGCCCTGTGACCACGGCTCCTTGGAGCAACACCACCACGACCTCGCAGGAGATGACCACCAGCACCGTCTTCACGACCACGACCCGCACCATCACGTCGTGCGCCCCCACCGTGACCAACTGCCCTGCCCGTGTCGTCACCGAGACCATTGCTCTGTACACAACCGTCTGCCCCGTGACCAAGACCAACCAGCCTCCCAAGCCCACTGCCACCCCCAGCCAGTCCACCGAGGAGCTGACGACCAGCACTGTCTACACCACGACCACTTACACCATCAGCAAGTGCCCTCCCAGCGTCACTAACTGCCCCATCGGCCATGTGACCACGGAGACCATCTCTCTGTCGACGACTGTCTGCCCCGTCACCAAGACCAACGAGGTTCCCCAGCCTACCCAGCCCGCTGGCAAGCCTCCTGGTGGTGAGCAGCCCTCCAGCCAGCAGCCCTCCAGCCAGCAACCCTCTGGCAGCAAGCCCACTGGCCCCCTGACCACCACCACCCTGCACAGCACCAAGACCGTCATCAAGACCCTGTCCCTGGTCCCTGAGACAACTCTGACTGTCGTCCCCGTCAAGCCCACTGGCAGCAGCAAGTGCCCCGGCGGTCCCAACTGCCCTGCTCCTGCTCCTTCTGGCGAGCTCACAAAGTGCCCCGGCGGCCCCAACTGCCCTCCCGTCGGCACCGGTGCCCCTTCGGCTCCGATTGTCAAGCCCACCACCCCCATCGTCACGGGCGGTGCCTCTTCGGTCGCCGCTGGTCTGGTTGCTCTCGTGGCTGCCCAACTCTTCCTCCTGTAAAATGGAGACAAGGATATTAAAAATGGAACTTCATTGTTATTTATATTTGTGTGTTTGATCTTATGATAGAAAGCATTTTTTACATTTTGGATTTATTCACATAGGGTCGTCACCCGTTTTCTTCTTCTCTCATCTTACCGGACCATCGCCTGGAATGCTGTCTTTCGTCTCTAACATCTATTTCAAGCTCCTGTTAAGGGATAAGTTTGCTGTTTTAGGCCTAGGTTCAAGTTTACCGAGTTTCCTTGTCTCATAATCTGAACGTATGTACATGTGGTATATTGATAGAGTCATGTATGTGAGCTATATACAGCTGTGGACGCCAGCCAGTAGGCCAGCCTCGCTATTACTTTTGACTGCCAAACGACTGCTGGTCGAGTTTGTAGCTGACGTCCTCCAGAACCTCCTTCAGCAGCTCGACCACCGGCTCATCATGCTGCCCCCACCGCAGCCTCTTGACGAGGGCGTCGCGCTCACTCCGAAGCACGTCCTGCGGTACGCACATGAGGTCGCACTGGTCCCGCAGCAGCCGGTACGCGACCTCGTCGGGCGTCTCGGCCTGCACGGCCACGTTGCGCAGGAAGTCGACGTGGTACTCCCACGGCAGGCGGCGCGTCGGGCCGTCCGGCGCCTCGAGGTTGACGCCCCCGCGGACGAGCCACAGCAGCCGCCGGCGGGCCTCGTCGTCCCATGGCCCGGTCACGAGCGCCGTGGGCAGGCGCGTGTCTGGGTGCACGTTGCGGACGAGCGTGCGCGGCGGCGCCGAGGGGTGGCGGAGGAATTGCCGGTAGGTCTCGTCAAAGTAGCGCGCGGCGTCGAAGTCGCCGAACCCGCCGGCGCCGGTGTCGCCGTGGCCGACGACGGCCGGGGCCTGGTACCACCGGTGGCGGGCGTAGGTGTCCGCCCAAGTCTGCTGCGCGCGCAGGATGAAGTCGATGTCTACCCATGGGAGTTCAAGAAGAGCACTCTGTGGAACCCGGGTCAGTGACTGAAAGCGAAAAGGAGGCGGGAAGCTCTTACCTGAAGCTCCGGGTCTCCGTCGCAGGGATAGTACCTCGCCTCCTGCGGGCTCCGCGCCCCCCGGCCGGTGCGCCGCTCGTCTCGCGGCCGCGGGCCCTCGAGCACCGCGCGGAACGGGATGCCGAACCACTGGTCCCAGGTGTCGTGGAAGCCGCAGATGAAGAGGCGGAGCAGGGTGGCGCGCCCGGACAGCTTGGCGCCGACGACGGGGCTGCAGCGGGGAAGGGCGAGGCTCCCGCTGTGCAGGAGCACGCTCTCGAGGATCTCGGCGGGGAGTCGGTCGAGGCGGGCGCGCGGACGGAGGTGACGCGCGCGTTTGACGTCCTGGATGGAGCGGGACATCTTGGACGGCGTCGTGGTGGTGGAGGTGGAGGAGGAGGAGGCCTTGCGCTTGCCCCTGACTCGGACGGGCGTGAGCTTCATGGCTCGGCTGTCCGGGGGGCGGAGGCTTGCGCAGGACGGAAGCGAGAAGAGTAGGATGGCAAAGGAAAAAGAGGTGATATAGGCATCTGCGAGGCTTGACGTTTGGTCGTTTGTAGTCGATGGTGGCGCTAATTGGTGATGAGTAGAGATGGCATTGTCGCCAGCGGGAGTTAATTTGCTGAAATAATCAACTCTAAAAAGATCGAATATTAACGCAGATTTCTTATATATTTTCTTTTTTAAAAGAAAATGTTACGGACTCCTAACAGTACATGTAAAAATGAGTAACTGCTGTTGATGAGCCTGACGTACTGGATATCAAAGTGGTCCGTGCACGCGCCATAAACTTTCTAGTTTGTGGCTAAAAAAAAGTCCGAGGAGAGCCATCGACGCCGACAAATCTCCCATCCGGCCTCCTCCGTTTGCTTGATCAATCAACTGTGAATAATTTCGCGCCTTATCTGGATTGCTGTCAGTGGTCTCTATGAACACGACAACACTCGACCGCGCAGCCGCTGCAGCACCGTAGCGCACATTCACAGCGCCGATGCGATCTCCTGTGCCGTCGCGCAGTCTCCTGCGCTTCCTGCGCACCCAGTCCGAGACGGCCTTTTTCACGCCGAGTCGTCATCCCCTCCAAGGCAGCGCCAAGGCGAGCGGCGCGCGCATCTGCGGTCGCCGCGTCAGGCTATACAATACCGACACATGTCCGTGTACGACGATGACGACGCCTGCCCTGGAGGCGTCGCTGTGGCCGTTTGGCCGCGCCCGCCCACAGCAGCGTCGGGAGCTGAGCTCCACGACCAAGGCCAGCGGATGGTACAAGTCCCGCAGCGCCACCGACAGCAGCAGCGACCCGGCCAGCTCCTGGCAGGAGAGGCTTTGGGGCATGGCTGCGCGACGCGGCTTTAAGCCGCTCAAGCCGGACGACCTCCCCGGCGGCCACGACGACCTCGAGCACGGGTCCATGTTCAACAGCCGTCGGGTCATGACGGCCAAGGCGGCGGCGGAGCCGCGACTGCGTTGCACCGAGGTGGACGAGCATGGGCAGGTGATTCTCGTGGACGGGGAGTTTAAGAAGTCGGAGCTAATTGCCAAGGTTTGCCTACCGCCTCCGATTCTGTGGTTGTTCAACGCAGCTAACTCTGAATGAACAGTACGGGCTGTTGCCCCGTGACTTGCGAAAGATCGACTCGTCCAACCTCCCCCACATCCTCGTCCGGCCCGAAGCGATCCTGCTCAACCTGCTGCACCTCAAGGTGCTCATCAAGAGCGACCGGGTGCTGCTGTTCGACATTTACGGCTCCAAGACGTCGTACCCGCAGTCGGCCTTCATGTACGACCTGCAGGGCAAGCTGCAGCAGCGCAACCCACCCACATCGGCGGGGGGCTCGCCGCCGGGCCTGCCGTACGAGTTCCGGGCGCTCGAGGCGGTGCTGACGTCGGTGACGTCGGAGATGGAGGCCGACTTCGAGGCGGTGCGCGAGCCCGTCATGCACATCCTGAGCGCCCTCGAGGACGACATTGACCGCGAGAAGCTGCGCAACCTGCTGATCCTGTCGAAGCGCGTCAGCACGTTTGAGCAGAAGGCGAAGCTGGTGCGCGACGCGATCGACGACCTGCTGGAGGCGGACGACGACTTGGGCGACATGTACCTGTCGGAGAAGAAGCGCGAGTCGACGAGGGCGGCGGACGACCACACCGAGGTGGAGATGCTTCTGGAGTCGTACCACAAGATTGCGGACGAGATTGTGCAGGAGGCGGGCAACCTCGTCTCCGGCATCCGCAACACGGAAGAAATGTAAGTTCTGCCAGGTCCTTGTACGTAATACACCTGCTGACCAAGACGAAATAAAAGTGTCCGCGCAATTCTCGACGCCAACCGCAACTCGCTCATGCTGCTGGACCTCAAGTTCAGCGTGGGCACGCTGGGCCTTGCGATGGGCACGTTCCTGGCGGGCCTGTACGGGATGAACCTCGAAAACTTCATCGAGGAGACCAACTGGGGCTTCGGGGCGGTGACGACGGTGTCGACCGTCTTCTCGCTGATGGTGTGCTGGTACGGGCTGGTGAAGCTGCGGCGCGTGCAGCGCATCAAGATGGCGAGCGGCGAGCGGCTGCCGGGCCTGCCGCGCGGCTACCCGCACTACCTCCAGGACGAAGGGGCCGGGGCGATGGGCGGGCTGCTGCTGGACTCGCGGAATCGCGAGATGCTGAGGCGGCTGCACTCGCAAAAGGCGGCGCCGAAGAAGACGTCGTGGTTCTGGTGATGATGGGGTGATTGATGTCCAACGCGCCACCTCCACCACCTCCACCACAACCGCCACGACGACCGAATCACTTGGACGAAAGTCTGTATTACCAATTAACCTGTACGGCATATAGATGGCGTTTTGGATTTATGCGAGCACAAGGGAAGCGGCGATTTATTGTTTAATTTTGGTGGGACTTTTTACTCCAACTTATAACTCAACTCCAAGAAGCTGCCTGCGCATCACATATTCAGGCGGGAACACATCACAAATTTATGTATCCTGCTCTATACACACCTTGTACATTAAATTCTACACCGCCTTGGCACAACGAGCCCACGTGGTTTACCGTTACGATGAGCAAAGGCCGTTGCGCCGTTGCCGATCTTTTACTATGTCAGTGGTTGATTAAATTAGGCCGCCGCCCCCTGGTCGCTCTTTTCTCGTGTCTCACAAAATGCGCATGCAAATCGTGACGTCAGGATCTCGACACTGCAGCATGGGCTTTTTTTTTTTTCTTCTCTCTTGATAAATCACAACAAACCCATTTCTCATTCTTCATCTTCCCCCTTTCCCTACCCTCCTCTCGATTAGCTTTTACCAAACCTATCCAACCGTCTTTTAACCAAAACCGTCACCATGGGCGCAGTCCTCTCTTGTGTAAGTGGATTTCAACTTGCCCCCCCTAGCCTCCCTCCATCGCCTTGCGAGTCCCGATGCTAATTTTGCCTTTTTTTTTTACCCCTTCTTCTAGATCCAATCCATATTCAACGCCATTGCTGGCTGCATCATGGCCATCGTCCATGGAGTCATCGCAATCTGTAAGGCCATTCTCGATGCCATCCTGGCCTTCTTCGCCATCATCATCAGCTGCATTACCTGTGGAAAGTGCGGCGGGCGGCGGAAAGTAAGCTCGAGTCATGTGTAGTGGTAGCAGGGACGAGCTTTTGTCGAATGTCGAGTTCCGTTTGGTTTACTCTCTCGATTTGATACCTCTTCGATGATGATGCGTTGACGAGCCACCTCGGTGATACCTACCGCTGCGTGCGAGGCGGGCGGGACATGAGTTGTATTGCAGTTCAAAGTTGACGACAGGAATAATATGGACTACTCTTTTACTTTGTCTTTCATGCAGAATATCAATCTATTGACGCACCTATGGCGCGCTCTGAACTGTGACCGTGAGTGCTTCTAAACATCGAGTCCTGCAGTGCCCTCCTATTCACCCTCCACCCTCGCCGAATCCGAATCATTATATTTTAGCGAGCCATTATATAGATCCTCCTCCATATCCTCCTCCACCACCGTCGCGAGGCCCCTTCTCCCACCAATCCCATCCCGCAGCTTCAGCTTCTCCCACACCTCCGCCTCGTCCTTAACACTCGCCCGCAGCCGAGGGTCTTCCTCTTTCAGCAGCACCCTCCGACGCATCAACGTGTCGCTCAGCATCGGCTGTGCCTCCCCGAGCCGGCCGGCGTCTAGGAGCAGCCTGCCCAGCCGCCCCACGCCGTCTAGCGTGATCCAGTGGTCCGCGCCGAGATACTTCCTCCCGCTCTCCCACACCCGCGGATATAGCTCTTCCGACTCATCGTGTCTGTGCTCTCCTTGCTCGTAGATATCTCTAGCTATATTGTGGAGTAGTTCGAGGAAGTCGCCGCATTCATCCACGACGCTGCCGTGGAGGGCGGCCATGCGCTCGACGCCGAGGCGCGAGGTGTGCTCGGCCTCTTCGTACCTTTTCTGCCTGTGAACTATCATGCCCAGATCGCGAATCTTCCGCAGCGCCCACTTGTAGTTGGGGCCCCAGCCGTTGGTGCTAAGCTTCAGCGCCTCCCGGGTTAGCTCCTCGGCCTCGGCGTCCCGACCCAGCCGAGTAAGCGTGAAAGCAAGCCGACTCATCGTCTGGATGGTTACCTTGTGCTCGGCTCCTAACACCCGGGTCTGCACTACGATGGCGTCGCGGTACAGGGCCTCTGCCTCAGCATACTTTCCCTGACGATCGAGGCTCCTACCTGTAAGCCCCTTCGTTAACCACGAAGCGGGGTGATGTTCGCCAAACGTCTTGAGTTTCACTTCGAAGGAGCTTTGGTATATGCTTTCCGCCTTCTCGTAGCTTTTCTGCCCGAAAAAACGTCGCGGCCAGGCCTTCCCGGGCTTTGATGGTGTCGAGGTGTGCCTTGCCGAGCTCTTTCTCCCCAAAGGTCAGCGCCCTCTCGAACACGGACTCGGCCTCTTCGTATTTGCGCTGCTCGAGAAGCGCTCGTCCCAGTTTTAGGTTGCTCTGCATCCATCGGAAATCTGTCAGGTCCAGATCTAGCATCTGCAGATAGATGGCCTCTGCCTCTGCCCAGTTTTTCTTGCTGTTCAAGGCATCGGCCGCGGTCCACAGGCTCTGGATAGATGTCGGCTCTGGATAGATGTCGGCTCTGGACTGGTGGCCCTGTGGTCATTACTCTTGATAAAAGAGCTGGCGGTTTCGCTCAACTTGTCGCTCCGGTCATCGCTGGCCAGCATCGGCTCTGCGGTGCTTGTCGAGGCCGAATCCGTGTCATAATCGACAACACGGTATGTGGTCGTGGACGATAGCAAGGGCGTTACACTGTATAATCACCGTTAGTAGAAAACCTCCGAAGCAAGTTCAAGTCCCTGCAGGGCGAAAGTATTAGGGTGTCGAAGAAAGTAGAGTCTGGATTGACATCAGTCTCGACCTCAGCGCGTCCCGCAGCTCAAGTAGCTCCTGGGACTTGTAGAGCGTCCAGCCGATTTTACACCACGACGACTGTAGGCTTCCTCTCACCCCGCTGACTGTGCTACCATTCTCCAACATGCTGTGATACCCCTCGGTCTTTTTCAGAAACGCTGTGATGATGTCGAGGGATGAGATGACGATGTGGGAAGTGGCGTTGACGGTCGCGGGGGGAAGCAGCTTGTGGGTGCGGATATGACCGACCTGCATAAAGGCCTGTTGCATCGCTGACACCTCTGACATGGCTTGTACATACTCATCCGATGCGCCGCGCGTGTCGGACATGATGCGGACAAGCTTGTAGGTGAGGTTGGCGCCGGCGATGAGGTCGCCGACCGGATAGCCAAACGACACGATGGTTGGTGATGGTGATGGTGATGATGGTGGGGGAGGGACAGGACGGAGCTGGGCCTTTCTTTCTTTGTCAGGAGGCCACAGCATTGAAAGAACCTACTGGTTGGGCATGGAATGCAACTTGTCTGGCTGTACTCACAGTTCTTCTCATAGGCTTAGCTCAAGGCAGAATATGCATGTTGCAGACCTTGCGTGGCGCAGGCTCATCAAGCAACCAACTGGAACAATGTCTATAATAACTGATTTTATCTTGATGCGCATGAGATTTGTGGTTAGAGCATTTCTGTTCAGTGAGCAAGACGAGCAATGGCGGCAAAGAAAGGAATATTGTTTGCCTCACTTTTTGGGCGTTTTGCCCGACATATATATGTACATGGATAACATGGTGAGAGCGCGAAAGAGCGCCTCAATCACACATCAGACTCACTGCTCGCCCTATCCGACGAGGCTCGCCGCGTTCCCGCCCTCTTCATCGCCGCCAGAATCGACGACGACTGTGCAAGCAGCGTTGCTGGGGCATCAAACTCCATCAACTCTCCCTTTTGCAAGACACCAACCTTGTCATAGCGCTCGATATATCCCAGACGATGAACGACGGAAAGCACCGTCTTTCCTGCGAATTCTGTCTCCAGCACTTGTTGCATGATTTCCTCCGTCTTGTGGTCAACGCTGCTCCTGGTTAGCAAGTCTGCCCACCATACATACATCTAGTCCTTCTTCTTCTTCCAAAAAAGAAAAAACAAAGAAAAAGAAAAGAAAAAGGAGAAAGGCGATCGAGATTGTCTCAACATACCTGCTTGTAGCCTCATCAAGAATGAGGATAGGACTCCTCCTCACCATCGCGCGCGCCATGCAAATGAGCTGCCGCTCACCGACACTCCACGCCGTCAGCGGCATTTCCGAATTGATGCCGCCAGCAGCCTCGATGCGCTCCCAGAGCTCAAGCCGCTTGAGAGCCGCTATTATATCCTCATCTCTAGCTGTCTCGAATGGATCGACGTTTTGGCGCACCGACCCGGGCATCAAGAAGGGCTCTTGAGGGACAATGTTGATGAGAGCACGCAGCTCATTCGGCACCAGGTTGTGAATGTCGACGCCATCTATTTCCAACTTGCCATTTAGGTGAATCAAATGCAACAAGCTTAGAATGAGCGACGTCTTGCCACTACCAGAGCGGCCACAGATGGCAACCTTTTCGCCAGCCTTGATCGACAGCGTCAAGCCCTTGAGAACCGAAGGACCGGTTTCCCTGTGTGAGGCGTCAGATAAATCTCGATTTAGAAGAGTATTTTACTTCTTACTTGTAAGAGGCAACGACGTTTTTAAACTCAATATTGCCAACCCTGGGCCAGTTTGGCGGAGGGCTCTCTGGCTGCAGGATGCCCAGTACTTCCTCCTCGGGAACGGTATTGTCCTTGAAGTCCTTGATGCGCCCGACGGCGCCAATCGAGGTCTCCAAAGAAGTCCACATTTTAATCAGCTGAGTCAGGGCAGAGTTGAATGTCATGACGGTCACGAGAGAGACGCCGACGCTTCCCGGTGAGAACTTGTCGCGCCAGGTGACGACAATAGCAATGAGGATCAGAACCAGGGCAGATACCATTGCATCCAAGACAAGAGCCAGCCACTGCTGGATGCAGAAAAGCAAGTACACGGGTCGCTGCGAGCGGTTGAGGAGTCCCTGTAGGGCCAGCTGACACGACTGCTGCCACCCAAACGCTCGCAGCGTCGCAGCACCGTTCTTGGACTCGAGGAATTGAAGGTAAACCGGAGCCTTGGCTTCGATATCAAGGAGTCGGACCTGTCGCGACGTGCGCAGGTAGATGCGCTGGATGATGTAGATGGCGGCGAGGAATATCGGCAGCGACGCCGTGAGATAGCGCCCAAATACGGCCAGTAGGAGCACCTTGGCTATGCACTCGTAAAATGAGGCCAGATAGTTGATAATGATAATGGGAAGCTCGATGCCAATCAGCTCCATGTCCTGGCTGAATCTGTTGGTGATGCTGCCGAGATCCGTCTCCTGGTAGAAGAGGAGAGAGGCGCGGATGACGGCTGTCAAGAGATCGGTGTGGAGGTTTCGCGAAGACGCAGATATCATGTTAACAAAGACCAGCCAGCAGAGGAACAGCAAGATAACCCCAGAAAAGACACCCAAGCCGGCATATACGCCGAGATACATGTCGTTGTTGGCGTGGCCGGGGTTCCTGGCGTTGGCCGCGGACCAAAGATCGATCCAGACGACGCCAAATTCGCTGCAGAAAATGTACAGCCCACCAGTGACAAGCATCGTGATGACCTTGAAAACTCCAGAGGAATACATGTAGTAGCGGTATACAGACGGGGCTCCGTGCTTGCGCTTGAGGTCTGCCGCTTCCTCGTTCAGTGCAGATATTGTGTCGTCGACAGTCGCGGCTCGGCTAAGAGCATGTAAGTTCGCTGGCTTGGTCTCCTTGACGCTCTCGTCCTCAGTGTCGTCAGTAGATTCCTCAATCTGGAAGCCAGAAGAGAAACCGTCTCTCGACTGTAGCGATGCTACCGTCCGCGATTCAACAATCCTGCCCTGATCGACAACCAGCACGTCATCTGCCATCATCATGAGGTACTTGGAGTGCGTGACGAGCACAACCGTCGAGCCGTTCCTGCGCAAAAGTCCGTCAGAGCCAAATAGACTTTCTGAGATGTGGGCAATGTTAGCATTGTCAACGCCGCTGAAGACATCATCCAGCAGAATGACCTGCTCCCTTGAGTAGACGGCGCGTGCCAGACTCAATCGCTGCCGCTGACCTCCGCTCAGCTTGCCTCCTCCATTTCCAATCTCGGCGAGATCACCACCAGCTAGACTGTTAATGTCGTTTTCCAGTCCGCATGCCGCGACGACCGTCTCATACCATGCCTCGTCCACTGCATCTGACAAACCATAAGTGATGTTGCTCTTGAGGCTCCCGTTCACCAGCCACGGCACTTGGGAACAGTAGGCAGCAGAAGCAAATTTGCGCTCAGTACGGCCGCCGAGATCCATCGTCTCTCCGAGAATACTCTCAAGCAGCGTGGATTTTCCGCTGCCGGTGCGACCAACAATAACAGTGAAGCGTCCCTTGAGGATGGAGGCATTGAGATTATGGAGCACGGCCGGGCCTGACTTTTCCCAGGCAAAGTTTTGGTCGAGAAACGTTACAATAGGCTCTCCAGGGGCAGCCATCTGGCCGTGGAGGGTATGCAGAGAAATTTCGGATGTCTTGTTTTCGGTGACGCTGGCCTCGTCGTCTCGAGACAGCAGACCGGGATGCACGGGCTGGCGGTAGTATTCCTGCATCCTATCGAAGCTGCTGAGACATTCGTAGACGCTGGGGATGGCTTGAATAAACATGAGAGTAGGCTCCGTCAGCAGCGCAATCAGGGACAAGGACGTAAATGCCTTGGCGGCTAGAAATGAATTATCGTGGCGGGCATTCGCAATGGCGACAAAGACGATGAATGTCACGACAGGCGCAAACATCAGGGGAGAGTTCGCTACAAAGGTTAGCATAGTAACAATAGAGGGAATCATTTGCAACTTACAGAAGAATATTTGTCCAATCAAGGTCCACCGGTACCGGGTGGAATTCTCAATCTCGACCTCTCGGGCCTTGTATATGACGGAGAACATGCTGGAGCTGAGACCTAGCATCTTGACCGTCCTCATATTGGCCAGCATATTGGTCGTAAGACGAAGCCGTTCTTCAACCTTTTCAATCCATGCTCTTTGGTACTTCTTGGCGAGGGAGGCAATGAAGAAGGTCGCGCAGACGAAAGCTAGCCAGTCCGTGTTAGTGGCTTGCGTGATGAGAAGGACCGAGACACCAGAGACTTACAGAGAACGAGAAGACCTGGAACAATACAGGCCACAGCGATTTGTCTCTCGAGAAGATATACAGAAATGATAATTTCAATGGGTGCCGCCCAAATCTCGTGAATCGTCCGGAAACTGCTCGAGATCCGCTCCACGTCGGCGCCCATCAACGCCAGCCCGTCGACGTTATCGCCAAGGTCAATACCGCGAGCCGCGACTGTCTGTTGGTAGATGACGGAAATCAAGCCGCCACGAAGTCTGATGATGAATCGGTTTGAATAGTAACGATACAGCGCCATGGATATCTGGAGAGATCAGCTACTGCGCCGACCGTCACTGGGGGGCGAGGGAGGGAGGTACTTACAGCCATGCCTGCGTAGACGAGAGCATAGGCTCCAATGAGTCCGTTTCCAATGTTTTGGGGTGCATTCTTGTTGCCGATGAATTCGAGCACGTTGTTGATCATAAATGGCTGCGCAAACTTGAAGCCGATGAGGAAGAGGCGCGGGATGACGGCCGAAATAAACGACCAAGCAAAGGCGCGGCCGCAAGCCGCTACAAATGCATTCTTCTTGAACAAATTGGCTATTTCAGGTCAGCAAGGGGTGTCTTTGCTTAGGCAGCTTACATAGAATGATGACGCACCCTTCTTTAAGTTGCTCTGTAGTTCCTTGTGCAGTCTGTCTGCGGAGATGCGATAGTCAAGCTCAGGGAGGTCCTCGACACAGAGATAGTTCCTGTAGCCACGAGACAGTGTGCCGAGAACCCAAACATATCCGGTGATGCCCCAGAACCCGATAAACGGTTCCGGGCCAGAATGGGCCAGCTTCTCGGGCTGTCGCAGGCTGGCCCTCTTGCCGGTTGACTCGAGCACCAGGACAGCAGCTGTGAGCAGCAAAGCGATCGTTCTCATGGATGCTGCTGCCGAGCTCTCGGGGATGAGCCAAAGAGTACGAACTCGGGCTACGTCCAGCAGAACAAGCGCGGACAGGTACAGAGTGAGTGTCGTGGATGGCTGCTCGGACCGATGGTGCTGTAGCCACGACAAAGCGACTGCCGCGCAAGTGGCAATCAGCGACAGCGCATCAGCAGCAGTTGAAGCACTCGTATTGAGGACTTCATTTTTGGCTCGAAGACCGAGAAAGGTGGCTTGAAAGACGAAGAGGATGGAGAAGACAGCCTGTGCGTGGTATTAGTGGGTGTTGTAGGCTGGGCAATTCGCTGTACACTACCAATTTGACGCCAAGCAAAGTAGAGCTTTTGACAATTCCTTGTTGGCGTAGTAAAACAATTGAGGATATTATGGCAAGGAGGATGAAGATGGAATTCGGGACTGCGCTGAGGACGACGTCTTCAAAGTAGAGGGTAAAGTCGAAGGAGCGACAGGCAGTGTCGACCCGAGGACCGAACTTGCCATCGCAGGACAGCATGCTTGCAACCACAGTATTGGGTTTCCAGGGCAGTGATATCTATATGATGCTTAACAATCTGGAACCAAGAAATAGTAAGAAGCTTGGCGATGGACGTCTTTTTGAACAGGCCGGCTCCGCATCACCGCCTGGCAGGCATCTCCATACTTGGAGCAAATGCTTTTTCCCTATTACGATAGCTAATTTCCCCGTGGCAGTCATCATCAATTCTCCATTGCACTCGCGTCTCCCAGCCTTATCCGGTGGAGCCAAGGCTTCCGTACCCGGGGGCCGGACCCGGGAGGTAAGCAAGCGTAGGCAGAAAGTTTAGAGCTATCAAAAGTGAGACAAATTTTGGCAAATATCTTGATGAGTTATCTGTGGACGTGGGATTCAAAAGATATCTTAGTGATTTGAAATTTACTATTATTCAATTTTTTCAAAAATATAGATGCAACTTACAATCGAACACGGCGTTTCGAGATTGTGAGGCGAGCGGATACACCCCAATAAGGCTGTGATGGAGTCGAAACTAACGTTTCCAACGAGTTAGACTGGCAGCCACGCCGTTCTAGAATTAGCAGGATTGTGAGTACGTACGTCGCCGAGTGCGTGTCGAGTGAGTCAGCACCATATAGAGGAATCTACACGCAATTCCTTACGGCGAGGATACACAAAGATGAGGATGACCCCTGAGACTGTTACGTATGACTATCTGGTGGTCACTCTGAGTGATGGGGCTCCTTCAATTAAATCATGATATTCCATCAGACAGATTGGATAGTAGAAACAGCCGCATAATTGAAGCGAAGATGATCAGCCCTATTGTCGCAGTGCGTCAGTGGGAGAGCCTATTTGGTGGAGGTCGCATGGCACCAACGCCACGGGGTACTTGGCAGCCCAGATGCCTTCGTCGCTACCATCTTTGATAAAGAGGTTGTATAATTCCATTGTGAGGGGAAGTCAAGTTTCATCTTTCCCCCATTGCTCTTCTTTTGCAAGTGTCCTGTCAGTAATATGCTTCAGCGATAAACTTGGGCAGACTAAGGATCAAGCTTGGCGGTGATGGAATGGTAGTTAAGATGCCCAATTTGGAAACCGACATGCAGATGCAAGTCAGTCACGCCCATCACGATCTCTGCCGCCCAGAGCAGCACAAATGACATCAGAGCATAACGAATGTCCTCCGCAACGAACCAGCATTGAGGAGAAGCATGGCGGCGTGGAAGCTGACGAATGGTGGCGGCTCTTTGTACTACTAAGGTTTTAACAAAAGCTTGCTTGAGCGGAGTTGATTAGCCTGCTTTTGGGGCAAAAGTCAACGTCATCTGGCATCTCAAACGTTGCTTGATTGCCCCTCATAAATATCGTACGTTGACTGCTCGGACGCTTGAGCCAACTTGCAACTTGCAACCTGCAACTCCATCTTTATAACACGCACACAGCACGCAACACAGAACATTTATCAAGTTCACCATAAAAAAACACTCATAAACATAATGGATTCTTCCAAGGACCAGAAGAACAACGAGGCATGTACCGTGGACCTCCTCCCCGCGTCATATGCCGCCACTAACACAACCCAGGGCGAGAAGCAATTCTCCATCCAGCCCATCAAGGACAAGGTCGAGCCCGAACTCGCCGCTCACAAAGCCCACGGCCCTGCCATCGTCCAAAATCTCCCCGGGCAAGAAGGCACCAAGGAAGATCGCGAGGAGCGCAAGACCGAGCTCAACAAGTAGAGCGTGGCCCAGCCAGGCCACCCGACGGCGATGATGTCACGAGCCAAAGACGGACGATACACGATGATGCTGGGACGTCGCACAACACGGCCGATGGGACAATATATAAATATATAGCTTCTAATGCATAAGACCTTTCGCTTCTACGATATACTTTTTTTATTAGTATTTTGCGCTCTTGGCGATGCATGTATGTCTCAATACTCCTACGCGAAAGTGAAGTGCGGGGTGCTCATTGCACCTTGAAATTCACGGCGGGGCTACCCTCGGGGCTTTTAGTGAATCTATAGCGCTTCGTCCGCTACTGTGCCCACTAACTCATTCGCTAAACCCACGAAATCTAGCCCCATCCGCCGCTAAAATGCGCTGAAGCATCCGCCAAAGCCTCTCGTCAAGCTTCCAAGCTTCCTCGACTTGCCATTCCCAACAAACGCACCGCGCCGAATGTCGACAAGCAATGCGCCCCAACCAGTGAAGCTATCACTGCCCCTGGTTCGCTCATGATAATCCAATCCGCATCCTTCTCTCGCTAATTCGCCCCAGGAATACCAGCAGGCGCTCTTCCAGGAGCTCCGATCCGAAGATGAGCTCGTCGTCCTCGCCCGCGGCCTCGGCCTCATGCGCCTCGTCACCAACCTGCTACACTCGTACGATGCGGCCGGGAACAACCTCATAGTCATCGTCGGCGCCGAGGACCGCGAGAATGGCTGGATCGGCGAGGCGCTGGCCGAGCACGCCGCCATCAGCGCCTCGCCCAAGGCCCGCGGCCTCACCGTCGTCAACACCGACTTCCAGAGCGTCGGCGCACGCGAGAAGATGTACGCCGGCGGCGGCATCTTCAGCATCACGTCACGGATCCTCGTGGTGGACTTGCTGACCGGCCTGCTGAACCCGGAGACCATTACCGGCCTGGTCGTGCTGCACGCGGATCGCACCGTCGCCACCTCCCTCGAGGCGTTCATCCTGCGCGTCTACCGCCAGAAGAACAAGGTCGGCTTCCTCAAGGCCTTTGCCGACAACCCGGACCCATTCACGATTGGCTTCTCCCCGCTGGCCTCCATGATGCGAAACCTGTTCCTCAAGAAGGCCTCGCTCTGGCCGCGCTTTCACGTCACCGTCGCGCAGTCGCTCGAGGGCAAGAAGAAGGCAGAGGTCATCGAGCTCGAGGTGCCAATGACCGACTACATGACGGACATTCAAAACGCCATCATGGAGTGCGTCGAGATTAGCATCCACGAGCTGAAAAAGGGCAACCCCGGTCTGGAAATGGACGACTGGAACCTGGACAGCGCGCTGCTCAAGAACTTTGACGTCATGGTCCGCCGCCAGCTTGACCCCAACTGGCATCGCGTGAGCTGGAAGACAAAGCACATTGTCAACGACTTGACAGTCCTGCGGGGACTGTTGAATTATGTAGTCACCTACGACGCCGTCTCGTTCCTCCAGCATCTCGACACGATACATGCCGCGCACTCCCCGCCGCCCGGATCGACGCGGCAGACGCAATCGCCATGGCTGTTTTTGGACGCGGCGCAGACCTTGTTCGAGACAGCGCGGAAGCGCGTCTACTCTGCCAGCATCAAGCAAATCTCGCAAGAAGAAAACATTGACTCCCTGCGGCCCGTCCTGGAAGAGCTCCCGAAATGGAGCATGCTTGCCGAAGTGCTCGAGGAAATTGACCGCGACCTGTACTTTGAACCGCATGCCAGAGACGACTCCAACGGTACAATCCTTATCATGTGCTCCAATGTAGACACATGTCGCCAATTAAGAGATTATCTGCAGACAATGCACGTCAAGCCAAGAGTAGCTAGCAAAACAGCCGAGGATGACGAGGAAGCTCACAAGCCATCCGCCATCTTTATGATGCGTCGTCGCCTGCGCAACTACCTGCGTTGGAAGAGACAGTTTGCCGTCGTCAATGCATCACTTTTTACAGAAAACAATAAGGCGCTCAACAGCGCTACTGACTCTCGACCCGGACGCGGCGGCATGCGCGGCGGCAGAGCGCCCTCAAATAAGCGTCGACGACAGCGTGGCGGCGGTAACATGGCCGTCAGCATGTCGCGGGCCGAGAACGGCAGCATCTCGCAGTTCTTCGAGAAGCCCAACGAAGTGGCCGAGCTCATGGCCGAAGTGCAGATTACGGAAGAAGAGGCCAAGCAAAAGGACGACGTGATTGCCGACCCGCTGGACAACATGGAAGACTACTTCCAACTCTACGACATGAAGGACTTGGTCGTCATCCACGCCTACGACGGGGACCAGGACGAGCACGTGCTGGAGGAGGTCAAGCCTCGCTACATCATCATGTACGAGCCGGACGCGTCGTTTATCCGCCGCGTCGAGGTCTACCGCTCGTCGCACAACGACCGCAACGTCCGCGTCTACTTCCTGTACTACGGCGGCTCGGTGGAGGAGCAGCGCTACCTGGCCTCTGTGCGCCGCGAAAAGGACGCCTTCACGCGGCTCATCAAGGAGCGCGCGAGCATGTCCGTCGTCATGACCACGGATCCGCACGGCGGTGCCGCCGAGGACCCTCAGGAAGCCTTCCTGCGCACCGTCAACACGCGCATCGCCGGTGGCGGGCGTCTCGCCGCCACGGCCGAGCCCCCGCGCGTCGTCGTCGACGTGCGCGAGTTTCGCTCCTCGCTACCATCACTCCTCCACGGGCGCTCCATGGTCATCGTGCCGTGCATGCTGACCGTCGGCGACTACATCCTGTCGCCGAGCATCTGCGTCGAGCGCAAGAGCATCAGCGACCTCATCTCCTCCTTCAAGGACGGCCGCCTATTCGCGCAGGCCGAGGCCATGTTCCAGCACTACAAGAACCCGATGCTGCTCATCGAGTTTGACCAGAACAAGTCCTTCACGCTGGAGCCCTTTGCGGACCTGTCCGGCAGCGCGGGCAGCGTGTCCGCGGCCAACGCGGGCTCGGCGGACCTGCAGTCGCGGCTGGTGCTGCTGACGCTGGCGTTCCCGCGGCTGCGCGTGCTCTGGTCGTCGTCGCCGCACCAGACGGCGGAGATCTTCGCGGCGCTCAAGACGCAGGAGGCGGAGCCGGACCCGATCGCGGCGGTAAGGGCGGGCCTGGACGGCGGCGCGCGCGCGGAGGACCAGGTGTTCAACCAGGAGCCGCAGGACATGCTGGCAGTGGTGCCGGGGGTGACGCCGCAGAACGTCAAGAGCCTGGTACTCAAGACGGAGAATGTGAGGGAGGTGGCGAACATGACGCCGAAGGAGCTGGCGCCGCTGGTGGGAAAGGCGGCGGGCAGGGCGATTCATGCTTTTTTTGAGCGGAATGTCATGGAGGAGGAGGATTACTGAGGTATGTATATACATGGACGTCAATTCAAAACTGTACAACATGGAACGCCTGTTCTTGTTCATTCTGAATTCATTTGATTTCATCTTGCACGTTGAACCTGCCAATCTGTCCCTGTATCTCTCACGCCACCGCCTCTGCCGCGGACCGCACAAAGTTCCTCGCCGCCCAGCACGCGACCAGCAAGTCGCGCTCACCCGCCTCCATCCTCCCCGCGACCACCAACTGCCCGTCCTCGCCCTCCCTCGCCACCACCACGCCCTCCTTGTCCGTCCACTCCCCGGCGCCCTTCCCCACCGCGTACAGCAGCTCCCTGCGCCAGTCGTCGCCCGCGCGGTACCCGCGCCTGTGCATCAGCGCGCGCATGCGCTCCTCCTCCGCCGCCGTCAGCGGGCGCCGTCGCGGGGTCACGCGCCAGAACTTGTGCGCGGCGTCGACGACGATGGAGGCGCCGGCGGGGAGGGAGCGTCCGCGGATGCAGAGCAGCGGCGTGGGGCCGAGGCAGAAGGGCACGGCGATCCTCTCCCCGGTGTAGAGGGTGAGGTCGTCGTCGTACTTGATGTGCACGGAGGGGGACGGGGAGGAGGCGGCGAGGAGGCGGACCTCGCTGGGGAGGAGCCGGCTGATGGAGAGGGTCCAGGGGAGGCCGCTGCGGGTGCGGCGCGTGGAGAGGTGGTACGCGGCGGAGGGGGAGGGGGAGGAAGCGCTGCTGGTGGTGTAGATGAACTTGTCGCGTAGGAGGAGGCACTCGTGCGTGGTCTCGGGGGAGGAGGAGGAGCCGATGAGGTGTAGGTTGGGGCTGCGTGCGATGGGCAGCGTTTCCGAAAGGTCGAGGGCGGGACGACCGCCGCTGTCGCTGCTGGCAATGGTGGCCGTTTCGCTCATGATGAGATAGTTTTGTTATGAAGAGTGAGTGCCTTCAAGGGAACGTGATGCTTCGACGTGGTGAACGAGAGGGCATCATCCCGCGACTTATATACCCCCACGCTGGACGCCACATCATACACAAGTTCCCACGGGATAGCAAACAAAAACCATTCGCTGCGGCATTAACCGCTAGTGAATCCGGGGGGGGGGGGGCTTATGGTTTGTCGAATTTCCTATTTCGGCAACGGGGCACGGGATGCGACGCCCGAGCAGGCTGAGGTATTTTCGGATAAATACACATTGACAAATGAACGAATCCCGCCATTCTGGGGCAAAGCTAACGAACGATCGAGCGCCCGCCTATAGTGGTGGCATGGCGAGACTGGCTCTGGTGGCTGCTTATTATGCATACGCGTCAATGTTCATCAACTAGTTAGTTATAGGTTGGGGCATACTTTGGACTATCTAATAATCCATCATGTCACGGCGCTCAGGATAAGTCGCTATTTTTGCAGCAACTTTCGCTTTACTTGATTTATATTATTTCTTTTTTAATTTTTCCCCGTTAATTTTACTAATTTTACTAATTTCTCTACCTTTTCTAATTTTTCTAGTCTTTATAAGCTCTCCTCTCTATGTAATCCATTTCATCTTTATAATCTTTATAATCTTTATAATCTCTATAAACTCTATAATCTTTATAATCTTTATAATTCTTCTTTCTTTCTTTCTTTCTTCGTTTTTCATTTCAAGTGTCCGTCTAGCAATATTGGCCCTGCTCCCATTCTTCCCCGTTGTCATTGCCACGCTTCTACTCAGACTCAGACCTGGCCTCGGGCTCAGTGGAAGATGTCAAGGCCGGTCGCTAGCTTAACGGAATATTTTTTTAGATGATTTTAGCGTTCGGTTTTCTTCCTTGATTGTCTAGTCAGGGTTGAGGCTTTTGAAAGGCGAAGGCTTTTATGGCGAAGTGCGGTGTCCATTTCTCGTGGTTCCTTTTGCCGCGTGTTAGTCCCATGTCTAAAATTACCTGCTGGCCAAAGAGGTTACGAGAAGATACCCAATGACTATAGAGATTTAGCATTTCGAACAACCTTTCGAAACCTAAAAGCTTGGATAGAGTTTGTAAAAGAGACCCGACCATCGATTCGCGCAGGCGGGCCTAGAGTCCAGACATTGTAGCTTCACACCAAACAACAGGCCAAGATGGTACTATACCAACGTAAGAAATATTGAAAAGTCTACCATCTAGCTTCGGGGTGGTTACGAACCTTGATACGTAGGATAAAACTGACTGAATCGTAGCGTGGGGGATATAAACAGGGGATAGCGCCCTCTCAACTTCTGCGGCAAACAAGGCTATTCGCCAACAAACTTACAAACTAAGACATAACTATTCTGATCCTCACTTGCTTCGAAAGAACAAGACGCAACAAATCCTGGAGCAGCAAGTAGTCAATCCACAATGTGTTTGCTCTGTACGCAGTACGAACTGAGCCGAGAGTTTCGGCGCACTCTGCGCGCTCGGTGCAGGGAGCTGGCAGATGAGTCTGACTTTACAGATAATTCGGACTCTACCGATGAGTCTGGCTTTACCGATGCTTTGGACCCTGCAGATGAATCGGACTCTGCAGATGAGGCGGACTCTGCATATGAGTCGGACTTTGCAGATGAGCTGGATCTGGCGGCTGGAGAGGCCCTGAATGATGCTCTGATCCAACAAGATTGGAGTGGCATCGATGTGCCATTCCATCTAGTACCTCAAGCGGCCGAGGAGCAACGGCCCTCGGTCGAACATATCGAATATCGAGACGGCGAGCCTTACGAGGAGCCGCCTCCGCCGTACGAGCCTAGAGAGGGCGAACCTCACGAGCAGCCACCTCCGTCGTACGAACGTCCGGCACGACGTTACTTATACTTCTTCAATATCCACGACAACCCTGTTTCGGATGATGAGGCTCTAGAGGACTATTTTCAAAGACAAGCCTCAAGAGGATGAGACTGAAGGGGGGCAGTTGAGAGAAGTCGCTATTTTTGTTGTAATTTTGCTGTAATTTTCGTTTTCTTTGATAAATATTAATATTGTTCCATATTATTGTACGTTAAGCTAGTGACCGGCCTGGACGTCTTTCACTAATGACTGATAGCTTGTTACTTGTTGGCTGCCTTGGGAATGCTCTAGGGTAGGTGGCACTTGCCTAATAATGAGGCGGGGCGGCGGGAGACTCACGTCAGTCCAGTCGTCAGTGTTTGTCAGTGTTTGGCTTGGCTTGCTTTTGCTTGACCTTAGCAAACCCACCAAATCAACGCCAAACCTTCACAGCCTCGCTTTCTCGTCACTCCTCCAACCTCGTCAGCCGCCGTCACCGCCTTCAATCGGCGCCGTTCTTGACAAATTCATCGCCACATACCTCACTTGCCAATTACTCAGCTGTTGCAATCCGTCGCCGCAGTCCCCCGAGGCCTCGTCCTCCCCCCCAAAGCTCCCCTCCCGCACAGAACTGTCGCGCGAGCAGGCTGGGGCCGCTTAAGCGCCAAGCTGCATCGCCATGCCCTCCATCCTCAACGACGACGACAAGGACACCGTGAAGCGGTTCGTCCCCAAGCAGTCAAACAAGATCCAAGCCGTCGCCGTCGCCAAGCTCTACGTCGCCTATCCGGACCCGACCAAATGGACCTACACCGGCCTGCAGGGGGCGCTTGTCCTGGCCAACGACCTGGTCGGCAATACATACTGGCTCAAGATGGTGGACATTTCGGTAGGCGCTTACGATACCATCCTCAGGCTTAAAGCTAACACCTAGAAGCCCACCGCCAGAGGCGTCATCTGGGACCAGGAAATCTTTGACTCGTGGAGCTACAACCAAGACCGCACCTTCTTCCACACCTTTGAGCTCGAAGACTGCCTCGCCGGCCTCAGCTTCGTCGACGAAAAGGAAGCCAAGCAGTTTAAGAAGAAGATGGACGACCGAGAGAAGAATGCGAGCCGCGCCACGAAGTCCACCCCGTTCGGAGGTGCAGGAGCCGGCGGCCAGCCCAAAGAGAAGCACAGCCTGCTTGGCGGTCTCTTCCATCGCCACTCCTCCGCGCCGGCACCCGAGCCCGCCCCCGCCGCACCGCGAACCACCAGCCTCCCGCCCCCGCCGCCGGGCCCGCAACACTCGTCGCCGACGCTCATGAATGGCAGCTTCGGCCTGCCGCCGTCCGAGTTTGCCCTGCTCGATGCCTTTGACCCACTCTGGCGCGAGCACTTTGGTAAGGACCTGAGCGACAAGGGCCTGACCGACGACTTCATCAAGGAGAACCAAGAGTTCATTGTCGACTTTTTGCGCGAGGAGCAGGAAAAGATGAACGGGGCAGGAGGAGGAGGACTCGACACATCACCACACGCGGCACCACCGCCGCCGCCAGCTCCTCGCACCAATGGCAGCGCCGGTCGCGCCCCTCCTCCTCCCCCCCCTCCAGCTGCTGCTCCCGCCGGTGGTTCGGCCAAGAAGAACGGACCCCCTCCGCCGCCAGCACCGCGAAGATCGACAAAGGCCGACAACGAACCACGATCACCATCTCCGCCATCCTCACCCCCTGAGCCCGACCGACCCAAGTTCCGCGCACCGCCCCCTCTAGCCGACGCTGGCAAGTTTGCCAACGTCCCGGAGCCAGTAAAGCGACGACCTGTTCCCTTGACGCCGTCATCAGCCCCGGCTGGGGGACCGCCTCCACCCCCGCGACCGGCCAAGACGCCGCTGGAACACCCTGAGGCGCCTCAACGCGCACACGCTGTCCCGCCTGCCTTTTCCGGGCAACGCATACCGTCTGGGCCGCCGGCGCCGGCGCTGCCGAGCCGAGGCGGGCCTCCTCCGCCTCCACCTCGAAACGACTTACATGCGGTGCCGCCGCCGCCTCTGCCACCGAAAGTCGCACCTGGTAGCGCACCGCCGCCCCTCCCTCCAACAAGTACGCGGCCGATCCCTCCACCACCGACTGCTGTTGTGCCTCCTCCCCCTCCCCCTCTTCCTCCTTCGAGCGGTGCGCCGCCTCTTCCTCCGTTGGGCAATGCGCCGCCTCTTCCTCCGTTGGGCAATGCGCCGCCTCTTCCTCCGTTTCCTCCGTCGGGCGGTGCGCCGCCGCCACCACCTCCGCCGCCTCCCCCACCCGGTGGTGCCAGCGGACCTCCGCCTCCCCCGCCACTACCTCCAACCGGCGCAGGTGCCCCCCCTCCTCCTCCCCCACCGATGCCATCCCGCGACAGCGGCACTCCGGCGCCCGCTCTGCCCAAGGCCGAAGGCGGCAGGGCGGCGATGCTGGGCGACATCCAAAAAACCGGCGGCATTGGCGGACTGAAAAAGGTGGACAGGAGTCAGATTCGCGACCGCAGCTCTGCGCAGGTGGGCGGCGACTCAGGTGGTGGTGGTAGCGCGGCGGCGGCAGCTGCTGCTGGTGCAGGCGCGGGTGCGGGCGGCGGCATGGCGGATGCTTTGGCGGCGGCGCTGCAGAAGCGCAAAGACAAGGTGGCCAAGAGTGGTAAGTTGAATTGTGGCAGGTATCCTTGGTTTGGTATAGTGACGCTGACACTGTTCTAGATGATGAAGACGACGACGATGAATGGTAGCGATGATGGAGAGTTGGTAATGGCATAAAGTGTGGGCACGGGATTCATTCTACAAGTTTCAAGGACATGATGGCGGATTCTAGGCAAAGGTAACTGTTCATTTTATTTTTTACTTGAGCTCTTTTGTACATTTACTACGCCGGCCTAGAATATTAAAAGGAACAAAACATTACAAGCAAGCATTCATCCTTGTAGTTTATCACGTCCGTCGAAGCGTTTTGGAGTATCGGGAAGGGAGTTCTGTCATCATAGGTTATCTGAACAAACGGTCTATCAAGCGGTCAGGAAGCTAGCACTTTTAACAGAACAGCGGTCTAACAAGGCGAAAATGCCGTAAAAGATGCAAAAATACGACACACACGCACACACACACACACACAGGGTACGCAGCAACAGGAAGAAACGTAGAAATAGAAGTATTTGATTTGATTCGACAGCCATGACGTCTCTCCCACCATAGCCGTCCCAAAGTACGGGAAACGCAATCCACTCCGGATACTGTCGTGGGACCCCCCCACGGCGGGGAAAACCAAACAGAAGAGGGGTTTGAGAGAGAAGACAGTGTGTACAGCAGACCGATGCCTCCTCTAGTAGACGGAGGATGAGGAAGCTGTGAAGAAAACATTCGGCAAAACGTGTAGGAGGGATCGCAGTGGGGGACCAAGCTCATCAAACGGAACACGCAGCGGATGAACAAGTTTTGATAGAGCGTCCTCCCCAATTTGACGGAGACAGAGGAGTACTTTAGATGTCGTCAATGTCGACCTCCTTCTTCTTGTCGTCGTCGGACTCCTCCTCGTCTGAGTCGGCGTCACCAAACTCAAAGTAGGCCTCGCCATCCTCGCCCTGGTTGAAGTTGTCGTGCTCGTTGATCTTGGCGTTTTCCGGCAGCTCGCCGTACGACTTGAGGGAACGGGCCTCGTCGGCCGTGTACTTCAGGATAACGTCGCCCTTGTTATCCTGGAAGTCGCGCAGGGACAGGAGGATGATGTCGCCCTGGTTGATCCAGACCTTTTTTCGCATTTTACCGCGGATCTGGGCAAAACTGTCAGCATAGGGAATGGGAAAGAGGGGGGGGGGGAGACGCGAGGATTGGATGGGTTGAGGGAGGGGGTTTTTTGCCCCTCTGTTGTTTCGGGTTCTGCGTCCTTGCAAACGCGCGCGTACATCCGTCCGTGGGTAGGATCAGTGTAGGGGAGGAAAAAAAAACGTACGTTGGCTAGACGCTTGCTTCCGTCGAAGCATAGGGCTTCAAGACGACCGTTGCCCAACATCTTTACGACCTGGGCATACTCCTGACCGTCCTCCTTGAAGGTGAGTTCTCGACGCTGGTCGTCGTTCTCCTTGGTACCGCGACGGCGGTTCTTGCCGCCCTATATTGAGAGAAGAAAACAGCGTTAGCAAAACATGTTCCTCTTCCTTGTATAACTTTCTCGCCCCGGTTCGGATCGGAACCGTGCTGCAGAGCATCCCGCTGACATGCCACCATCGCGAGCCCATGGCGGGGGCGGGGAAGAGCGTTGGCAATGGAGGGGTTTGCGCGCCTAGGCCAGGATTATGGCGAGCGCCGCGCAGAGCAAGGTAGGAGGGGGAAAAAGGATCAACAACTCACTTTTCCCTTATTCTTAGGCATCTTGAAGTGAGCTGGCCACGCCGGAGTTTCTGTTTCAAAAAACTAGAGGGGTGGTGGCAAGCGGGTTTGTGATGATGTTTTTTGTGTGAAGGCGAGAGTGGGCAGAAGGGCGGCCATTTTATTTGCACCGCGCTGCCTGGTGACTTTTGGCTCGGCGCTTCGGCCACACTACACAGGCTTCAGCAATACAAATGCTAAGTAAAACAATAGCCACGATTTTATTAGAGGGGCGTACCACTTGCTAGCCGCCCAGTCCTTCTTTTTCCTATTATTTTTTCCCGTTTTTCGCCTCCCAGGCACACCAAGAATACTAAGAAAATACACCCACAAAGCCTTTTTTGCAAGCCCCAGTATGAGTCAATGGTCGGGCACCCATGAGGGATGCAGTGGGCGATACGAGAGTACTTGGTATAATACAGGCAGGCCGCATAAAAGAAAGTATCCTTCTAACATGGACCCACTCGACGTGCGTCACAATGATCCACCACGAAAAACGTCCCAGTTTAGCTTAGCGCACGATGCTTCTCAAGCTGCCAGGCTCACAAATCACAAAACGATTCTTGCCCAAACAAACGGTGAGGCCTGCGTCCGGAATTCATTGCTTTTGTGGCGCGACTTGAGCTGGTACGATATTGCCACCATGAGATGAGCATGCGCTGCGCCAGGCTGAATCACGCAGCCTTGATGGCAGTCACCGCACCACGTGCCGCTGCCGTGGTCCCAGGGGCTTGCTGCGTTCAGCTCCTTGGCGGTGCGACTCGACGTGCCTCGACGCTGCCTGCCAAACCCCTTCGTTACCAGTCCGATGGCAGCAGCAGCAGCAGCAGCAGTAGACCCCCCCGGTCCGGGAGACCAGCCAAGACGTCCGCTCTCCCGCCGCGCGCCGCCCCCGTCGCGCGCATACTCTCCCCCGACGTCGCCAAGTTCATCCGCAGCCGCGACGGCCACCTGACGACCACGCCCGAGACGGCGCGCTTCCTGCGCGCGCACCCGACCATCGACCACGACCACGGCACCATGGCCCGCCTCGAAGCCGCCGCACACACCCCGGCCGACGCCGCCGCCGCCATCCGCCGCCTCTCGCAACAATACGGGGTGCGGCTCGCCTGGTCCCCGCGGCACGTCATCCACCCGCACCGGCTGCGGTTCCTGGACCCGCGCGGGCACCCGCTGGCGGCCAGGGTGTGGGCGTTCGCGACGGCGACGGGCGGCGTGAGCGCGGTGGTCTGGCAGCTGACGAAGCGGGAGCTGCTGCGGGCCGTGTTCCGGCGGCTGGCGGCGCGCGGGTACGACGAGCACGGAGGGCGGGCAGATGGCGGCGGGGAGATTCGCGGCACGTTGTGGCTGACGCTGTGGCGGCCGCAACATGCGCGGCGGCTACCGGTGGATGAGTTTGGCGAGGTCGTGGCGGACGTGCTGGATAGGCACTACGCGGTGCGGCCGGCGTCGGCGGAAGGGCGGGGTGGGAGTGCCGAGGGTCCGACGGACGAGATGAAGAACTGGAAGCCGCGAGAGAGATCTGGGGTGAGGGAGGGAGATATGCGGAGACCCGCGGGCGAAGCCGATGGACAATCTACTTGGCAGCCGCGCAAAAGCAAGTGATGGACTCTGAACCTGTATATTGTGTACAATAATTGTAAAGCCATGCGTATAGCCTGCTCGCGGCTGCATCTATGTATTATAGCAACATAGCGCATCCATTCACATATCGACTGGACCATGATGAAATGTGTTGAAGCTCCAAACGGAACGGTTCTCCGACCAACGCAGAAACTAGCAGCCTCGCCTAGCAAGGCACTGCAACTGACAAGCTATCCACCATCACGTTGGGGATTCGGATATGGGCGGAGATAACTACGTGATTATCAATAATAGAGGAGTGTAATACTTTGAAATTGATAAAAATGTGGCGCCAACTTGGCCCGTTCAGCTCTCACTTCCTCGGCCTCTCAAGCGCTCAATTCAGAGAAGCTAGCCAACCTGGGGGCAGTGACGCCATCCACTTGCAACCCCGATTTCTAATCGAAGCTTTTCCATCATTACCAATCGAGCGGCCCCTCCTCGAAAGTCCGCTAGGGATGTAACGAGAGACAATTGACTGGCCACGATGGGCGGGATGGCAATCCAACTCCACACGAGATGCTGCTCGATGCCGAAACCTTCCCAAGAAGCTATAACTAGAGCGTCCCCCCGCACCTCGTTACCATGAAGCTGAAGTTATACAACTTGCTCTTTCATAGTGACCCATTCACATTGATTCATGACATCGCGCCTTGCCGGAATAGCAAAGCACTTGTTCAAGATGGGAGCCACCAAGACTGACATCACCCTCTACACTGTCAACACGCCCAATGGCATCAAGGCCAGCATCCTGCTCGAGGAGCTGAACCTGGACTACAAGGTGTGTTGCTGCTGTTGGTCCTGGGGGTCATTGAGCTTAGCGTTGGACGAGGAGCTGACCACCACGTTCTCAGGTCCACGCCATCAAAATGTCGGAAAACGAGCAAAAGGAGCCCTGGTTCCTCGCCATCAACCCCAACGGCCGCATCCCCGCCATCACGGACAAGTGGACCGACGGCCGCGACATCCGCATCTTCGAGTCCGGCGCCATCCTGCAGTACCTGACGGAGCGCTACGACACGGCGCACAAGGTGTCGTACCCGCGCGACACGCCCGAGTACTGGGAGGTGACCGGCTGGGTGCGCCCCCCCCCTCCTCCTCCTCCGATCTTGGACGGCTTGCTAATGGAAGTACGCAGCTCATGTGGCAGATGGGCGGGCTCGGCCCGATGCAGGGCCAAGCCAACCACTTCAAGCGTGAGTCGGAGATGACGAGTCCTGCTCCTACGAGAAAATCGGGCTGACAAGACGGAACAGGCTACGCGCCGGAGCAGATCCAGTACGGCATTGACCGGTACACCAACGAGACGCGCCGTCTGTACCGCACCATGGACGACGCCCTCAAGAAGAACCCCCACGGCGTGCTCGTCGGCGACCGCGTCACCATCGCCGACATCTCCGCCTGGGGCTGGGTAGCCAGCGCCAGTACGTCCCAGCCCTCCCCTCCCCCCCCTGTTCCCTACACATGTGTGCTAACGATGCTGTGGCAGAATGGGCTGGCATCGACATTGACGAGTTCCCCGCGGTCAAGACCTGGCTGCACACGCTGCTGAAGCGCCCCGGCTTCGAGGCCGGCCGCCACGTGCCGACGCCGCACACCTCGTTCGACCTGGCCAAGCTGAGCGACGCGGAGCTGGACGAGAAGGCGCAGGCGTCGCGGGCCTGGGTCCAGGCGGGCATGAAGGCGGACGCCAAGAAGTGATCGATTAATGGGCAGCCGTGTGGATGATGATGATGGTAATGAAAACAGCTCCAAACTTTTGTATACCTGCTCTCTATTATCCGTACTCTATGTTCGTTTCGTAAATACGTTTGTGACACGTTGCCTTGACCCAACCCATGCATCGTCATCATCATCTCACATGTCATACTATCGCTGCGCAATCGCCAGCCAGTGATCAATCACCTTTGTCGCCAGTCTCGGCAGATCCTTGAACCTCTTCTCGTCATACGTATCCTCCAGCGCCTTCCTCAGCCGCTTCGCCTTGGTAACCGCCACGATCTTCGCGCCGTTCGGGTTGTTCCCCTGCGCAAACTCGTTCGCCTCCTTGATCAGCTCCCGCCTCCTCGCCCTGACCGCCTCGCCGTCCTCCGCCTCCACCACGCACAGCGCGCATCCGCAGCGGAAGCCCCACGTCTTCTGCAGCGCCGCCTGGCGCGCGTCGTGGTCGCCGTTCTCGTCGTACGTGTGCGTGATCTCCTCGCCGGCGCGGATCATCCGCGCGGCGCGCAGCACCAGCAGGTCGCCGGCGAAGTCCTTGACCGAATTGGCCGCGCAGGCGTGGTTGAGGCGCGAGGCGCGCGCCCACAGGCCGGTCGTCGCGTTGGTCACGTCCTCGTCGTCGGACTGCGGGCCGAGGCCAAAGGCGTTGCGCTGCACCACGTGGTGCACCTGGAAGGCGTCGACCACGGGGCCCTCGGCGGTGGAGGCGCCGGCCGCACCGACGCCGTGGTACGCGCCGCTGTCGAGGCTGAGGATTTTGGAAGCCTGCGATGGGTTGTTGAGCAGCTTCTGCACGACGGCGCGGTGCAGGCCCGCGGGGAACACGCGGATGGCGTAGTCCTCATCAAGGTCCACGGTCAGCGCCGTCACCGCGGCGCCGGCCTTGTCCTTGCTCGAGACGATGCAGAATGCCTTTTCGCACATGATGAGCTCGCCGGACTTGAAGTCCCGCGCCGCAAACAACCCGCTACCCGCGCCGGGACTGCTCTTGACCACGGTGTCTCCGTCGAAACTCGCGACGTCGGGCCGTCCTTGCGTCTTGGGCAGGCTCGCGACGACCTTGTTCATGTCGTGGTTGCCCTTGGCCTGCTCCTCGAGGCGCTTGGCCGTACGACGGACGTTGATCTGCGTCGTCTTGTTGCCCGGCTGAAGGCGGTCCTGCTCCGCAAAGCACCGCTTGGCCTCATCGAAGTCGCCTAGGGCATAAGCGGCGGTGCCGGCGCGAAAGTAGGCCTTGGCGTCGAGCGACTGCTGCTCGGGCGAGGCGCCGTTGGTGAGAGATGCCAACGCATCGGCGCTAGCTTCGTCGTAGCGTTGTAGGATGAGATTGACGTGCGCGCGGTTGCGACGGATATCTTGCGGTAGAGTGCTGGCCGAGTCGGCGTCGGCGTCGGCAGCGGCAATGCCCCGGGTGTAGTAGGCGTGGGCGAGGGAGTACCTCTGCTCGGCGAGCGCCGCGTTGCCCTTTTCCTTGAACTGCTCCGGTGTGACGGCGGGGTCTTCCACCTCGTAATTATCCCGCCAGGACTCGGGGTCCTCGCTAAACGCAGTGATGACGAGGTCTGAGGGGTGGTTGATACGGATCACGGCCTCGTTGTCGCCGTTGAGCGTGTAATAGGGCTCCTTGATGGCGAATTCGGAAGCTGAGTCGAGAAGATCCTTGCCGAGGCGTTGCTTGTGTAGATACGTCTCGACCACCACGACCTGGTCGGCGTCTTCACCGACGGCCTCGACCACGGCCCATGACGATGTCTTGAGCTCCGCGACGGGGGAGACGCGGCGGACCGTGAGCTTCTTCCCACGATGGTGGCTTTCGAGCTGCAGCTCCGCAAGCTTGATCGGCTTGAGCTCCTTAGCATCGACGACGCATGGCGGGTACGGCGCGCCGATAGCATAGGTCATCATGCTGTCGTCCTTTTTCGGGGCCGCAGCGCCGCCGAATCCCAGGGACGCCAGGGACAGCTCCTGCATAAGGGAGGTCGAGGTCGCATGCTGAATGAGTCCCTTGCGGTTTTCAGCCTTCCAGGGTTCGCCGGCACGCGCCTGGCGCTGCTCGGCGCCGAGCTTGAACTTTTGGGTTACGCGCTGGGTCTCCTCTGGCGTGAGGAAGACGGTGGTGCGTCCGGCCATGGTAGGGTTTTTGGTTTAATATTAGGAAAATTGTTTGCTGGAGCGGGTCATAGGTTAGACACCATGGCCTGGGTGTTCTTGATGTGAGGTTATCGCCGAAGAAGAGGACGAGCAAGGCTGTGATGGAGGTGCTGGTTGAAGATTTTTTATGGAGACTCGATCCGATGTTAAGCAAGCATGAAGTCATGGCTGGCTGCAATGGCCTGACGGTCGAGTTGCACAAATTTTAATAACAGAGCATTTTCTCTCGATATTCCAAGGTTCATAAGAGATGGCAGAGAAATAATTGAATTTTAAAAAGCTGGTACTGAAGACGGTAGCTGCGGTGGTAGATGCGTGATGCAAGCACTGTGTACACGGTGCTCCCTACTGTGGGCAGGGATATATTTCGCAGCAATAAACTTGTCTTTCTTTCACTCACCGTACTCACCGATATTTATTTACACTACGGATAAACGGCACTGACAATTCCCTGCCGTTTACTTTTGCATGTACTAACTAGTGCGTACCTATCTCGTATAAAGTCGAAGAATGTATGTGTCTCACAAGACTTGGTGCGATGCTACATGCATGGGTTGTCCGTCACCATGCAAGTTTAACAATAGTTAATGATCCAAACTGAGAAGAGTTCTTTGCCGGGGAGAAAAGGCGAGCGGGGACTATTAAAGTAGACTTATCGCCACTGGGCTCTGAACCGATGGCATCAACTTCAATCTCTCTACACTGTACAGCATGCAGACCGTCAACACAATTCTCCTCTCCCTCATTGCCGCCAGCGTAGGCACCGGACTCCCACAAAGTGGCGGAACTGCTATTGGACAGGCTACGCAGTGCAAATACATGGTGTCGTGGCAAGAGGAAAAGCCCGGGTACAAGTGGATTTGGGTTTGCAAGGAAGATTGCGTCACATGGCAGTTTTCCGACAAGTCGCATCCAGAATGCTTGCGTCAAGTCCCTATCGATAGCACGGATGAGAGGTACGTCGCGGCTCAACGGCACATGGATTGTTCAGATAGACTGACTAGAACCTTGTTCAGCGTCTAGATCGTGATGTTAGAAGTTAAGCATCAAGTGCGCCCGCACCAACTCGGCCGGCTGGTGGATAGTGCGCGACTGTATCGCCTAGCAGGAATTATGCTTTTTTTGGGCTTAAAAGTCAAGATATTCAGGAATATTTTACTAAAGTGAAATGCATGATGCTGCAACTCTATAAGTGCGGGCAGTCACCTCCTTCGTAAGGAGCATGTCGAGGGCATGCATACCTACCTATGCTGTGCAGCTCTACAACTCGAGTCTGCCCATCCGATAACCAACACACGTACGCTCAAAATGGCCAATCAAAGAGACTTTGAGACACGACTTAATAGTTACTGGGCTGATCATGCGGCGAATCCGTTTCTGCCCATCTTGGATGACAAAGTCGACAATAACGATGTCGACTATAACCAAGTTGACAACCAAGTCAACTATCACCAAGTTGACAACCAAGTCAACTATAACCAAGTCAACTATAACCAAGTTGGCAACGAATCCGGCCATCAAGAAGCCGGCTTTAACGAAATCGACTACAACGAAGCCGCTACCCCCGGTCCCATCCTAGTCCCCGTCACCGCCGAGTCGCTCATTGAGCACCCCAAGACAAGCTCCGTGGTGCCGAGCGACTGCGGCAAATGGGGCTTGTTCACAGTCTCTACGCACCAGATTGGCACAGGCACCACGAAGGAAATCTGTGTGATCTGTTTCAGGACACAAATGAGCTTTCTGATCACAGACGACCCGGCTGCGCACGATGCTTGCTGGATCCCTGGCAGTCTCGACGTCCTGTACCTCAGGTCGAAGGACGTGGGCCGGACTGAAGTGTGGATTGGCTATGCCGGAATCACCGACCACGAAAAGGTTGCCGAGTACGCGACGGAATTGAGCAGCCTCCAGCTGAAGCAGCTGCAGGACGGAACCATCGTCTTCATGGCCGCCGGCCTGGCTGATCCCGATGGCTCCCTATACTGCAAAGACCACGCTCGCTGCCTCGTCATCAGGCACGTTTGTCTATATGTATGTCGCAGAAATTCAAACTATTAGAGCAAAATGCTGACCTTGGGATTCACATGGAAAGTGTGCCCCAGGGGTGCGACGCAGTCTCTTTTATAATGTTCTTCGTCGGGTTGTTGTTGTTGAAGATGATACGGACTGCGAAGACAATACAGAAAACAAAGACGATAAAGACGGCGAGGGCTACAGACTATACGAGCGATACAAAATCTCGCACGTCCTCCACGACCTCATCCCCTCGAGCAACCTCGAGGCTCCATCCGGCTTGTGCCAGACCGGCTTCACCTCGCTGGTCGACAACTTCGCCATCGGCCCCCGCGGCGTCGCTCTGATCGCGCGTGACCTGGGTCCCCCGGGGTCGCGCCCGCATGACATCTCGCACCCGTACTTCGTCCCCATCTATTCGTACGAGGAAGCGCCCTGGTCGAAGCCTCGTCCGGTGCAGTTGTGGACCGTGGACGGCACCGGCCGCGGCCGCGCCTCGTGCATCCGGCAGTCGCCCGACGGCTCGGTTCTCGCCTTCCTCTTCGCCCAGGGCACGGGGGCGGACTTTGAGGGTCGCTGCATCTTCATCGCCAAGGCTGACGAGCACCTACGGGCTGGCCCGCTGCCCAACTGGGGCCTGGTGGAGGAGGAGCTGCAGCTGCCGGTGCGGCTTGGGGGAGGCGAGCCGCCGCTGCGGTTCGACTTTGCCGGCAGGGCCGACAGGCTCGTCTACCTGAGCCAGCGCCTCGGCAGGGTCGGGCTTTTCCGCGTGAAACTGAAAAAGTACGGGTGCCGCGAGCTCGGCGCCGGGGAGGGCACGGTCACGGCGTACCGCCCGCTCGTGGCCGGCGACTGGCGGCGGCTGCTCATCTCGCGCAGCAGCTGGACGGACAGCTACGTCTGGGAGGTTGTCGACAAGTGGAACCAAGAGGTGGTGAGGATCCCGTCGTGGAACTGGTACGCGTTTGACGTGCAGCACGAGAGGATCACCGTGAAGCAGTTCCATTCCGCGTCCGAAAGGCTCCTGGACGCGTTCGTTATGTACTCGGAAAGATACGTTAATGGGGGGGCCCAGAGGAAGCATCCCTGGATCGTGGCGCTACACGGCATTCGGGTAGGATCCTGGACGGACAGCTGGAAGCAGCAGTTCAACCCCATCGCCTGGGCGCAGAGGGGATACTTCGTCGTGTTGCCGAATGTATCCGGCAGCACGGGATATGGCAGCGACTTTCACAGGGGTCAGTCAAGGACAAATCTCCGCGACGAGTGAATGAATGTGTAGCTAACAGGACGCAGGTGCTAGTCAAGCATGCGGACAGCGTCCGGTACACGACCTCATTGAGGTCATCGACGAGCTGGTGAACTCCTCATATATTGACCCTCGAAAGGGCATCCTGTACGCTGCAGCCCATGCCGCGGACCTGGCTTATTACCTAGGCATGCACGAAATCATCAACCATGTACGCGGCAGGCACCCAAAAGAAACCTCGCATAGAATCACCACCGCTAACAACCTTGCCCCTGCAGTTCTGTGGCGTCATCTTGCGCGATCCCATATTTCCACGCCCCGCCTGGGCAGCGTCGCCCGTCCGGGAGCGCCTCCCCTGGGACTTTGACTCCCGGATCGAGGATCCTGCCGAGGAGTTCGCCCGGTACCCGAAGAGCGATCCGAAACTGCTATCCCAGCCGCCGCTGGCTCTCCTAACCATTGGGCAGCACCACTCTCAAGAGCCGTCCACCGAGTGGGCGCTACTCAAGTGCCGGTCGCTACGACCCCAACCCCAACACTCGCCTCGGCCGCTGATTGAGGGCCTGGAGGCGGCTGACTGGAGCGAGCGCGATCTGGAGTGGTACAGACTCGCGTTTCAGTGGGCGGACGAACGTGTAGCGGCTGCTTATAGAAAGAGGATGAGCTGATGTCTCGCCGTTTGATTCGAGAGTTGGGTTGAGCTGTGATTTAAGAGGCCCCCCATGCTCAAGATTAGTATTGTGTGATTTAGACAGTGATACCCATGCAAATATTGCATCTAGTTTGTTGGAATTGATGATGCTTAGACGGCAAGATGAATTTTGTATCCACTACAGTGACGAATCGATCGCTCCTAGACGGTAGATGCCATCCCGAGGTCACCGGCGGCAGCGGCGGCATCGGCATGGCCATCGCCAAGTACTTCAACTCGGATGGCAAGACGGTCCTCCTCGCCGGCTGCACCGAGTCCAACCTCGCCGCCTCCGCCAAGGAAGTCGGCGCCGCGGGCTACTAGGTCCTCGACGTCGCCGACGCCGCCGCCGTCCGCACCTTTGCCCGACGCCTCACCGCCGACCACCCGGACCTCGACTGCCTCGTCAACAACGCCGGCGTCCAGCGGCCGCTCGACATCCTCACCGACAACACCGAGGACTTCCTCGCCCGGGCGGACCGGGAGATTGACATCAACGTCCGCGGGCCGCTGCACCTGACCATGGCGCTGCTGCCGCACTTGAAGAAGCTGCCGCACCCGGTGGTGGTCAACGTGTCGAGCATCCTGGGCTTTTCGCCGTTTGCGTTTGCGAACCCGGTGTACAACGGGACCAAGGCGTGGCTGCACTTTTGGTCGGTGAACCTGCGGACGCAGCTGGCGCAGGGCGGCCCGGGGTGCAGATCGTGGACGATTGGTACGAGACGTTTGGGAAGCGGTATGGGGATGCGGAAAGCGGCATCTTAGTTTCACTTAGGGGGTAGTGTACGATGGAGAATTAGATGGATTTGTAGAATAAACGATTAATTGCTGGCATTGGATGGACTCCGTACCGGGAATGTGAGGGCGAAGAGATCGGGCCGGCGCTTTCACCGGGCAAGGCCGGCGTGCTGCGGTGTCTGAACCGACGTCATATTTATCAGCGACGCTTCCCTGCAGACAGCCCCGTTTCCAGAAATAAATACGGCTGGAAGAAATTTGGTTGGACCTTGAAATGTTAATTATAGCACGTCGTGGGCCTGTCGCTTGCTCTTAGTGGCTGGGCTGCCCTGAAAGCAGCCACACAGAGCCCTGTACCTGAGGCGCAGCTGACAGTGGGGCCGCTGTTTCTGTGTTGCTTGGATACTCTCCCAGGGCTTTGTTTGTGCCTTTTTCAGGGGGTTGGTCAGGGACTTCAGCGCCACGAGCCCCTCGTTCAACGTAGCCTTGCAGCGGCCCAATGAATTTAGCGCATTGTCATTTGGCAGCTGTTGAGACGCACAGCCACGAGCCGGATGCGGACCTCGTACTTGAATACATCATCCCAGCCTTTCAACTTGTTCCTTGTCCATCGCTTCTTCTCCCTTCATCGCCAATTTTTGAACCTCCTCAATACAATCCATTCGCTCCAAAGACGCTCGTTGCAACAATCTACCGCCGCCTCCTCCCGCCACCGACAGTCCACCGCTGCTCGACCCCTCCCCGTCTGTGCTCAACGATCGCCGCAACCCAACCGATCCAAACAACAACAACTTCCTCCACCACCCGCCTCCCTTTCTCTCTCACAGCATCACAATGGCCGCGCCCGCCATCCTGCTCAACTCCCAGCCCGCCGAGATGCCCGACCCGGGCCTCTTCCCCGACACGCTCGTCGCCGCCGACGTCGCCGCCCAGCTGCCGCCGGGCTACCGCATGCGCGCCCTGCGCCGCTCCGACTACGCCTCGGGCTTCCTCGACTGCCTGCGCGTGCTGACCACCGTCGGGGACATCGCCGAGGCGGACTTCCAGCGGCAGTACGACGAGATGCAGGCGCGCGAGGGCAGCTACTACGTCATGGTCATCGAGGACGCGGCGCGCAAGGAGAATGCCGTCGTCGCCACCGGTGCCTTGATTGTCGAGCGCAAGTTGTACGTTGTGATGCATCCCACGATAGCCTAGGAAGGACAATCTAACTTTGTCGGCAGCATCCACTCGCTAGGAAAGGTCGGCCACATCGAAGACATCGCCGTCGCGAAGGACCAGCAGGGCAAGAAGCTCGGGCTTCGCCTGATCCAGGCGCTCGACTACGTGGCGGCCAGCGTCGGCTGCTACAAGACCATCCTCGACTGCAGCGAGGCCAACGAGGGCTTCTACGTCAAGTGTGGCTTCCGCCGCGCCGGCCTCGAAATGGCACACTACCACGAAGGTCCCAAGAGCAAAGGTCATTAGCCCGGTGTTTCTGCTTGCCTTGTACCTTGCCTTGCACCCGACGCTCCCCATCCGGAGACATGCATTGCCCGCATCATCATCATCATCATCATCATCATCATCATCTTAGCATCGTTTGCGTTTGAATTTTCCTCTTCATCTTGTTATTTCAGTTATGCTGATTCAAAATAGTGGGTGCGGAAAGCAGGATTTAAAGCCGTCGTCAGCGTTTTTTTTTTGTATAGACAAGGATCGCCCACGGTTGGGGCGACCTCGGTTATTTTGAGGAAAATTTATATGGATTAGCGAATATACAACTTTTTAATGCGTTTTCGAAAACATCCCTTGCTGCGACAAACTCTCGAAGAGACCCTTTTTACAGCAACCAATGCCGAAGCTTCTCACCGTCCACGTATCCTCAAGCCGCCTACGTTCACAGCCGCCGACCTCGACCCAGGAGACCAAGACACCCCCGGGCGAGCCGCCAACTGCCGGCCTTCCCCAACGCGTGTCTCTTTCCGAGAGTTCCGAGAGCGACGAAGGTTCAGCGTCTTCTTCTCCGGCTGGCCGCTGCGCCGGTTTTCGGCGGCAGCGCGCGTCGAGTTGAAGGGACGATTTGGGAGTTTGGTGACTGTGATTTGCTTGGACGAGGTGGCAGGTGCCGTTCAGCCGGCGGAGAGGATGACCATGGTCTCGGTCTGTAGCATTTTTTGCTTGCTATGCTGAGGGGGTGCAAGGTAGGTATGATACTCGTTACCGAGGGCTTCCTTTTCAATCACTCAGGCGAAACATCAGACTTAAGCCGTGAGTTGCCTTTCAAGCTAATTGCTTGGCTCTCTATTGTTAAGCAGTGCTCTAGAAGCAGTTGGCAATATTTCGAATCATTTTCGTTCCCGTCATTGTAAATGCTTGGGCGGTGCCCCGTTGTGTTGGGTTCCCGACAGCGCCGACGGCAAGACAACAGACAACAAGGCAGCCTGTCCCGAGAGCCTCTTTGCTCGATACACGTCTTCGCAGGGAGAGAATTCCACCAGCAGTATGCATAGCACGCTGTCATGTTTCGCAGTTTCCGAGCTAACCGGAGCGAGCCCGCCGTCTGCTTCAAAACTGCCGGGGCGTGAGACGGGCTGGCGGTGATACCCGTGGTTTCATCCGACCCTACGCAGCGCTTCACACAGCTCCCGAAGGATTTCACGTCTTACCATCAATTAAAGAAGTGCCGGCTTATTGGAAAAATGTCCACGATCAAGTTTCCATGCGACTACTCCTGTCGTCAGCCTTGACACGTAGATGACATGGGTCCACCCATGTAAACACGGGGGCGGGGGGGGAGCGCAGCTGATGAATGAATCTACTCTATACCCTCCTCAGGCAAAAAAGGGTTAACAAAGCAAGCAGCATCAGTGCCTTGACGTGTCACGGGGCGGCATTGCCTAGTAACCACCTACATGACGCATATCGAACAGGCTCTACGGCTACGGCGTGACCATTTTACTAACAGAGCCATGACCATTGGCTTTACACTTGCTAGGGATCGAGCCAGAGTCCTGAGTAGAGCAAAGCGACGAGCCCTCCAGCGACTCGACCACCCAGGTTCCGGACACCCAGGTTCCGGACACACAGAGCGGATGCTCCTGCTCCCGGTCCTTCTTCGCCGACGCTGACTTCTTCGACGCCGCCTGCCCGCCCGGCTTCGTCAACGTCTCCAAATCCTCCTTCCAGCTGTCGTACGACCAGGCTAGCTACGGCTTGTTCAAGGCTTTCAAGGCTCAGTGCGGACGCGACCCCTAAGCGCAACCGATGCATGCATCCAGGCAAAGCTCCGTGGCGGATACACGACAGGCTGTTGACAAGTTGATCGTTCAAGTTAAGACGTGCGCTTCATCGACTCTACGAAGGGCGCGCTCAAACTCGGCTCGTGTCTACCATGGAGGAGTCAAAGTGAACTACGGATTTGCTATGGGCACTCGCCATTTTTGCCCTCCCTCTTGCGGTAGACTTCCTAGTCTTGGGTGGTTTTTGAATTAAAGCTAGAGCTTCAATACAACTACTTTGTTTTTCTCTATTACAGATATCCTAGCAACGTAATGCCTTTAAGCTGCCACGCGGGTCGCTCCCTAACCTGGAGACGACAGATCAGACAGACAATGTGTAGGGCTTCTTGCTAATGAATTTTTGTTTCTGTCTGATAAGCCCCTTTACTCGGACTGATTTTTTTTTGGTGTTAAAATTGTAAGCTTTATTAAACAAGGCCAGCTTTGTTGCGGGGAAAGGAATGTGAGCAGGTAGGATACTCTTCTCTTATTAATGCCAGGGTCTCCTTTTCCGTGAAGTGTTTCAAGCTTCCGTCCTTGCGGACGCCGCGGCCCCGAGACCGTCAGGCTCCGGGCCTCCGGCCCGCACTACACGGAGCCTGTGAACAGCCGTCTGTGGACCACATCATCAACTAGGGTTCGTAACTTAACTGCCTTGCCAACAGCACCGGCAGAAAGACAACGTCAGATCAACAGACCGCCTGTCCCGGCAGTTCGGTCTCGGCGGGCATGTCAACGCCCTGATGAGGGAGGGGCGATATGGGCAATCTCTCTCCTCCCACGCAGCTCTCCGCCCCCCTGCAGTCTTACTGGGAAAAGAGTCCCTCATAATCAAACTGGCCCCGGTATTGATGTGTTTAGGCAAGGACATCAGGCCACAACTGGACTGTGAGCTACGCGGCCATGGGCCATCCTCGGCATCTTTGCGCCTTTGCAGACCTCTATTACTCGGTGCCTAGAGGGGGGCCTGCACTGTTCATGAGCTGTAGACAAGTAACCTAAGTTAAAAGTTCATGGCGCGTGTCTGCCTTCGAGCTGGGCGGTATGAGGCTGACTAGCGGCGGTGCGAAGTCGTTCCGTCCAGCCCTACGCAACGGCCCATACAGCTCAGCTCTTGAGGAATTCGACGCGTTCATCTTCAGATACAGAGAGGGCGAGATCCGGCCCAAGCGAAATGTCGAGGTATGAATTGGATGAGCTTCCGTTTCAGTCTGCCGCTACTTGCGTTGCGAGTCATCGTCATGGCTCGGTAGCTGGGCCGCATAAAGAGGGCGGCATGAAAAATGAAGATGAAACTTAGTTGGATCAACTATTGACAGCTCTTTCATCAAGTCAAGCGGGGCCAAGGAGTGCCAACTTCGCATTCAGGTACCTTTTTGGATTCGTCTTACTTCGTATTAGTTATCAGCCTTGACAACTTTCTGCCAGCTGTTGGTTGATAAGCTCAAGTCGAACAACAATGTTGTTCAACATTTGACTCGGAGTTTACGTTTACAAGGGGCAGCTCACACGGCTAGGAGGCAAACTACTAGTTACTACTACTTCTCAACGCGTGTGAGGACAAGCATCTATAGCCTTCCGCGGCCTTCTCGCGGTATACTGAGGAGCTTGCCTCTGTCGCCCTCCAGCGCACCCTTGTAAAAGAATTCGCAGGCCCTCGAAATAGCCTCACGCCAAGTAATTACCTGTGTAGCGCATTAGTGGGCGAGGTTTACCACTACTGCGAGATTAGCTTACTAGTAAGGCTATACCTGGCACGGCATATCAGTCAAGAAAGGACACTTGCTGGGATTGAGTCAGAACTCGAGTAGGATAAGGAAAGATATTTGCTTGTACCGAGTCAAAATCCGAGCGGATAAAAGCGACGAGACTTGCGGCGACTGAATTACCTGCCCTGCGCCCAAGTATATATAAACAGCGGTGACTGCCGTACCTATCGAGGCAGACTTTAGAACCACAACAACGGCACTTCGACAAACCAATCGACTCTCTCGACATTTTCACCATTTCCGTCCGTCTCTAGAATGAAGGCCGCCGCCACCATTCTCCTCGCCGCGGCACTGGGGTCGACAAGCCCCGTGGGCATGCAGGCCCGGGACGGGCAGTGCGACTGCTCCAAGACCTTCTACGCCAGCACCAAATACTGGGACTACAAGTGCCCGGCCGGCTACGAGAACATCTCCAAGGTGTCCATCGCGGGCATCACTTGCGCGCAGCCCGACTGCTCGGTCGGCGAGTACGAGCGTCGATGCGGTGTCCGGCCCTAATTTGGGAAGTGCAACCGAGGAGGGAATTCGAGGAAGCTCCGTGGCGGACATTCGGCACACTGTCCGCGACGGCGCTGCAACTCAGCTCGCGTCCACCCGGGGTTGATGTCAACTATAGACTACTGCAGTCACTCGTTTGTCTTTTTTTCTACTTCTCTCTCCAAAGATAGATTTATAGTCTTGACGAAAATTTGAGATTAAGCTAGAGTCTTAATAAACTTTATTTTCTTTTTAATTTAATAGAGTCGTTTTCATTACAGACGGACTCTTTCATTATAGAATGATGCGTCTGCCATCCATAAATTGTCAAAACAACTTCCTAGAAGCACCTGGCAAAACAAATTATGTTTTTTTTAAACAAAAACGATTCAAGGCTATGTGACTGCCAATTTGCGCGCGGTACGGACGCCGTGGCCCGAGACACCCAAACTCCGGTCGCCGTTAAGCTCCGGCATCCGGCCTGCACGGCCGGTGACCGACGCCGAGAGCAGCCTCCGGCCCGCCGATCGATCCACCCAACATTAGCAAGTTGGGCATGCAGTTTGCCAACAGCGCACCGAAATCAAGACAATAGGCAGCCTGTTCATTGCATCACATCCACGGCAAGATGATTTACTTGGCTGTCCTATTTCGGAGGAGGAGGAGGAGGGGGGAAGGCTAGTGACGGCGTTAGAATGGGCCACGTGTTGGATTGCGAGGTCTTTTGGTCTGCTTTTTTTTTTATCGTTTACTTTTGTTTATTTTCTTTTTCTTTTTATTACTTGCTTCTTTTTCTTTTCCTGTCCGACGAGCCTTGAGAACGCGTGCGCTGACTCAAACTTGCCATCTCAAGGTTGATGGCATGTTTCCAGTCCATGCAAGATTGCTTCCATCTCTCCCGCAGTCCCCCCTCCCCCCCGGGGGAGTCGTACAGCGCAGGAGTCATCAACCCCTGATGGAAAGCGCTTGGCCACGGTACTTATGTGTGCCTGCGCAGGACATCAGGCCATGACTAGGCTGTGAGCTGCGCGGCCGTGGCCGTCCCCTGGTGCCTTGGGGCGTCGACAGGTACATGGTGGTTGCGTGCCAGGTTTCCACCAGCAGTGCACATATCAGGCCGTCATTATTCCGCAGTTTCCGAACTTGACGGAGCGAGTAGCCCGCTGTCTGCCTCATCAAGTCTGAATGGCATGAGGCTGACTAGCCCACGCGGCGGCCCATGCAGCCCTCGAGGCGTTCGACGTCGAACCCGTCAACTAGAACAATGCTAGCGGCTTGAATTAACAAAGGTGTCCCGTTTCAGGATACTAGTCCCTCTGTCGTCAGAATATAGCCTCGACACAATACGTGTATGCATACGTTCGCTGATGTGAGAACACGGAGCGCGGAGAGCTTCTTCTGCCGTCTCATAAGAAGGAGCCTCTGCAGGCACACTTTGCGCATATGGCGCTTCGGTGGCAAGCGCCCGCGCCGACAACAGCGTCGAGGCTGCCATGCTTGTCACGAGTTACATGAATGACATACCATGGGCTAGCAGACGCGCGGCATAAAGGCGGTGGCAATGCGGCGCCCGAAAATCAACGTGAAACTTGCAAAGTGAAGGAACCCAGGTACGTAGAAGGCTTTCTATTACTTCGTATTATCAAACTCGTCAATTTTCCGCTAGCTCCTAGTTGAGATCAAGTCAGGACAACATTGTCCTTTGACATTGGACGTAAGGTGATCAAGGAGTAGCTCGCGCAAGGTTATCAAAATAACCCTCTCTCTAGTATTACTGATAATAGTCAAGTTCCCTGGTTATTAGATAAAAAGGTTATAAAGAGAAGTTATTGCTCAAGATACAACTTTCTCTAGAGCTCCAAACCTCGCCCTTCTCGTTCAACTGCTTCACCAGCGCGATAGCCTTCTGCAGCTTCCTGTGGTCTCATGTAGCCTTCTGTAGCCTTCTTAGCATAGAGGAACTTGCCTCCTTACGTACTCAGTAGAGACAGGTAGTTAGTCATGTCGTCCCCCCGTGCACCTTGAAAAGAATTGGCAGACCCTCCTCAAGTTTGGCCTTGGCCTCATGCTAAGTAATTACCTATATAGTGCATTATCGAATGAGATTTAGGTCTCCAGCGTAAGTATCTTGTCATCAAATTTATGGCATTGGTTTTATGAAGGAAAACGTGCTGTCGATCGAGTCAGAACATCAGCACGGCCAGCGATGAGACTCCCAGCGACTTGACTGACTACCTGCCCTCCACCCAAGTATAAAAGCATCCGTGACGGAACTGTCAAGGCGGGCTCTTGCAACCTCAGCACTCTCTCTCAGCAATTAGATCCCTCTCGACATCTCAGCTCTCTCTCGACATCTCAGCTCTCTCTCGACATCTCAGCTCTCTCTCGACATCTCAGCTCTCTCTCGACATCTCAGCTCTCTCGCTCTCTCTCGACATCTCAGCTCTCTCTCGACATCTCAGCTCTCTCTCGACATCTCAGCTCTCTCTCGACATCTCAGCTCTCTCTCGACATCTCACTATTCCGTCTCTTTCAATGAAGGTCACCGTCATGCTCCTCCTCGGCGCCGCGGCGCTGGGGTCCGCAAGCCCCGTGGCAACGGACATGCTCTCGATGCAGGCCCGGGACGGTCAGGGCGGCGGCTGCGACTGTTCCAAGCCCTTCTACGCCAAGACCGGGTTCTGGGACTTCAAGTGCGCGGACGGCTACGAGAACTTGTCCCTGTCATCCTTCTCGATGTCCTGCGCGCAGGCCGGCTGCGCCAGGGAGAACTTTGACTCCCAGTGCGATGCTGGAAAGAAGAAGGGCGAGGTGAAGAAGGAGGAGGAGGTGAAGAAGGAGGAGGAGGTGAAGAAGGAGGAAGTAAAGAATGAGGGAGAGACCAAGGGAGAGAACAAGGAGGATGAGGTGGAGAAGTATGGGGAGGAGAAGGAAGTAAAGAAGGAGGAGAAGGAGGAGAAGCCGATGCCAACCTCCTCTTCAACCTCTGCACCTGCCGCCCGCGCCTAACCCGACGCCCGTGGTCGGCGCGGAGCAGCAGCCGCCGTCAAAGACAAATAGTCCGTGCGACTGCTCCAAGACCTTCCTCGCCAACGTCCACTTCCTCGACAACGAATGCCCCGCCGGCTACGAGAACATCTCCAAGTCCTTCCCGCTCTCCTGCAAGCAGACCGGCTGCAAGGACAACGACTTCGAGGACCAGTGTGGAGTCAAGATCTAGGCGCGAGCAGTGGAAGACGACGAGCGCAGTACAAAGAAGGGGTTTCCGGGTCGCTCATTCATCTGGCAGTTCTACATACGACGGCGCGCGTCTACGAGGGGCGGCGCTGCAAAGCTCGGCTGCTCGCGCCTACCCTGGAGCCAAGAATCAACCGCGGATCGCCACGGGTACTCTGGGGGGTTCTTCTTTTTTTTTTCCTTTCTCTTGCTTGAGATAGATTTTAGGTGTACTTTTTCAAAGAAAAAAATCCAGAGGATAGGACCACTTTTCCTTCAGGGATCGGAGTCCAAGTCCCTGGGTGGTTCCTTGTTACAGAAGCAGCGTCCCATACGGCTCCGACGGAGTTTCGAGGCGCATACTGACAGATACAGAGGGTGCATAAACAGCCTCGTATGGCTCGGTAGTCGCGCTACATGAATAAGCCTGCATAAATAGCAAGTTGCTTGGGAACAATGCTGGCTGGCCTTTAATTGGCTCAGTACGCGTTGGGTTCACTAGAAAGCCTCATCAGGCATCAATCATCGTGTAGACAGCATCATAGCAATCACCTGAATACAAAAAGAACCCTCGCTGTGTGCATGCACAACATTAAAACCTCCTGCTCCTAAAAAAAATATGAAACTTGCCAAGTGACAGGCTTCTTTCGCTAAGCTAAGCGAGGTCCAAGCAGAGCAGAGGCGCATAAATACCTACAGTAGATGGCTCTAGGGTATCCTGTCCCTTTGGCTGGCGAGAAGGAGCCAGTAGATATTTTGTAGCAATCGTATCCGATCACAGAGGGATGAAAAGATAGGTAATTCTATCAAGTGTGTGGATTTAAGATAAGGGATCGTGATAATACTGTGGCGTAGGTTAGTGCCGGTCTAGTGGCTTGCTTGCTCCTTGTCAATACCGACTCTACAAGTTAACGTTAAAGCTTGTAGTTGAAATCGAGCGAAACAACACTGTTTGAACATTTGACACGTGTGAGCATGAGTCGGTATCCTGCTGCTACTGACCATACTAGTGGCCATCTCGACTCACGGGTCACCAGTTCGATGAGTAGGAGGCGTAGTGATGGTGCGTGGCATGAGAACCTTTGATGTTGGAGGTCTTCTGCTCGCAACCTTTGACAGCATTCCATTTCCATGTTGGCAGCCTTCTGCAAACCTAACTCTCTTGGGGCACAGCACGCGTAATGAGGCAATTTCGCCCATGCGTACAGATAAGACTATTCATGTCGCCTCCTAGCGCACCTTGTAAAGGACTTGGCACCCACCGAGACAACGGCATCGCCACAGACCCTCGACTTGGACTCATGCCTCATGCCGGTTGATTACCTATACATCGCATTATCGAGCTCGGTTCAGGCTTCGGCGCATGTATCGTGTTATCAAAAGCCGTGGCATTGGTTTTGAGAAAAGATGCTTGCTGGGGATCGAGTCAGAGCTTGAATGGGACAAGAAAAGATGTTTACCAGCGATCGAGTCAGAAATTGAGCGGAACAAGAAGATACTTGCTAAGGATCGAGTCGAAATCTTGAGTAGAGCAAGCGATGGGACTTGCCCTGCGTCCGAGTATATAAACAGCCGTGACTGCCCCTATCGAGGCTGAATTTAAAACCACAACACTCGCATTCGACAAACCCCCTCTAACGACACTTTCTGAACAGCAAATTTTGCCCCCGAGCCAGCTCTCCAAGCACTTTACCAGTTTCCGTCTCTACAATGAAGGTCACCGCTATCCTCTTCTTCGCCGCGGCGCTGGGGTCTGCAAGCCCCGTAGGAACGCGCAGCCACTCGATGCAAGCCCGGGCCGGGCAATGCGACTGCTCCAAGCCCTTCCGCGCCGGGAACCGCTTTGACGACGCGTGCCCGGCCGGCTACAAGGACATATCGAGAAACTTCTTCACCATCTCCTGCGTGCAGGCCGGCTGCTCCGAGGACGAATTCGAAGCCCAGTGCAACGCCGGCGAGCCCGCCTCCGCGCCTCCGGCCGTGGTGGAGCAGCCGGCGCAGGAGGAGGAGGAGGAGGAGGAGGAGGAGGAGACGCCGGCAACCCTCCCGGGCGGCGCGCAGGGGGCCGGGCAATGCGACTGCTCCAAGCCCTTCCGCGCCGGGAGCCGCTTTGACGACGCGTGCCCGGCCGGCTACAAGGACATATCGAGAAACTTCTTCACCATCTCCTGCGCGCAGGCTGGCTGCTCCGAGAGCGACTTTGAAGCTCAGTGCGGTGCCGATCAGCCTAGGCCGGCGCCCGCCCCCGCGCCCCCGGCAGTGGTGGCGGAGCAGCCTACGGGGAAGACGCCGGCAGCGCCCCCGGGCGCGCAGAGCGCGTGCGACTGCTCCAAGTCCTTCTTCGCCAAAGCTGATCCTGTCGACAATACCTGCCCGGCTGCCTACAAGGACATCTCAAAGTCCTCCTTTTCGGTCAGCTGTGCGCAGGTCGGGTGCTCCAAGGGCGACTTCGAGGCTCAGTGCGGAGTCAGGCCGTAAATCTAACTTGATGCATGCATTTTTGTCGAGGAAGCTCCGCGGCGAATATACGACGGAGTGTCCGATCGAGTCGGCTCTTTCAAGTTTACGGCGCGCTTTCTTCACCCGGCTCTTGGTGGGCGCTGCAACACGGCTCGTGTCTCTCCTCGAGTCAAAGTCAGCCACGGACTTTCTTGTCATTTTTTTTTCTGCCCTTTCTCTCGAGATGGATTTCCTGGTATTGAGGGGTCTTCGGATCAAGCTAGAGCTTCAATTCAAAAATGTGCATTTTAACATGGAGTGATGCGTGAAACCATCCATAAATGTGTAGACTCGGAGAGCTACGAATGAGTAAAAATCATCTGTATTGAGATTGATTTGCGTAGAGTAGCCGTTTTCAGGATGATATACATGGTTCCCCTCAGCGTAAACTGGTTTAGCGAGCCGTCACGCGGGCCGCTCCCCAAAATGGAGACACCCTGCAAGCCTTCTTTACGAGAATTTCTGGGGGATTTGGCGCCTTACCAGAAGCAGGATTTTGGCGTTAGATTCAGCTTCATGCTTCATGCAACGCCAGCTTGGTTGCGGTGAAAGGAATGAGAGGGAAGGGGGGGGGTGGCTTGCAGCACCGGCATCGACAGCACGGACACTCGACGCACGGCACATTGTGACGCCTGACACAGACAACAAAGGATGGCGTTACATTGCGTCTTGTCAGTGTCAAAAGGGGCCTTTGCTTTGACTCGGTCAGTTGGACATGAAATAGTGGAATATGGGGGAAAAGTTGGTTAACTACCCGCTTGGGGAAGTGGACTCTGGGGGTCTCACTGTAACTATAACTATCCAGCGAAGCATGTGATGCCTGCTGATCTGATGTGAGAAAGAGTCTTTTAATAAAGGGCCCGCGCCTCCTCTTTGCCGTCGGGCGTGGCTGACAAGTTTTCCTTTATTACCTCTTCTTCTTTCTCTCTTCTTCCTCTCTTCTTCTTCTCCTTTTCCTCTCTTTTTCCCCTCTTCCTCCCCTACTTGTTTCTGTTCCTTTCTCTTGTCAACCATCTACTCTCTCACAACTCCCTCATCATGGACGAGATGCACCGCATCCTCGCTCGCATTCGTATTGCCAAGCTGCAGTCCGAGTAAGACTCCCTTCCCCTCCCCTCCCGCATTTGCACCTAGCACATGACCTTGAGGCAAATTTCTTCCGTACTTTTTTCTTTGTTCTTTCCCTGCTTTTTAATCTAACACGCAGCAGAATTCGCGCCAAGGCAGGCAGCGAGACCCAGGGCGTCCCCGTCCGTCGCAAGCGAGCCCTCAGCGCCTCTAGCACCGGCAAGAAGTCGCCCTCCCCCGTCCTTGGTCGCAAGTGAGGGATTTCCTCATTCAAACGACAAGAGAATTCTCCATTGTATCTGAATCGCTGGGATTTTTTCCTCGCATTTTTTTTTCCCTTTCTGCATCGGCATACCATCGGAGTTGAGGCGCATCCATCACATGTCTGTCTGTCCTGTCCTGTCAGCTTATTACTACCGCTATTACTACTCAATTCGGTATATTACCCCGGACTTGCATGAGACACTAGTTATTTATTGCCAAGGATATACCACCAGGCTGCTATTTGATTGATTTGGGCATCAACGTGTACACAATGTGGGTTCAGAAATTACATTTTATTTCCAAGGTTCTTTGTTGTAAAAATTGCCATGCCAAGGTTGAGATGAGCACCGGGTATTGGGTTCCCCGAGTACTTGTTTGCGCCATAAACCTGTTTGTTCGTCTGTATGACTCGATCACGATGCCAAGGTACTATCCAGCATGAACTCGCGACGCTGGATCAGGCGGATATCTCTGCTGTAACAATTTGGGCATGAATTGCACAATTAATCATACGTGACATGAGCTCTCTCCGTTGACAGTCTCACAACTCTTGCATATCCATAAAACCGTCTTATAGACTCTTGATCAACTTCCCAATGTGATTCACCTGGCGTCCATCTCATCTTCCTTCATCAATCTCACAATCCCTTCACCTCAAGCACCCACCGTCTCCCACGCATCCCTCACCGCCGCCTCAACCTCCGTCCGCATGTCCTGCGCCTCCCACACCAGCAGCAAGTCGTGCACCGCGTGCGCCGTCTCGTGATACCGCACCTTGGCCCCCGGATTCACCCCCTCCATCTCCTCCGCGAACCGCCTCACCGCCGCGCAGAAGCCCTCCGCCGCGCCCGCGTGCAAGAACACCGGCACCTCCGTGCGGAACGGCCGGCCCAGCGGCGAGACGTACCCCGCCACCTCCTCCCCCATCTCCGCCGGGGGATACGCGTCAGCCCCCCACTGCAGGAACTCGGGCGTGATGATGTCCGTCGGCGCCGCCGGGGTCGCCATGAAGTCGATCCCGGCGCGCGGCGTCACCGCGACCCACGGCGACCAGGCCAGGACGCCGCGCGGCAGGGGAAGCGTCCGCGTCGCATGCAGGTAGCGTAGCAGCGCGAGCGCCGCGTTGCCGCCCGCCGAGTCCCCGGAGAGGATCACGTTGCCGGGGGCGTACCCGAGCGACAGCACGTGCGCGTAAAAGGACACGGCATCCTGGATGGCCGCCGGGAACGCGTGGCCGGGCGTGCTGGCCAGTCGGTACTGCGCCCACACGAAGCGCGTCGTCCCCGACTGCCGGCCGTGGAGCATCGCGTCGGCGGCTTTCCGCCCAAACGCCTCGTGCCCGACCTCGACGACGAACGCCCCGCCGGGGAGGTGCAGCACCACCGTCTCCTCCGCGAGGTCCGTCTCGGGCGGCGGCGCGCGGGGGAACCAGAGCGCGTTGAGCGGCGCCGGCTGGATGGCCGGGTCGGAGGCGAGCACGCCGGTGAAGAGCGAGGCGGGCGGCACTTCGACGGCGGTCACGCGCGTCGGGTCCTTGGGAAGCCGCTCGGCGACGAGGCGAGGAGAGCGCGTGCGGCTCATGACGTTGAAGAGGGACCGCACGATCGGGTTGCCGACGTTGGCCTTGAGGCTGAGGTGTGGGCTGGGGCGCAGGCCCCGGATGAGGGCGAACTTGAGGAGCAGATAGACGAGCCATGGAGGCGTGGACAGGTAGAAGTAGGTGATGCACAGCGCCTTGAGCGGCTGGGTGGCGCGCCACGGGCGGGGGGGCTGCGGCATGGCTGCGTTTCTGGTGCGAGGATGAGATGATGAAGAAGGGAAGATGATGATGGGCAAGGTAGATGAGATCGGGTACTAATATAGACACAAGAGGGGGGATGTCTTAGTGCCCAGGGGAGGGGAGGGGAGGGGAGGGGTAGATCCGTGCCGCCCCCAGCTGGCACAGCTTGTCTCACAAGGGTGAGCGCCTCAATATACACACCTGACAGTCCCCAAAGCCCTGAATTTTGTGGTGGCATAAAACAGCCACGATTGGCCTCGGCTCTCAAAGCATACTCTCGTTGCTTGCTCAAGAGGGCAGTTCGAACAAGACTTATTAAAAAAAAAAAAAGGAACCTGCTCACAAGGCCATGAGCGTATCAGACCTCCCGCATCCGATCCAAGACATGTCTTGAATATCGTGATAACAGCCCACGCCTCCGTCTTCACGCATCCGCACCCCATTTACGCGCCAATCACCCGGCCTATCTCCTCCCACGTCTCCGGCGCCGCGTTGCCGCGGATCCAATACCCGTCCTTGTCCTGGTCCAGGCACACAAAGTACGGCGTCGGCCTGTTCCCGTCGTCGCTCGACAGGTAGTGGTGGCTCACCACCCGCCCGGACCCCGTCCCACCCGGTACTGGCACCACCGCGGGACCAAAGTCGGCCGCCGCGCCGATCCGCAGTCCCGACAGGTTGTTGCACATGACCACCACCTCGTCCGGTGCGCAGTACACCGGCACCGCCCCCTGGTCCCGCCCCGCGTCGGCGTCGGCCCGTCGTCGCCGGAGCTGGTGGAGCACCTGCGCCTCGCTCGTCTGCAGCGCGACCTCGCGCCGGTGCGCAAGCGCGATTCGAGCGACGACGACGGCGGCGGCGGCGTCGTCGGACCCGGAGACGACGGTCGCGGCGGGGATCGAGGCAAAGTACAGGCCCAGCAGGTTCTGCACGTACACGCCGTCGCGCAGGGCCGGGACCCGCCCCCGGTAGTTGACCGACCCGGCCACCACGTACCGCGTCTGCGGGCTCCGGCCGGCAGCCACGAGAGTCACCAGCCACGCGCAAAGCAAATCGCCGTCGCTGACAAACGGCGCCCTGCCCGTATCAGGATCCCTCGGCAGCTCCGCGACACCGCCGTCGCGCCATCTGCGAATCACCGCCCGCGGCAGGTGAAAGATGCGCCAGTCGGCGCGGCCGCTCGTCGCCAGGCGCCAGAGATACCTTCCGAAGAAGAGGACCTTGCCGAGGCCAACCAGCTCCCTGCCGCGCCGCACGTCCGGCGGCCCGTCCTCCGCGCACTCCTCCCCGGCGACGCGCCGCGCGACGTCCTCGCCCGCCCCGGCGAGGGGGCGCACCTCCCCCGCGCGCCCGGCGAGCGCCAGCGACCACGCGGCGAGCAGCTCCCGCTGGCCGGTGGCGTCCATGACAGTGTGCGGCCACGCGAGCTCCAGCAGCGTCGCGTCGCGGAACGTGGTGACGGCCAGCGCGAGCTGCGGCAGCCCGCGCTTGATGTGCTCCTGCAGCGTGCGCGGCGTGTCGGTGGTGAAGATGGCTGCGTTGGCCTCGGCGGTCTGGGGGTAGATGCGCGGCAGGCCGGAGGGAAGTGCGCGCCGCAGCTCGTCGTCGTCAAAGGCCTCAGCCGTGCGGTCGCGATGGGTGTAGGTGAAGGGCGGTTCCTGGTCCGTGAACGTGTGCGGGACGCGGATTTCAAGCGTTCCCGCTTTCTACAGTACAAGAGTTAGCATATATTTGGCTTCTGCTCATGGGGGGCACCGAACTGTGTAGTGCAGCCGGCCGGCCAGCTTGCACCAGTCTCCCGTCTCCAGCACTAGCGCGAGCGCGGCGCGGACCTTGTCCGCGTCGAGTTGCGCATCGACGCGAAATATCCACTGCATCATGATGTTGCGCGCGCTCTTGTGATTGTCGAGCATATGGACGGGGTAAATGTCGAAGGGTGCCGGGTCCGGCGACGCCGGCGGCGTCGGCGGAGGCGATCCGATCTTGCCTGCCATGTCAAGGCCACTGGTTAAGGAGAGAGGCTCTCGGCCAAGTGAGAAAACTTTAACCAGAGACATTAGAAAAACTCTTTGTCGGGGTGCTCAGAAGCTACTTTATATGATGCTCTCAATAGATCATATGTAGTGCGGGCGCCGTTGCGGGTAACGGCCGTGCGCTGTTTAAACTAAAGAATAGAGTCCAGGCGGGACCGACGAGCTTAAAAAATAAGAACACATTTGAGCTTGGATTTGCAAGGGCCAAAGCATACTCTCTGTTTCGTCAACATGGATCTGCGTGATTATGGTCAGGGGTAATAATACCAGTCACATTCTATAGTCGCATCGTGCATGCTCAAGGTGAGCACACCTTGGTTCAGCCTGCCGTTGTTTGAGTTGGGTGGGGTAAAACATCTGCGTAGCTTGACTGAATGTCACTAGCGAAGCGGCAGGTGTTAATAGGCTGTCTTCATTACGGAGTATGATGTTCTTATATTGAAAAAGGGAAGGCCCGGCTGGTTGAGTGGCCTCTATGATCAGCATAAGCTGCCAAGCCATTATCATATTACTGTAGAGTCGCAGCGACGAATTACCGGCCCATCCAACCACCATCCACGACCAGCACATGGCCGCTGACATACGCGCTCGATCGGCTGGCCAGGTATACCGCGGTGCCCTTGAAATCGTCGGGCGACCCCCAGCGCCCGGCCGGGATGCGCGCGCTGATGCTGGCGAGGCGCTCCGGGTTGGCGAGCAGCGCCGTGTTCATCTCCGTCTCGATGTACCCGGGGGCGATGGCGTTGACGGTGATGCCGCGACTCGTCCACTCGTTGGCGAAGCTCTTCGTGAGCTGGCCGACGGCGCCCTTGGACGCGGCGTACGCGGGTACCGTCAGGCCGCCCTGGAAGGTCAGCAGCGAAGCAAAGTTGATGACGCTGCCGCGGCGGCCGGTGACGGGCGACGGCTCGAGCTGTAGCATGTGGGCGCCGACGTCGCGGCAGAGGGTAAAGACGGCATTCAGGTTGACTTGCATGACCTGGAGGTTGCGGGTGTAAGTTGGTTGCGTTGACGGTATTTACGGGAGGGAGTAGAGGAGGTACCTCGTTGAAATCGTTGTCGGGAAACTCTTCGCATGGATGGCGACGCTGGATACCGGCACAGGTAACCAGGATGCGGATCTCGTGGCCGTCGGCGAGGACCTTGGGTGTGAGGGCAGCGACCTGCTCTTGTACGGCCATGTCGGCCGTGTAGATCCAGGCCTTGCGGCCGAGAGCCTCAACGAGGCCCTTGGTCTCGACGGAGCTTGTATCGCGCTGCGGGATTGTCAGAAGAGTGGTATTGGAGGAGTAGGAAGACTTGGAGCATTTACTTGGACAAGGATAACATCGGCGCCTGCTTCGGCAAGGCCAACAGCGACGGCTTGGCCGATGCCGCGGGTGCAGCCAGTTATCATGGCTGTTTGGCCCTGGAGGGAGAACATGCTGGAAGACATAGTATCCAAGAGTAGGAGAAGAGGGCAAAGAGCAAGTAAAACAAAGAAAACCAGTGGAATTAGAAAGAGAGAAGCAAAATGGACAAGGCGCTGGAGATGTTTGAAGAAGTTGGGCGCGCGTTTGTCGACAATGAACGGTGACGATGGGAATTGTTGGAGTGACTGAGGGGCAAAATGATTTCCCCAACCCCCAAAGCTTCAGTGGGCTACAGTGGGCTCAACGGCCTTTCGCGACCTCCAGTGGATCCTTTAGTGGCTTGCGTCCCCTGTAAGCTGCCTCGCGTCAATTGCCGGCGGGCCAGGTCCGCTAAACGGAGGCTCCGCTTCGGGCAATTCTCGCCGAAGGCTGCCTTCTGGCGGCCTTTGAATAGCCGTTTGCTCTACTCCAGTCGTTTGGTGGGGGAATGCTTCTTTGTCTTTGGGCGCGGGGTGAAATCGATTTGCTCCTCTTGAACTGATCCATCTTCTATTCACTCTTTCTGGTGTTTGCAGCTTTGACCTTTATCCGACCTTCTCCACGCATTTCAAATTCAAGTATCCTACAGAACGAGTAGAACTTACCAAGTACAGCACAACCATCATGTCGACCCAAAAAGTTCAAGCTTCCGTCCTCCACGGCGCCCGCGATCTTCGTGTTGTAAGTCACAACTCACACGTCGCCAACAAGGCAGCCCTCTCACAAATACTCACGCGTTTCTCAGGAAGAGCGCGACCTCCCAGCACCCGCCGCCGACGAGGTCCAGATCGCCGTCCAGGCCACCGGCCTCTGCGGCTCGGACCTGCACTACTTCAACCACTACCGCAACGGCGACATCATCGTGCGGGAGCCCCTCACCCTCGGCCACGAATCCAGCGGCACCGTCGTCGCCGTCGGCAGCGGCGTGAAGGGCCTGGCGGCCGGCGACCGCGTAGCCCTCGAAGTTGGCCTGCCCTGCGAGGACTGCGAGTACTGCGCCAGCAGCCGCTACAACATCTGCCGCGGCATGCGCTTCCGCAGCTCGGCCAAGTCCTTCCCCCACTTCCAGGGCACGCTGCAGGAGCGCGTCAACCACCCGGCGCGATGGTGCCACAAGTAAGATCACAAGGTTTCGGGCTAGGACGTGTCAGCATACTGATGTGAAAAACTTGAAAACAGGCTGCCCCCGACCCTGTCCCTGGACCTCGGCGCCCTGCTGGAGCCGCTCTCCGTCGCCATGCATGCTCGCCACAGGGCCAGCCTGCCTGAGGGCGCCACCGTGCTGGTTCTCGGCGCGGGTGCCGTCGGCCTGCTCGCTGCGGCTGTCAGCAAGGCCGCCGGTGCCAAGGCCGTCGTCATCGCCGACATCCAGAAGGACCGCATCGACTTTGCGGTGCAGAACGGCTTCGCGGATGCGAGCGTGCTCGTCCCCATGGAGCGTCCGCAGACTATTGAAGAGAAACTCGCGTACGCGCAAAAGGTGGCCGAACTTTTTAAGAACGCGACCGTCGACGGCTCGGCGATTGGTGAAGTCTTTGCGGTGTATGAGTGCACGGGCGTCGAGACGTGTGTGCAGGCTTCAATTTATGTAAGTGCATTACTGCCGAAACGAGTCGAGAGTGGTTGCTTACTGTTATTAGGCTACGAAACCAGGCGGCAAGGTCATGCTCATCGGCATGGGCACGCCGATTCTCACACTACCCATGTCCGCGGCCGCGCTCCGCGAAGTCGACCTCGTCGGCGTCTTCCGCTACGCCAACACATATGCCAACGCCATCGAGCTACTCGCTAACCGGCCAGCGGCCATGCCGGACTTGTCACCGCTAGTCACGCACCACTTCAAGGGCATCGAAAACATCCCCGAGGCATTTTCTATGGCCGGTCAGGTCAAGGATGGTGAGGGCAAGCTGGTGCTCAAGGTGGTAGTGGACATGGAGTAAATGATTACACGTTTTTGGGGGCGTTGGGCAGGCGTGGTGTGGGTGCATAGCGAGATATCACGAGTCATCGGCTTCGAAAATGAAAATTGAGTGCTACTTTTTCCATAAATCTATAATCATTTTCTATCATCTATACTACTATCTCTATCACGACTTGTCTGGGAAGCCGAAATCGATGCCGAAAGGAGGATACACGTAACGCTTCAACTCGCCCTTGGCCGTGAGGTCGTCCGAGTACGCCCGCAGCTTCGCCATGTCCTCCTCGTCCAGCTTGACAATCTCCGCATTGGCCTTGATGCGTGCCGGCGTGACCGACTTTGCCAGCACCGTAGTACCACGAGCGACTAGACATTTCCACAATTAGCACATGGATCCCGCAAGAGCACATCCAATCTAGAACAAACGCACCGTGGTAGCTCAGCAGCACCGTCGCCGGGCTGACGCCGCGCCGCTGCGCAATCTCGACCACCGGCGCGGCGGTGAACAGCGGCCCGCCGGTGCTGCCCAGCGGGCTGTACGCGACGACGTGGATGCCGCGCGCGCAGCAGAGGTCGACGATCTCCTGCTGCGGCAGGCTCGGGTGGTTCTCGATCTGGTTGACGGCGGGGACGACGGTGCATTCGGCGAGGAGCTCCTCGAGGTATCGCTTGCTGTACTGGTTTTCCGGAAAGTTAGTTGTGGCTGGGGCTGGCTGTGAAAGGGGGGCCCTTACGTTGCTGACGCCGATGCCGCGGACCTTGCCTGTGCCGAGGAGGGCTTCCATCTGCGGCCAGGCTTCCGTGTGATTCCAGTCGCGGAGGATGTCGCGCGAGCCGTCGGGGAGGGTCGGGAACCTGTCGTCGTTGCCTAACAGGGGAATGAGCATCAAAGAGAGCTGTTCCCGGTCTCGGACGAGGAAGCATACCTTTAGGGTTCATCAAAACAGGCCAGTGCTAGCATAGCCCTTTTGTTAGCACGCGCCGTGCAAGGAAGTCGATTGTCTTGTGGCGGCTCACAATCAGGTACATGTCCACGTAGTCTACGCCCAGCGCCTTGAGGCTCTTGTCCAGGCACTCCTCGACGCGCGTGTTGTACGTCGCCCAGACCTTGGTCATGATGAAGACGTCCTCACGACGGACACCCGCAGCAAACGCCTCCTTCAGGCCCTCGCCCACCTCAGCCTCGTTGCCGTAGCAGTACGCGCAGTCGACGAGCTTGTACCCATTCTGGAGCGCGTACGAGACGGCCGCCTTGACCTCGCCGGGCTTGGACTGCCACGTCCCTGTTGTCGAGTTGGTAAGAGAGCTTGATTCGCACCGGGGAGTTCTGTCATGTAAGCGGCTTACCTAGGCCGAGGGCGGGCATCTCCTTGCCGGTGTTGAGCTTGAACGAAGTAGCTGCCATTTTGAGAATTGAACTGCGATTAGGAAAACTATAGGAGAGAGAGCAAAGGGAAGACTAATTGAATCTGTTAAAAAGAAGAAGGAATTGAGGGTGACAAAAAGAGACCCTAGTCCGTCTCTCTGCCCCTCCAAATGACGGACGGCCCCTCCAAAAACTTGGGGTACCCCCGCGGGGGAGGTGGCCTTTCAATAGCCGCGTTCTAGGGGGCTTTTCAGGAGCCATTTACGGGGTGGGTAAGCCGAAACCGCCTCTAGAGCATCTAGCCATGGAGAAATCAGACCGAGATCCACTGTGGACATGCACCTTGGTGATGTTGTGTTGGCAGGATGAAACAGAGCGTCATTCATTGCGATATTTGGCTCTTCTCAATGCCTTGCTCGGTATCCTTCGGCCGGCGTGCGGGGCCGAGCTGGCTCCGTCCGCCGGAGGTGGCTATTTCTGGCTCTTCAAGCCTCCGATACGGAGAGGCACCTTTTCCAGGGTCAAGGCCTCTCTTTTGGCACATGCGAATCTTTCACATCAAGCGGTAAAGTAACGCTGGCTTCAGCTCCATTAATTCTATCTAGCTTAATGCCGCGCCCTCCTCCCACTGTGTCCGCCGTGGTGTAGGTGCAAGGAAAACAATGTACGTCGTCGTGCTATGCCAACACGGGAGAAGAAAACCCAACTGTAAGATGAAGCAAATCGCCCAAAAAGTCAAGAGTGCTCTAGCCCGATACCAACACCCATAGCCTGCGGATTGTTAGCCCTCGTCCTTAACATCGTCGTGGCATCGAAACTTACAGGAAGAAAATCATCAGTACGCCAAACATCTTGGCTATTAGCCAGCGGTTGCCCGACACCCTCGACCAGTACTTGAGCAGCTCGCGCTGCGCACCGTCGACATTATCCACCACGTCCTCAGTGTTGGCATCTATCCGCTGGATCATCTCGCTTTGCTCCGACACCATGGTCGCCAGCTGGCCAAAGATGCTGCCGAGCTCGCCAATCGTCTTCTCGATGGCCTCGATGGCCTCGCCGCGCTGCTGGATGTACGTGTTGGCCGGCTGCGCCTCCTCCATCATGAGCATCTGGTTGTGGCTGACGGGGTTGAGCGAGAGCGTGTCGGCCCCCGGCGCCGGCGACGTGCGGTTCGGTGTACCGTACAGCGGCGACGCCGACTGCTGCAGTGACGGCTGCGCGTGCTGCGACACGTTGGAGATGAAGTTTTCGGTGCGTGAGCGCGATGCTTGGATGTTCTTGGTGCGCGCCTCCAGCACGTCCTTGAAGTTGACCGACACATCGGTTAGCTTGCCTTGCAGCAGGTAGACGACATTTTTGTTGTGCTCTCCCTCCTGGTCGGCCCCCTTAGGGTGCTGCTGTTTTGACATCATGGAGAGCGCGCCGATCTGCTGGTTCAGAGACGAAAGGTCCTGCTTGATAACAAAGGTGAGTTCGTTGATTTCGACCGGGCGGTCGTCGAATAGCGTTCGTCGCTTGGCCACTGCAATTTGTTATTATTCGGCATGGTGCATCGCCACCTCTTGCCTGCACGGCGACTTACGTTGCGCGAGCTTCTCCAGTTTGCCCATGGTCGATGAGATGCCGCGGCCAATCTCGGCCGCCTTCTTGGCGAAGTCGGATCGTCGAGGTTGCGCGTCGCCATTAGCGGCCGCCTTTTGCGAGTCGGTCAGTAGCGAGCGCCGTTGGGCGCCCATCTTGTTCGCATTTTGCTTGCGCTGCGCGAGTGCGAGGACCGACTTGAACTCGGACGTCCGGTCTTGGATCGAAGTGGCGGCCATGGTCGGCAAGATTAAATGTCTGACTTGTATATATGCGGCGGTGAAAGGATCACGTAGCGACCAGCGCGGGACGCCTTTCGAGAAAGCTGATGAAGGAGTGTGGCGGATGGAATGTCGAGAGATCTGGCGGCGCTGGCGACGTAATGCGGACGAACTGGGGCGACTCGGCGAGTTTGAGTTTGACCACGTTTTCAGTAACAGTCAGCCCCTTGCAGCGCTTGCAGGACGGCTGTAGCCGAGGGAGTAGCGTCGGCACGTGGAAAACAAAGGCAAGAAACGCAGAAAAATTAATAAATGGAAGTAAGAGCAGGAATCTGCAGCGATGAAGACGAAGATAAAAATTGCGGGCCGAAAAGATTCAAGATGGAAGCTGGGTTGGAAGATGCTGGCTATAAGGAAAAAGGGATTCGCGAACTGTTGGGAGATTTGGCTTGTTCCAAACAGAAGGCCGTGATTGGCCGGAATGTTGGAAGTAGGCGACCCACATAAGTACAGGCGAATTTGTTCCCCCCATTCGGCCAGACTGCTGTGATAGCCTGATACTTGATTATGTATGTACGTATGTACATATGTACATATGTTACCTGCAGGCAAACAGCTGTTTGTGCCCCTTTTGCTGCAAACTTGACCTCACCATTTTGCTTGCGAGCTGGCCACCGGAAGACAACAAATTTGGCCTATACGATATTTAAAGCGCAATTCTTGGTTATGCAAAAATGAGTCCTTACGATAAAGGCAAGAATCACAAATCTACCCAGCGTGCCTTGACTGCCGAGTTCTTGATCAAGCGAGCGCACAAAGCTTACGAAAAGTACCGCCAATCTGGCAAGAAAATTCATATACGTTACGCAATAGAACTCGCAGCCGGAGCTATAAGAAGAGCTACTGCACCCCCCGCCTCTTGGTCGCTGAACCTTGTCCACTACCTGAGAAGTCGGTACGAGCAATTCGAACGCCCGGCTGATCTTGATAGAGCTGTCTTGATTGCGCGACGTGGCATTGCAGCAGCGCATGCGGACAGCCAGGGGAAATCGCGTCTGCTGAACGCACTTGCGGTGCTGCTATTGTCGCGCTACACGAAACGCCGAGCATTTCCCGACTTGGGAAGAGCAATACAGGTTGCAGAAAAAGCCTTGGCGATTCTTCCACGACAATATCGGTCAGAGAAGGCCATGTTGCTGAACACATTGGCGAGTGTTTGGAACCATGTTCATACGCATACGGGCAAACTCGGACCCTTGATTCGTTCTATCCAGGCCGCGAAGGATGCAGCATCATGTGCGACAATTGACGATCCAGGTCAGGCCCTGTTCCTATACAACTATCTGAACCTTGTAAGTTTACGTTACACTATTCAAGGGGAGGTTAGTGATTTGGAAGAAGCAACATCAGAAGCGGAACGTGCCATTGGGCACCTTGCAGACGGACATCCGCTGAAACCAGAGCTGCTGAGCGACCTTGGGGCTCATTTGAACATTCTTTTCGGGCACACAAAGGAAGTGGCAGAGCTTGAAAAAGCAATTAAGTTTGGAAGGCAAGCTGTGAAACTCGTTCCAAATAATTCCCCGAGAAAAGCCATCTACTTGGGAAACCTTTCAAACAGTTTGTTGAGCCGGCACAGACTGAATTATGATCGACAAGACTTAGAGGATTCCATTCGTCTCTCGGAAGCCGCGGCCGACGCAATTCCAAAAGGACACGAGAGTGAACTAGAAGTTCGCCACAACTTGGCGACGAAGCGGATGGACCTATATCGCTGGACAGGACAAAATTTGAATTTTGAATCTACGGCCGAAGAAATGCGCCAATGCTTGGCTACTACACCAGATAATCATCATGCCCATGCAGCTCGGCTAGATGACTTCACAGCTTTACTCTTTTTGCAATTTGAGAAGACTGGAACGCTAAAATATTTGAACGAGGCGATCAAGCTGTCAAGGCGCTCAATTCAAATGACTCCTGCTGATCACCCAGATCAGTCCATCTACGCCAATAACTTGGGGTATTACTATGCACACCTCTATGATAGTACCCAGAACATGAGACATCTAGATATAGCATTGGCTTGTGTTCTGGCAGCTCTGGGCATTACTCCAAGGGAATCCATATGCTGCTCGACAACTCTTGGACGACTTGGTGCCATTTTCGAGAGAAGATACGAGCGGACAGGATCTGTTGATGATTTGCAAAAAGCCATCTGCTTCACGACCAATGCGGTAGATGCCAGTCCGAAAGCCTCGATGGAGAAGGCGGCAAAACTCAGCGATCTGGGATCGTTGCTCGAGAAACAGTACCTGCGCACAGGTGCAATAACATATCTGAATGAAGCTATCGCGAGATCTGAGGAGGCCATTCAAATCACACCAAGAGATCACGCTACCTTGTCTGGACGGTTGAACAACCAGGCCATCAAATTGATAGAGCATCATTCACGTACAGGGCTACATCATACAGTTGATGAGGCTTTTCACCATGCATCTCGCGCAGTGGAACTAACATCGCGCGACCACCTCGACTGGGCAATGTATGCGAGTACCCTTGCATCAGTACTTCACTCCCGCTATGAGCTATCAGAAAAGGAAGAGGACTTGGCGAGAGCGATCGAATATGAGAGAAAGGCACGTGATACGGTGCCAAAGGATCATGCACTACGCATGACGTATCAACACAACCTTGGTATCAGCCTCTCAACATTATATCGAATGACCGCGAATGAGAAATATCTATCAGAAGCTATAGGTCTCATTACAGAATCGGTTGAGTCGGCGCCTAATGATAGTCCGCTTCAGGCTGAGAGAAAAAATACCTTAGCAAGCCTACTTGAAACACACTACCGCCAGGCTAAGCAGGCCGACAGAAGACAAGAAGTTCTGAGTCTCGCGCTGGAAATTTGGAATTGTACAGTAGCAGTGCCATTTCAGCGCATCAAAGCTGGCTACAGAGCGCTACGAATGTTTGGTGAGGAACTACAATCTGAGACGCAGTATAGCGATAAGACTTCATCAGCCACGGGTTTCAACTCAGTGGTTCTACATCGAGCACTCGATCTCGGCGTGGCGTTACTGGACCTCCTTCCGGTGGTTCATACGCGCTATTTGGAAAGGAAAGACCAGCAGTTTGTGGTATCCGCATTCTCTGGAGTGGCTTCTCTCACGGCTCATTTCTTCCTCACAGCTGGCAAGATATCAGAGGCCGTTGAATGCTTAGAGCGTGGCCGCACAGTCATCATTAACCAGTTGTTGAGCGATCGCAAAGATATCTCGGATCTAAAGCAAACGCATCCAGCTCTAGCCACAAAGTATGCGCGACTGGTCGCAGAGCTTAACACGGATCCTCACACCAACGTTGAAGGTGGCAGTACAAGACGCAGGAACGCAGTCCGGGAGCTCGATGCCTGCATTTCTGAAATGAAAGCTTCAGCTGGAAGTGGCCTTTTGAATCTGGGTCAGTCTGTCTCAGAGATGCAGCAAAAGATCGGAACGAGGCTTGTCATTCTCGTGAACGTGAGCGATTTTGGAAGCTATGCTATTATCTTCTCAAGCGAGACGCTGCTGTCCATACCGCTTCCGAAATTAACGGCAAGCGAGGCAAAAATACACTTTGACAAAAGGTGGGCGGAGAGAAAGCCTAGCAAGCAGAGTGTGCTGAACGGTGAACTTTGCGAAGCCTTGGAATGGCTTTGGGAAGTTTGCGTTAGGCCTGTCCTATTGAGAATATCCGGCGAACCAGACGTAACAGTGGAAGCACTTCCCAGGGTGTGGTGGATAGGAACTGGGCTCGCGTCTTCGTTGCCATTTCATGCTGCTGGGAGCCACGGAAGCAATTCGACGGCCAACACGTTCAGTCGTGTTGTTTCATCTTATACGCCATCAATTATGTCCCTCATCCATGCCATACAGCACGATGTTAGGAGGATGCCCCGGACAGAAGGAAAAGTCCGGCTGCTCTTGGCAACAATGCCTACCACACCCTCCGCCACGAAATCGTATCCTAAGCTTCAAGTTGCGAAGGAAGCGAGCAGCGTCATGCGGTCCATGGGTTCTCATGTGGAGGTGGAAGTACTGGAGCACCCTGATGTGGAACAGGTCTTGAAGTCGTTGGAAATCTGTCACGTTGCACATTTTGCTTGCCACGGAGCAGTTGACCGCCGTGATCCTTCGAATACCGCATTGGTGTTGCAACGCCGCGAAACAGACGGCATTTCTAAACAAGATCTTCTAACCGTTCAAAAGATCTCGGAGTTGAAGTTAGAGTCTGCTTGCATAGCTTACCTGTCTGCGTGTTCTACAGCTGAGAACCGCGCTATGAATCTGACAGACGAGGTAATTCACACGGCCAGTGGCTTTCTAGTCGCCGGCTTTCCCAACGTCATCGGCAGCTTGTGGGGAGCCAATGACTCTGCGTGTGCCAAACTTGCGACCTATTTTTATGCACAAGCATTGGATGAAAGCGGGAGTGGCATCACAGCAAACGTCGCTGTAGCGGTACACGGGGCAACCAAGCGGCTGCGCAATGCACAGCCGAAGGCGCCAACAAACTGGGCACAGTTTGTTCACTGGGGTATTTAAAGAGCTCTGTACGACACTGGCTCCATTGCTCAAGTCATTTTCCGCCTATGCACTCATCCAATGGGAATAAAGCGCCGCGACCGATGCTGCTTGTCACCCTCTGTGGGCGACGTGGACCCAACAAAGCACAGCTCCTGCTTCAATAATTAATTTGCACTCTAGAAACATGACTCAATTGATTCAAGGAAATCCAGGTAGTAAAAAGGCTATGCGATGGTGTTGATGCAGTAATGTCCATTCCCGGTCCTCTCCTCGACCCAATCTTCGTCAGGCAGCGTGCTTTCCGTTCCAACTGTCACCTCAATCACATCATCCCCTTCGTCATCGCTCATATCATTATCGCTCGTGTCCGACATATTGCCATCCTGACTATTGGCTCCGCGCCATGCAGTATCAAGACAAGTCCACGTACAAGTACGCGAGAGCTTCGTGGGGTTCGAAGAAAGGCATTTGAGCCACTTGAACGTAACTTGGCGGTATCTCAGAGCGAAGATTCGCTCCCCAGGGGCAGCAATCTCCAACTTGTTGCTGGTGTCACGATCGGTCCCCCCCTCCATGGCTGGCGAGATGACCTTGAAATTTGGCGGCAGATTGCCGAGCAGCCGCATAGTTGCCTCACTCTGCTTTGTGGCAGTAAAATCCACTTCGATGCGCGGATCAATCAGAGTTTGTATGCCGATGATCATGTATATGCTTTGGTCGGAAGCAGCCTGCTCTTGTATCCATAGTTTCGTCTCCTCGCTTTTCATAGCATGTTGAAACCAGGTCGTGACATTCTTCAGCAGATACCACTTTGCGCGACCTGGTGCAATGGTGCAAGAGCCTGCTGATTTCCCAAGCAGCTTGGCTGAAATCAAGGAAGATAGCGCTGCACTGAATCTCGTCTGCGCGCTGTTGTTCCACAGATTGGTAAAGTTAAACTCTTCCTCAATTACTGGTGCTCCCCTGTCAACTTTTGGAGGCCAATAATCTTCATGAACCGCTGCGAGGTTGGTGGTAAAGCCGCCAAGAGTAACATTTTCCCTCGGAAGGAAAAAAGTGGTTGGAATGACTGCGAGGGACATTTTCGTCGGGCGTACAGAGACTGTCCAAAGAGCAACTTCTATGGAAACGGAAACCTTGGCCTCTACAGATTTGGCGCGGGGTAACAACTGATTGCGGAGCAGGGGGCGGCACGGATAATAGTAAAGTATTGAAAAAAAAAATACCCAAAAAATACCATTACTATCCCCTTGACTGTGGAGGAGGAGCGAGCAGGTAACTTACAGGGATTCCGTCCAACCAGGCATCTCAAAAATCTAGGTGCTTCCATCTAGGTGCTTCCACCAGCAGATGGGAGGTACTGTGGCGTAGGCGAGTACCAGGTTTCACTTCCTTCCCAGGCGTATCGGTATGTGTTTTTTGCAACTTCCTGTCTCTTTTCCCTGTGGAAATCGTGACCTGCTCCTCCTCCACTGCGACAGTGCCTGATTCAACAAAGATATAAGCCAAGGGTATAAATGGTGCTAAGTCTATGCCTAGATGCTGTGCCTTAAAAATATCTAGAGGCTGGAAGGATAAAGAAATGATGTAGTATCTCAATTGGAGTAAAATAGAAGAGAGAAGAGTTGAGGCGCGGAAGAGAGGGGGAGTAATCCACTAGTTAGCAGACGAAGGCGTTGGCAAAGAGAAAAACAGGACAGGGATGGGCAAGAGGCTTTTACATTCAGCAGGCAGGAAGGCTAACTGGTTGAATTCTCGATATATTGTCGACAGAGGAAGAGGGTTGGTGGGTTTTCTTCCGTTCATGAATTTTTCCATGGCTGTAGTTTCATGGTAACCTGCTGACGTAACTTGGGTGAGTGTGTCTATTTTGGCATCCTGGTGGTGTGCCCACCCAGACATCAGTTGCCCGAGCCTTGGTCAAGCGGCGGCTCGTCCCGTTGAATGTTCCCGGCTCCCACAACAGCTCATTCTTCCACCAGCATCAACCAATATCTACAATGTCTTTGCCAGTTACTGCGGAACAACCATACTTGAATGGTGATCGGCCGGATCCGGGCTGGCGGCCGTTCCCAGTGGATCCTCCAAGCCCACCATGGGAGCCAGTTGTTTTATTTTGGTTAATGGTAATAACTCTTTTCATCGCTTTGCTAGTCGCGAGACGACGCAAACCACCAGTGACAGCACACACCGCGCCGCTCACAGAAACCACGCCGCTACGAAGCGCAGAAACCACGCCGCTACGAAGCGCAGAACTGCCGCCACCGCCGTACGAACCAGGTCCGTCGCTACATCCAGAACAGCGGATGAATCCAGAACCGACGACGAAACCAAAGCCCCCAATGCACCCGGAAACTCCAATGCGTCACTAACCACAGACGGGTCACGTCAGGTCACCGCTTCTCAGCAGGGTAAGCACATCCTCGAAGCAGTACTTGGCTGCCTCTCAGCAAAACCAAGAAAGATGACGAAAAAAATATAGATGATTAACTATGATGCAGGAAAACTAACTTTACCTTGTACGGGGTAGATTCTCTCTCGTTTGATGCTATTCTTCCCCTTCTTGCTCTGGCGCTGCTGGACAGCCAGCGCTGCCCTCAAAATCAAATCACATTAGAGAAACTGTCAAACAAATCAAACAAATCACCGCCGAAAATGTATCAGACAAACAAACGCAAAATTTTCAATTTGATTTACATTTACTACATTTTGCTAGTCTAGCTCTTTGAGCTGTGTCTAAACATCACCACTGCCTCGCACAGCATGCTTCCAGTCAACGCAGTTTCTAGTCGCCGCTCGAGTGGCAATTACTTCAACATGTCCGACACAGTGTTGAGTAGGATTGAGAATGAATTAGCTATGTACGATAGGACAGGAACATCCAGAACTCTCGCTTGTACTCTACAAGGGTCTCCCGCTATTGGAAGTAAATCCTACACTTAAAACCCGACACGGTATAAGCTCAAGGTGGTCGTAAACCGATGTTTGTCGGCTAGGGACTCTCTCCGAAGAAAAAGATACTAGCTGTGCCACAAAATGAGCTAGTGTAGCATGCATTTCAACCTGTTGCTGAAGCTTACTGACAGCACATGCCTCCAGGTTCGTAGCCGTATGTAGCTTATAAAATTGAGGTGGCACAGGCAATTCCGCAGCCAGGCTTTCCCAGGTACTGTATCTACTGTAGAATTTTAGCCAGGGCACCTCCGTCACAGCTTAGACAAGCCCCAGAAAGAACTGCGAATCGCCACTTCGTTCCACCTCTGTGAACTAGCATTCAAGCTCTATCTGGCAGTCGCTCTCTCCTGGCCATGTCCCTCGACCTCTCCGCGCTCTCGGAGCACCAAATCACCTGCTTCCTCCGCGCCGCCCCAAACTCCCAATGGCGGTAGAAAATTGCATTCACCAGGGCTGGCCAAATCGGGGGCGGACCTGCGAACGGCCTTTCCAAGTGGTTCAGCCACCATATGACACGGGATCAAGCACCACAGTCTGGCCCGGTTGCATCGGAGCCTGCCAATACTCAAGCTGGGAATCCTGAGGCTGTATGTTGCAACGGGTACTGTACATAACTTGGCCGGGCTGCGGTGGGGGGGCTGAGACCCCTGACAGAGTGGTTTTCAATACGTTTTAGCGTCGCAAGAGCTAATCGTATTGGACTGATCACCCTGCATCATCGTGCCATTGCGTAGTATTTTTCCTCATATAGCAAATTAATCCCGGCGACAAGCCGATCGCACCTGTACTAGGCGCCATTGAGAGCGGCTCTAAGATAACGAGAGTGTTTGAAGATGGAGCTTGCATCACAATATGGAACTAACTCAATTTGATAAGATAATCAATCGCAGAATAGACTAGTCTTGCGTTGAGAGTAGCTTATTTCACAATTATTCGAAGCTTGAGCATTATCATTAGTTGGCTTGATACGTAGCAAATCCACTTGACTGGGTTAATGAAGCGTGGGTGGGTGTATTGATGCTAGGAAATGTGCTGTTCAAACTCAGCAATAATCCAATCACAAAATTGCAGCCATTGCTTGCGCCATATCGTTGCATACTGGCCACGAGCAGTTTCGTTGCCTCCATCTTTCTTCTCCCAGCGGCCGTCCTCGTCGCAAAAAGATGCGTATGAGATACTTGTTTCAGCAATGCTTCCCAGGCCTTCTAGTCCAACCGAATCAAAATTATTCAGTACTTGCCAGAAATCGCAACTAACCCGTGTTCCAATGTGCCCGAACACTCCTGGGGTGTCGCTCGATAGAGCTGTGGCAATTCCATTGGCAAGCAATGCCGGGACTGGATGGCATGATGTGCTTGCATTCAGCCGAAGAAGCTCGTTGCTGACTGGGCATACTTCTATGCAAATGTCTTCTGCTTTGACTCTCGCCATAGCCGTTGGATGCTTGTAGAGGGAATAGCCGTGGCCGATGCGCCTGGTGCCCAAAAGGATGGCGTCGAACAGATTAAGGTCGTGGGGGTCTCCGTCGCCTGGAACTTCTCCCGCATGGAAGATGAAGGGAATGTCCAAGCCTCTCCTCTCGCATTCTGATCGGAACCATAAGAGAGATTGGAGATGTTCTTCTAGTGTTCGACCGAGACCTTCTTGCCCCACGAGGTCATATCCAGCAATCAAAGCAGGAAATTCTTCCTTTGCTGCTAAACAATTCCTCATGTCACGCAAAATGAATGAGTCATCTTGCCCACGGTGGCAAGTCCATATGATCCGCGCGCCCCAGAAAGAAGCTCCTGCATCAGAGCGCTTGAACCTGCCCATTTCCTCTTGAAATATACGCAGCACATCGCGATACTGCCCTGGCTTACCGTCGGAGAGTTTGAAAGGGGAAAGAAAAACAACGCGGAGATCGATCCAATAAATCTCGTCCGATAGGGCTTGAGCAAACATGCGGTGAACGAATTGGCGGAATATCGGCTCGCAGAAAGTTATCCCTGCCAAAGTGTTGAAGATGGACTCAAAACGAGACCAAATACGGTCGATTCCTTCGTAGTGAGCTTGGCAATCGCTTGTAGAGAACACAACTTTCGAGGCTATGTGCTCTTCAAACGCTTGCGAGCCTCCGAAGGGATATTGGCTAGCAGCTTGCCCCAAAGGAACCAGTGTCCCTGGTTGATATGCATCGGAAAACAACTCAGCCGGGGGGGTGACACTGGAGTTGGGTGCGTATTCAAACTCTAGAGCAGCATGGCTAAGCTCACTGGGAGATGTGAGTGGGATGCTCGACTTCACATGCATTCCAGGGGTCGTCACGGCGACATGTATGAGCCACGGCACTGCAAGCTGTTAGAGGGAGGTAACACAGAAAACGAAGGCTGAGGGAAACTCACTATCCACCATTCCATCTAAATGGGCATGGAGTAACGCACCCTTTGGGAGCTTTTTGACAATCTTCCATGTTTGAGTTTGCTCAATAGTTTCTTTGGCGAGATGGAATGCAACGCCGGGAAAAATGTGACGCTGCTGGTCGTCGATTCTTGGCGCCCAGTCCTGGGTAAGCTCGCGAGCACGGATTTGACGAACAATGTCACATGCTTTTCTCTCTTTTGCCGACAAGCTCTGTCGGAAACCATAATCTAACCGTTGAATTTAAATTAGTCTTCGTCTACCCCGTGCAGCTGTCTGCTTACCGCGTCTGAGTTCCTCCTCGGAACGCAAGAGTTGGCGCTTTGCACTTAAGTGCGCTTGCCTCAGATTTTCCATTTTGCTGAATTTGGTGCTCAACCAAGATTTTTCGTTTCAGTACTTTGGGACTTTATCAGTCGCTTCTTTGTGCGCATCGAGTATGGTGGTCCAATGTAGAGGGGCCGTCGGCAGTGAGTCACACGCCGGGACAATTGCTCTCTTCGCCTAGACGGCAGGCATCGGTGCCGCCATGTAGTCATCGGTCGGCATACGCCTACGGAGCTGATGCCGAAACGAAGTCCCTTTCACGGCTTAACAGAATTCTTATCCGGGGCTTGTATCATCAATTATTCGGCAACTCTGATGATGCTATTGCTTGACTGTTCGCCGGGCCTTTGGTTTGGCTGATTACCCGACTTAACCGCACGCTGGAGTCAATGTAACAGCAGTGGAGAGATCGGTTATAACGATATACGTGGCTGACAGTTAGACCCGCTAGCGACGACTCTGCGAACAAGCAAAAGAATGATATCAGACTTCCAGCTTGATAATTTACAAACCTACAGTACTGTACTGGCATTTCACTACCGCATATTCAACGAAAACTTGCGCCGCTCTAAAACTTCAATATAAACCATCTCGGGACTCCATCCCGCAGCAAGCCTTGAACCACTATATCTCTCTGAAAACAAAACGGCATATGTATATTATAGTCCGCTCCTCTTTGATCTACTCAAGCACTGGGTTCTCGTAATCGCAGCTGACACCGCACATATCACAATCGAAGATAGCCTATTACCTATTTGCTATGGATAACCCTAGCTCATCAGCAAGCCGCGGCAGGCTTCCCATGATTCGTTTATTTTTCGCTTGTCCCCGGGGCGGTGCTACGCTTTCAATGCGAATCTTTGCGAGGTCGCCCTCCTGCGCAGTCACGAGCGGACTCACTTTATTAATAGGCCGCATCAGCCCCGGAGATCTTTCCAAGTCCGAATACTCCATTTCAGATGGCCATTCCATTTTAGATGGCCTTGCTAATCATTGCGTCTTTGCCGAAGCCGTTGCTTCAGGCAAGCACTTCCTGGTCTCGAAAGAAGAATTGAATATTGACAAAGAAGAGTATGAGGCATTACACGACATATGTTCAACGCCATCTGCCTATACAATGGTACAGCCTGTTTTCCTCATTCGCGACCCTATCCGCGAATTTAGCAGCTGGAAGAGTGCTGGATGGCAAGATATCGATAGTTTGATACACGGTTACATCAGCCTGTTTCAGGTTCTTGAACAAACCTCATCGCATGCAGTCTCGTGCCTTCTATATGAGAAACTCGTTGAAAATCCTCAAGTCGAAATCCAACATATATGCGAAGAATGGCAGGTCCCATTTTCCGAGGCAATGCTCAAAGGCCCTTTAGGCTTGTCCTTCTTCTCGGCAGACGGCGAGGATGTCAAACTCTGCGGCGATGAGGCTGCAGGTCCATTCGCGACATTGGAGGCCAATTCTTTTATAGCACCCAAGGTGGAAACGCACGGTCTCCTCTCCAACGACGAAAAGGAGATTCTCGAGAAGAGCATCGGACGCCAGTATCTTTGCTGTTGGAAGGACGATGTCGTGCGTCTACGGACCATTTTTTCCGAGAAGACGTGGATCGGCTTCGATCTCGACGACACTTTGCACGAATTCCGGCGTGCATCCTCAAAGGCGATCGACTGTATCCTTACAAGCATCTCAGCGCAGTATGGCACGCCTATGTCCAGGCTGAGGGAGCAGTATTCCAGGATCCTCAAGGCAAAGACGGCAAGCGCATTCTCGGATGGCAGGTCGTCTTTCGACTACCGTAGGGAGAGATTCACCCTCCTACTTACATACTTCTCCTTGCCACAAACCACAGAGTTTTTAGATGCGCTACTTGAGTCCTACGAAACGGCTTTAGTCGGCGCCCACGAGTTGAAGTGCGGCGCTATAGGCTTGCTGTCTACTATAAAGGGGATGGGGAAGAAGATTGTGGTCATCACCGAAGGTCCTCAGGATGGGCAAGAACGCACGGTCAACGCCCTCGGTATTAGAAACTACATCGATTTCCTCGCAACGACAAATCACTTTCGCGTCTCCAAGGTCGATGGCCTGTTTCGCAAAGTCCTCCAACACTTGGGCATTTCCTCCGACGAAATTGCCTATGTCGGCGACAGCGAGGAGCGAGACATGGAGCCGGCCATAGCCGAAGGCATATTCTCTATTCATCTTGCCGAGGCGAAGAACATATCGTTGAGTTCATCTCCTCCACGTGTCAATACATTGAGGAAGCTGCAGTATATAATGTCGGAAAAGGCGTGAAACAAATGTACAGAGAGTTGCCAGTTCAAACGTGGTGTTGAAGACGATAATAAAAGGCGGTCATTGTATCTTTCTGCATTGTGACTAAGAAGAACATTTAAACATTCCAACTTAACCGACTATCGTATAACTAATCACGGCTGCTAAGAGTCTTTCCTCGAAGTCAAAGACTAGTAAAAAGTCAAGATTGCTCTGTCTGCGAAGACATGTTTTGCCGAGTGTCTTGGTCGATAGATTGCCTCAACATTGTAAAGATAGGAGCGTAACTCATATATTGTTCGCCATAGGTAAGATTGAATCCGTAGTCAAAACCAGGGGGATTGTGGCCCTGGTTATGCTGTATAATGGTTTCAAGCTTGTCCATGGCCTTGACCGCCCGTGCTTCCGGCGTCTTTCCAGCTTCGTACTCCTCCCAGAGCGAGAGCAACGACTTGCGTAGCGAATCTGGTAATTCTCTGGTCAGGTGTTCAAGATCAGCACGCTCTTGTTTACCCTTGTCAGGAAATTTGCTCGCTTCGACGGCTGGGATATCGCCATGGATGGCTTCGCCTAGGTCGTGTACAACACAGAGCTTAAGTACGCGTGCCATGTCAACACCTAGCAAATCATCTTCAAGCACCATTGCCATAAGGCAGAGTCGCCAGGTGTGTTCCGCTGTGCTCTCGTTCCTTCCTTTAGATGTAAAGGCATAACGCATAACATCTTTCAGTTGCTCTGCTTCGCGTAAAAACGCGAGCTTGCTCTTGACACAGTCTGAATTCATCTATCTTCCAAGCGTTAGCGCTTTTAGCTGGCACATCTTTCATCATAGAAGGCTTGGTAGAAGAAGCAAGTACCTCTGTGTAGTGGATAAAACTCGAAGACGAAACCTGCATCAGCAATAGAAGTAGGATGCTTATGGTAGTGCTTGGCAGGGCAATTCGTCTTTTATATTTCCAACGGGTTGTGGGGCCTCGTCAAATGCGTAGCCACCCACTAGTTAGGTTAGAGATGGATGCGGAATCGGTTATAACTACATGGCTGTGGCTGGCCGGCCATTGAGGCGTACATACATAGAATGAATGCTAAGATCGGTTGATCGGCCGCAAGCTGCGGGGATTTTGACGCTAGAATATGCAGATACCGGTTAAAACGATACCCCGATACAGTGATTAGAGCGCAGGGCACGGATAGAGAAGGAACTCCCAGCCCGACACAAATCTGAGAACAGCAATAGAATCATCAGTTCGGGCTTATGATTTGCTGCACAGATTCTGTCTCACTTTATTAGCCACACTCCCCGCGTATTCAACAGAGTGCGAGTGCTACTGCGTGATTAGTGCCAAGAAGCGAATCAACCCGGCGTGTGACTCATTTCCCCGAACTTTGGATGGTGGTGGAGCGTTAGTTACGTTATTATTGAAGTGGGCAGCGTCAGACAAGCACCTTACACACCCGTTGTTCCTCTACTATTGCTATTTTAGAGATGCCTTCAACAGGTGCCAACGGCGCATTGCGGGGATCAATTCGTTATTTGGCGAAAATATTGCGCAATGGCACGAAACTGCGGGACGATGAGCTTAACACAGTTTTCAAGCCAAAGTCTTGACCCATTCACAGCTGGCAGGCGCAAGTGAGAGCAGCCCCAGCAGACTTGATCATAATATTTCTGCATATAAATGGCATATTGCATGCATCAACCAAAGCTCGGCGCCTTCTAGAGTGCATCTTTCGCCCGTGTATTTTCTGGCCGAGCACATACATCATGCTGCCTTCTCTCCCTGAGTTTGCCCTTATAGGGCTGCTTCTCTTTCTGCTCACCGCAGCTGACGACACATACAAATCTCGCCCTGACTTGTCTCCGCCGCAGCTGAATATCACCATCCCATGCCATGGTAGATGTGAAGCGGGCTACCTCTTTGTTGCTCCCTTTGTTGGCTATACAGATCCCGAAAACCACGGCCCAAAACAAGCTGCACCATATATTTTATCCGACGACGGTGATCTCGTATGGTCCGGTTTCACCTATTTCGCAACTTGGGCAGGCAACTTTCAGGCATCGCGCTGGAAGGGGCAAGACGTGCTCTTCGCCTTTGAAGGCGCGCATAACGGTCTTCACGGCCATGGTCATGGCCACCACACTCTACTAAACCAGAATTACGAAACCGTTCGAGAGCTACGAGCTGGCAAGCACGCACTCTCAGACAAACACGAATTTATCATTGTCGACGAAACATCGGCGTTGATTCAGATCCACCAGCCGTTGCAAATGGATTTGGAACCGTATGGAGGTCTTGATGGCCAGACCTGGATTGTGGATGCCCGTTTTCAAGGTATGTGGAATCCTATTCTGGAAGTGGTGCAATAAAACTTATTTGGAATGCAGAACTCGATATCCAGACGGGGAAAGTTCTCTTTGAATGGAGCAGCCTTGATCACACTACGCCCGATGAAACTGCATTGCCGCTACCCCTTGTGTGAAAGGCCGCTAGTAAGTTGATTCAACTATCTAGTTCCTAT